GTATTCAGAAACTGACAACTTTTACTTCAAAATCAGTTGTTTTAGTTTTGTTTTTATGACATGATATTTACACCGTGTTCTGGGGCAATATTGCCCGTTTGGTACTGATGCTCCTTAATGCATTTCATTTCATTCGCTTTCAAAATCAGCTGCATTCCATCGTCGAGTATCAGACTATCCGTCAGATATATTCCTGAAATTTCCAGTTTATATGTTTTTTATAGTCTTTCTTGTTTTTGATTTGTTATCACTAATAACTGGAACATTGGTTGGTCGTTGTTGAACACAGTATACATATAGGTGTATTGTATACACTGTTCTAGAAGTTATGCCCGATAGTTTTATAGTTTGAGGAATTGATTTAAGATATTAAAAGGAATTAGTCATTGTTAATTGCATTTCGATTTTATCATTTTGAATCTGAATTAAGGCTGTTATCAACAACAAAAGTATTTGCTGCTTACCAGTATACTAACGTTTAGTTTTTTGATGTTCATATTTAAAACCTTCACTTAGTTTTAAGTTTTGATTTTCAGGATATCATATTCGGTATGATTTCATTCTTTGGTTACCATTAGAACTTGCTTTCTGTGGTGTAATAGATCATTTCAGTATGAAGGATTCTAATTATCTCCAAAATCGACCTTTAAATATATAGTCTGAAAAAAATATGAAAAATTGTTTTTGTCTGTTCTGGTATATTTATAATCCATTATACTTTACTGATTAAAACCTTGCTAGAAGTCAGTTGTAAGTTTGTTATCTGTAAATATAAGTAGTAGTATATACATCGTTATCTTCAGGTGTAAAAAAAGATATATGTTCTTACATTCTTTATTTCACTAGGTTTATATTGTTTTTACACGTTATGTTTCTTATCTCTTAGTATTTCTACTAACTTCTTTGTAGTCGCTACTAAAATTTTATAAACATTGCTCTACTATCAGTTAGTATTTTATAGCCACACCAATGGTGGTACCAAAGATCAAATTATCTACCAATTTTTATCTTCATGGGTTATTTTGGGTGTCAGATGTCTGTTAAAGATATTAGTAAGGTTTATTGGAGATACCAGCAAGGGATGGTGAAAGGAGGTAGTGAAGAGTATCCTATAATACTTGTCCTTAACTTGTCCACGACAGAATGGTCCATCATCCATACTTCCTGAAGCATTTGCAATGGCTATAAATATTGTTTGATTTGAATTCTTTGTTTATCTTGTTTAGTTCTTTAGACGCCTAATAATGCCCATTTATTTTTATTGATATATTTGCTTATCTAGTATTATATTTTCAAATATTCTTAATGTATTAACATATTGAAATCCATGGACTCTATTGTGATCAAGCACCAAATACTGATAGAGTATTTAAATGGCATTTATCAATTGTGAGTATGATATACTCCCGAGGACGACGGGGGAAACACGTGGAAACGGTACATAAAACCAGTGATTGTTGTTCCATAAAACTGTGTCTGTATTCCAAATACTGATGCCCTAGATTTTTGAATACGAACAGATGCTGGTTTGGTCTGACAGGATATCCTATGATATTAAACTGAAATTAAGATGAACATTTTGTCTTAAATTAGTTAACATGTATCGTCAGGTTAATGAAGAATTGTTTAGGATTAATGAGTGCATTAACTCACTATTTTAACACCTGGCCAATGTCTTCAAAATCATACTTTTCTACCTTAATATATTTCTTGTTTAAATTTTACCTTCCTACAAATTTTCAACAAATAATAAATATAATCTTTAAGGTGCAGGCAAGCATGGTTATAAACAGGATGCTTCTGAAATCAAATAATTAAAATTTGGTTAGACTTGAACATTTTCACAGTATTTTCAAAGACTTTTGCAGTAACCATTCATTGTTTTAGAATGTTGATAGACATGGTTGAAGTGGTGAAATTAAGAATACAAATCTGATCAGTAACTATTTTATTGAACATGGTACTGGATACCAAGAATTGTTTTAGGGTTTGTGAATCTTTATTAACCTGAAGCTTAGCTGATTCAACGAATCAAGAAGCCGACTTTCCGGTCAATATAGACAAATATAATTTCATTCTTTCTGTATTGTATTATGAAATGACTGCAAGAAGGTAATTTAGTCGAAATATTGACCTCGTAGGTTCCTTTATATACCTTCTGTTGGAGTCGATAACATTTCTATCAGATTACCAATAAACAGAAAGGGAATCAGAGAAAGCATCATTAGACTGGGTGTAAATAAAATTAGATGAATTTCAGTATGGTTATCATATAAAACTACCTTGATATCAGAGAGGCTGAGTGACATGTTGAAATAAACTGATACTAACAGGAATGTTACACCTACCCTTACTTATACATATATATACTACATCTGGAATTATCAGGAACCATTCCAAGACAAGTCTGATATTCTATAGACTACTTATCTATATTATCAAGGTGTTCTATTAACTAGTTCAGTCTTAACAAGTTGATTTGAACATAGTTCCAAGCTTTCTACCTACTGCCTTCTATTTCGGCTCGAGTCTTCTTGCATAACTACAACAACTGTGTAAACATATTTTCATTTCTTTCGCCAAATTCTAAGAGAAAGGTTTTGGATTGTAGGCGCCTGTCGTCTTAAAGGTAAGATATTTTAAGATTTGAACTGATATGACCGGACTTTATGACCAAAGTATTATTGTGCTTTATGCTTTTGACCATTTGACCATTAGACCATTTGACCATTTGACCATTTGACCATTAGTGATAACATGATTTCATAGCGTTGTTATAGACAGCTTATAGACAATATTGGCTCGTTGGATAGTTCTTTATTTCTCTTTTGTCTTTAAAAGTATTTACGACCATAAAATGGCATAACCTCGTGGACTTATTTCCAAATCTATAAGCAATTTATGTTTGAAAGAAGAGCCTAACTAAATACATTTTGACGACAGATCAGACGTAATTGCGGTTTTTTACGTATACGAGTTAAAATACATGCACAAGATGGTACTTGATTAATTTGATATTTTTCCAAGTTGCTCTTGTAACTTAATATGTGATAATCGAGAAAACAATTCAATTAGTCTGAATATTTTATTAGTGCATACAGTGGAATATATCATGATTGTTGAGTCGAAATTCATTCTGTCCTTTAATTTTACTTTACTTTTATTTGATAAACCCGTTCTAGATTATGTTTATTTTTATCTGAAGCCCCCTGCTAGCCCTTGTTTCTTTGGTCATTCGAAGCTGTTTTAATTATGGATTATGGATTAATCCATTCTAAATTCTTTTTTTAAAATGTTAAGCTTAAAAATTTTCTTTACTCCCTCTGCATTAACCATTGAAGAGTCAGAGTGTTTGACAGTTGCTGGATGACAATGTTTAATGGTAGCTATGAACAGTTAGTTGCATGATGTAAAGTTCATCTTCAGTTTAAAATTCTTTAACATTAGTCCGATAGTTTAGTATATCAGGCACAATATCACAGTATTTTATCAGACTCGGTACGGGTCATCCTACTGATGTCGAACCATTATTAAATTTGTTTGATAATAAACAAAGGTACTAAGTGGTCAGGTACATGAAATTAGTCTAGGTATGCAGCTGATCAGTAGAACTCATAACCTCTGGACGGAGGTCAGTTTGAACTTTGATGAACAACTCTCTGTATACCCTGTATCTACTCATCTAGTTATCTCTCTGAACATCTAGACTGCCAGTCAAAGTCTGGAATAGTTTTAACTAAATTGTTTATAATGAGGTAATTCTCATGATTTATTGTAAATAATTAGAGAATTAATAAAATAAAGTGAAATGTTTGTTTACTACGCACATCATAAATGAAATATACTTATAACAACATTCGTTTTTCAACGATAAACAGTTTTTGATAGTTTTGTAGACATTATGAAAATGAGACAAACCGTTTTTGAAACAAGGTATGGAATGGAAATGGAAATATCCTACAGTTATTCTTGTTTTTTTTTTATAGATCCAATTTTCCGCAACCTAAGTATAGGTGTATATCTTGATATTTTGTTATTTAGAGTTCCGATGCTTAAATTTGAACAACCAAATACAGTTGAACTCATGTTTAAAGAAATAGAAGAACTTTAAATGCAATTTACTTTGGCACCACATCCATCCACAACTCTCAGGTCAAATTTTAAGCCAAGCTTCATATTATTTGGGTGCATATCTTAATGTTTGTTATTCCGACACTTAAATTTGGACGACAAATTACAGTTGCACTCTTGTTTAAAGAAATAGAAGAACTTCAAAAGCCATTTACTTTGGCACCAGAATGAGGAATGTTGAAACTGGACTCTGAAAGTTTGGATAAATAGCAACTCTGAAATCTGAGGTTGAACCTTTCCCCCTTGACAAAAAGCAGGAGTAGGGTTGTTTACTTAAATCTGAAATAACCAGTTTATTTTTGTACATGCTTCTAATCACATAGACGTTCTCTGATGTTTGTCTGCTGCCAAAATCGGTTGCCTGTAAATGTTTACTGTCAAATGTACAAAAAAAAAACGAAAATATAAATAAATGTGTTAAAGATTTATGCGATGGAAAAATTTCGACAGAAAATCTAAAACCTAATGTATATATTCAGATTTGATTTCAAAGCCATCAGTATCTCTGACGTAGGTAGATATTATCACGTTTCAGATTTTTATATATCCGTTTTGTATATTGATAGCAGTTTCATTAACTGCACATGATTTTACTTTGCATCTGCGAACTACAACTACAATTGTAGAAGTAAATGAACGTTCACAACTATAGAAGTACAAAGGTTTTCATGAAGTTCACCACTATTGAAGTACTTTGTCGCGAACTCGACCGAGATACACATGAATTGCCCATCGACTGAAATAATCTTTAAACTAAAGCAACTCGTATGTGTTCTTTTACGTTTTTATATTACTGCGATATCATTTGATCTTTTTCCAATGAACCATGACCTGGAACATTCAATCCAAACAGTTTCAAAAGGGACCGTATGGATATGAATGATGCGTTACAGTTACAAAAAGTGTACAATATACAGGTACAGTACGAGATAAATGATATAACATCGCGGAATGGTTATATAAAACTTCAACGAAGAATATATAAGATTCGTTTTGACTCATGTATCTATATATTGTACGCAGCGTGACATAAGAAACGTTAATAGATCTTGAGAACATATGGTATTGTGTTTTGTTGGCTGGCTAGAGGCTCATGCCGACCTCGTGTGGTTTGGGTCAAATACCGTAAACAACAGTTGTGAGCATTTGAACTCAACATTTCTTAAGGGGGTGGACACCTTTAAAATCAGTGACATTGCAAGCATCTGTTTGAATTACCCATCTGATTTTTTTACTCTGGGTTATCTCTGACTTACAAATGAGCCAGAAGCTTCCATATTCTTGAAGTTATTATCTATTCTGTTTTATTGTTGATGATGATAGTTGACGCATCCAGTTGTGGGATTGCTTAAGTTGATTCATGGTCCTCAGAGGCTAGAGGGACTGCGCAGAAGACCTTTGAAATAGACAGCTCATGGTTTGGGAGGAGCAATAACGTCTTCGCAGTTCAATATTCCTTTCCGTAGTATAGGCCACTGTAATTTTGTTTCAGAGCGATGTCTCTCGTGTGCATATACATGTATATGAAATTTGTGGAAATGCTTAAGTTGACTCATTGCTAGGATCAACTAGGACCAGTGATTTTAACTTTGGCACCATTGGTATAACGGTCTCCATACTCATTGTGATTCTGTCTTATTCCATTGTAGTTATTGAATTGTTATACATGCGACGCATCCAATTTTTGGCATGGTATGAGTTGATTCATGGTCAGGTGGATTAACTGCGTTTCACTGACTTGGACACTTCATGTTCTTGGTATCAGAAGAGTTTGTTATTGTGCCAAGTTTATCAGTAGGAATAAAGGAGTGTTCAAGTATTTCATAAGCATGTTTGATATTTTAAAGAGACTGTCCCAAGTGGATTTCAGTCGATAGATTTGTTTCGTTTTTCGATTCATAGCCTTTTCAAAATAGTTTGCGATCACCAATATAGACTTAACAGTTAGAAATATGCTCAGTATATGCTGGTATATGAATGAGTATCGGCTGAAATTTGTAGTGTAACAATCCTTTGTTAACCCAAATATTGATATGAACTCTGATGCGACTTTGCAAAAAGGTTTTGTCGTCTAGACATCACGAAAGTCCAAAGAAATATATCTAGTATACTTATTGGAAGAACAAAATGCAGTGGAACATCTTTTAGAATGGGTGACTTTAAAGAAATGAGAAGTTTGCTATCCTGAATTGTTTATGATAAAGTTTAAGATATTGTCAAAATAATTCTCACACCACATGCAACACTGCAGACGTTGTATTTAAACAACCAACGATTTGTAGCACATTTCATTGATATAATCTTATATCTTATATCGCTGTTGAGTTTCTTATATTGCACAATGTTTTAGTTACAATTTGAACGCAGATAAATGTCTTTCGTGTTAACCCCTAACATCAATATGGTATTTCATTTCTGTAAAAATAGTGCTAATATTTCAAAATACAGAAATACAGCTAGGGGTTTCAAAATGGTTCTTTCTGGGCCACCCAGCGCTGGCTGCAATAGTTATACAGGCATATCGCTTTCTTCAATTCATAAAAGTCGTTTCCACCTTTGTAACAGAATAGTAAAATCTACCATTTTGTTGCGCTGTTTAGTCGGATCCTCTAGGGGTATTTATACTTGCAACTCTAGGGGATATTTCAGTTAAATCCTAGGTTTTTGAGGGTGTTGATAAACAATAGAACTATGTTCATACTGTATTGTTTATATCGTTGTTAACTGAATTCTATGATTTATGAGGGGTGTATGTGGCAGTATAAATATATGAAATGAAAATAAATGCTGGCACTTCTCCATTATAATATTACTAAAACATAGAGATAATATTGTAGGTCGTGTAGGCGTTAAAAACTATTATATATCTATTCTATAATTTCTGGTGAAATTCGATTCCGTTAAGTTGCACCTTTGCTCTAAATGCCGCTTGTTCAGCAAAGGGGAAAGATGTTTTTATTTAAAATTTACTCATTGCATTGAATTTCAAATTTGGAAATTGCTAATTCCTTAAGCTTTGATCTTATTTGCATTTAAGAGAAAGTTAAACATTTGAATAAGGATACTGTCCTATGACCGCATTTAAATTTTATGCAGATTTGCTAGAATGATTTTTCAAACTGTTGCTGTTCTAGTGAGATATTCTCTGATATTCTGAGAACGGTGCCATGCAGATGATACTTAAAGCGGAGTTTAAACCAAGTTTCTCTTTTAATGTTTAATTGATCCCTGACAGAATTGATCCCTGTCAGATTGTTCAGTAAACAATGATTTTATTCTTGCGACAGAGACCTTGATCTTACAATGTTACCTAAAATTAGATCGACACTGTTCACCTAGTTTCAACTATGATTCATAGATTTGATTTTTTTCAACAAATGTAAGCATTTTTATATATTTTGAAAACAACATATTTTAGTAATTTAAGTTTAAATGAAGAAATTTGGAACCCAAATAACTTCAGCTGTACAGGTTCTGAGAAGATGCCAAGTAAAATAAGAATAGGTGAAAAAAAAAGTTTGATATAGAACCACTCGTATTACTAATAGATACCATAGAAAGTTACACCCAATAATAAATGAAACTTGGTTGATGTTACAAAACACTAATTAGTCAAAACCAATGAGCATTAATCTTGGCTGATCCTTGAGAGAAGGTTCAACTTTTCGCCAATTTTCAAAATTAGTGCTGAACGGTAGAAGCACAACACTCGTACAAGAGATTGTTTGGTGTCAAGGTTGTTCTTGTTTTCGCAAAACTACATAAAATGTGTATTTGTTACTATTGTCGACTCACTGAAAGTTAACCAAGGAAATCAAGGGCGTCCAATGACTTTGAATTCGTTGGATGATGAAAGGATTTTTGTAGAATGTAGCAAGGTTCGCTGAATTGTTTGCTGGTAATCTGGCATTATCATGTATTTCTGTGAAATGAATATATATGTAGATGATCATTCAAGAAACTCTTAAAATCCGGTTTACAATTTATATTATAGAACATTTCGGATTTGCTGATGCAGCAGTTGATAATGTCTCTTCTTTAGAATGCTAATGATTCTTCTTTACTCTTTTCAGCTCCATGATATGGGAACGAGTAAACTTTACCAATCACCAAGCGCCGCCTACTCCAGTGGTTATAACAGGGGATCATCGTACAGTACTCCTAACAGAAGTCTGAGCTATGATCCCAGCAGTCGATATGCTGGAAATGTTAATAATTCATCAGTCAGGGACAGAATGAAAAAATTCGCAGAACCAAAATATGATTATTCTTCAAACCGTTATCCGTCCATCGACAGAAGTACCGTCGGAAGAGATCGTTATTCTTCATTAGACAGAGTTTCAAATAGAAGTGGTTATCTTTCCGATTACGGCGGAAGTCCGCGCTCATTTGGATCTTGGGATCGTGCATCATCTAAATCTGGTCGCAGCTACGGTGGTGGTAGTCGTGAAGGTTCACCAGTGAGTACACGGTCTTCTCGGTACGACTATAGTAGTAGTGCTTCCCCATATTCAACATACTCATATAAAAGTGGTTCTGATATTTCACCAGCACAAAAACGATACGACAGACAAAACTCGGGTGGTTTTGACGGACCTCCGAAAGCCGCAAGCACTCCTGTTGATTCCGTCCAAAAACGACGTACCTCACAATCTTCATTCGTGCCAATAAATGTTCGTGGACGTCAGGCAGCTATCACAGACACTGACTCAGAATCCGATGATAGTTGCCCTGAAGCTGAAAAGCGCGGTGTAAAATATTTGATTTGTCGCGGTACCTCACCGATACCCGAAGAAGGTGAACATAGAAGAGATCGTAAAATTGAATCAATCGCAAAGACTAAACGAATAAAGTGCCCTAAAAGACGTTCTGTTATAAGCCGACGGGGCTTTAATACGGTAGATTGTGCTACTCAGACTAATTTGGATCAGCAACAAGTTCGCAGACAAAGGCAACAGAAAAACAACGAGGACGACGAACCTCCTCCTCAACGTAGACCAAGACAGCAAAAAGATAGAAGCCTTGAAGAAGAAGATCAACCGCCGATTAGAAGACCAAGAGGTCTACGACTTGACGACGATACACTCGACACTCCACAAAGAAAGCCAAGAGGTGGAACAAAGAAGGAAGAGAACGATAGTTCTAAAACATTTTATAAATACAGAGACAAGTTTCTTACGCCGGCTTTACCTGCTATGCCAAGTTCGACTTATGTAGGCGGTGGTGGTAGTTCACGTGGATCAAGAAGTAGTTATGGTTATAAGGCAGATCCACCACAAGAGAAATCGTGGCGTCAAGCAGTGTATGGGGAACTAGCACCTGCTAGACAACCACGCGCTGACGATACTGAAACGGATTCCCGTAGTGTTGCCAATGAGGAGGAGGATAGAAGTAGCAGACAAAGTCGTAGACGCCGGGAAAGGGAACGTGCAGCTGCAGAGGAAGAGTATAGTGCTGCCGAAGAGAGACGCGCTGCACGTAGATCGGGACCAAGTAGATCTTCTTCAAGAGAAGACTTGTTAGATGATAAACCCAGACGCAAGAGACACTCGAGTAAGGAACTTTTAGATGATAAACCGTTAACTCCAGAAAATCTGTCTTTAAGAGAAAGCATTGAAAAGGTGAACCAGTGGAAACAGCAACTACCATCACCATCTCAATATGAAGAAGAAGTTGCTGAAGATGGTAGACGCCGACCAGCAGCTGATCGTGCCCCTCGTAGACTTATTTCACGTTCGGGTTCTAATGATAGTATATTAGATGACGATTATGATGAAGGGAAGCTGCCCAATAAGGATTTTAGGAAATCCAGATTGAACAAAGCACCTGGGTACAAAGAGTCAGATGGAAGCATACAGCATAGACCTGGTCTAAAAAAATCTGGCAGCTCTTCAGAAGCCATTTCCAGAGATGATTCGCCTAATAGAATGCGCCATGGATCATCTCGATTGCAGCGAGATAGTTCTCGGGAAAGTATTTTAGACGACAGGCGTAAATCGCGTCGCGATACATGGGAAGCAAGTGATAGTGCTGGATCTCAGTTTGGATTCAATCGCGAAGATTCACCAAACAGGAACAGTCGCCATTCTGGACGTTCTGGTAGAACCAGTCGACAAAGTTCGAGAGAAGATATGCTTAGTGATCGCAGTCATCAACATCCTCAACTAGCACGACAAGGTGCTGTAGATGACCAATACAGGAACAGAATGTCCAATATTTCGAATGATGATGGGGGACGTATGCAATCATCAATGTCTCAGCATTCAATAGCATCGAACGCAACCCTTCCAGATCTGGTACCACCAGAAGGAGATTACAATCATCCTGATAACAATACACGACACATTAACCGAGCCAACAATCGAACAGGTTTTATTGGAAATGTGCAGGATATCGATAGCGTTCTTTCTGATGCCAACAAACGTAGAAGGATGAATCGCAATGGTTTATCTATAATGGATGCTCCAGTACCACCTCACGCACACGCCCCTCTACAACCATCTCCTGTAACGTCTCCGAGTCCGCAAGCTGGAGACAGATACGACTTTAATCAATACGATGGAAAGAAACAGCGCCCCAACAGCTATTCTTTTGAAGCAAAACAACAAAAGGATAGAAATAGAGTAGCTATGAGACAATCTAAATCTCATGATGACAAACTCATTGATATCGAAGATGAAAATATTCAACAGGAAACAGCTATTAAGCAATCATCATCACCAAAGAGCGGAAGAGGCCAACCATCACCGACCGCGCAGGCTATGTGGGTAACATTACAACAGAAGAAAGGTCTAGTCGCTATATCAGATTTTATTGCGCTGTGTGAGAAGCCTGCTCCACCTAAAGTAATCCAGATTCCTGGTGCCTTGGACGACTCCAATTTTAATGGATATGCCAATGCTAACGAGATGTTGGAGAATCTTGGTATAGACGTTTCAAAGGTGAGTTGAATGGTTTTACTTTGGAATAATGGGTATTATTTGATCCTCTATAAACAATAATTAACCCATTTTTACATTAAATGCCTTAATCTCGAGACCTGATTTTCTGGAGTGATTCCTGTGGGCAAGGAAAGGTAGGTTTTCTTCCAGATTGCTTTTGTGACCTTTTGCTTGACATGATTAACATGACGTCTTTTAAACCACGTTTTGAAGGTAAAAGCTCCCGGAAACGTATTTTATATTTAACACGGCACCTCTCATCCGACTTGCAAATGTCAGCTGGACACAATTATGTGGAAAACAATTACTTGAATGACTATTTTGAGTCGTTTCGACGATGTTACCCTCGCCTTATATCAAGACGTCGCAGGATATTTATTGAAATATTTGTTAATATTTCCATATAATTTTAATTGTGCCCATTTTGTCATATTCCAATTATAAAATGAGTAAGGAAGTTACCATCTTTTTTAAAGAACTGCAAGCTGGTATTTCCTTTTCTTTTGATTTGTTACGTTCAAGAACTCAGATTGAAATATAGGTTAGGATGTTCGTTAAGCGTTTTCCTGTTCAAACGTTTATAATCCTAAATATAACAAATATAACAAATTGGTACGAAGCCGATAGCATATTGTGTTTGACTTTTGACGATTTTGATATATTTGGCGCTGAACCTTAAGATGTTCGTCTACCTGTGATGATAAATGGGAAGTAACTCTATTTCAATTAAATAATATACGAATCAATTAACAATTTAATCATCAAAATTTCTTTACTGCGGTATGCCCATTGACAATATTCTGCGTATCGTATCCGACATAAATCAGTTCTATAAAATATTATAAAAAATGACAAGTAGGTTATTTTTTGATATTTTATGAAGAGTAGTCTAATTTAATCGGAAAATGTCAGGTTTATCTGTAACAGGCAATTACAAATGTAGCCTAAATAGGCTACCTCTATTTTATAATATACCATTATTTCAATTATTAACAATTATTGCCGGTGGTGGTCTACGCAGGAAACTTAATGTACTTTGGTCGAGTAATTGAACAGAGAGCTATTAAATTTAATATTTGGGCATAATAATGCGCATATAACATAGAGCCTGGGCAAAAATATTAGGATAGCGAATTAGCAATGCTAGCTTTGCATTTGTTGGATTGCTTAGGGAATCTGACGTTTATAAGCCCTATATCTTCCTTAAAATGTAGTGCGCAAAACTCTTATTTCGTTCCATGACCACACATATCAAGGTCCGTTAGACTTTTGAATTCAATGATTGACGGTTGATAAAGTGATCAGGTGTTCAGTGACCAATTATAGCCTAAATGACCAATAACAAAGGTGTTAATCCTGTATAATATCGGGCAATATACTGCTATTCTAGCTCGACTAATATTTGATTAAGCTACTTGAAATTAGATTAAAGAATAATGGACAGTTACCGCTAATCTCGACCTCGGACAAGTATGAGTTATATTTCGGCCAAATATGAGTTTAAGGCAACTTTGGTCAATAATTCCTGGTAGTGGAAGGACATTATTATGGCTCCCAATTGTTAATCGGTACCGTTCTCATTTGATCACCGTCTTTATTAGCTCATTAGGTGCAGATTCCATTCATTCATTCTTCTTTGAGCAAAATATTGCCCTTGGTACACACAATATTTCATTAATACTTTACCAAGAAATTATACAACAATAGGCCTACAACTACAACTGTGGACGAAGACTTTTGACATTTAAAAACCCTCTCCTCGTATTTCAATGTGGACTTTGAATTTTATAGCCAAATATTTGTGAGAATTGTTGAGGCAAAATTTGAAAGTCGCCCAAACTTTTAATTCCTCAAAAGATTTTGACGTTTGAAAGCCAAATAAATAGAAGATAAAAGGGACACCGCCTCAGGTAGACATCATGAAATCAAGGTATGCGTTTGTTTATATTGATATTGATTATCATTATTATAAATACCTGTATCCATATACAATATTATAATAAGACATTTTCATAATCTTTACAGAATCGTATCAATAAGCCACGCCCACTGACATTTGTCAATATCCTTCCGTTTAGTCATACCGTCAGTCAAGTGTAAACATGGCCTAATTCAACTCTGACGAGGTGCACCTTTTTCTTGTGATCTTTATATTTTATCAGCGTTTTCTGGAAGTGTTAAGTGTCAGACTCTGATAAGTTTAACGAGTTTAAGTAATTTAATCTAGGAATCGTATTTATAAAGGAATATATGATTTGACTTGACTACATTCCGCCGACTAACATCAAAGCCAAACACACGTTGACTCATGCGCAGTGTTCAGGTGAAAGGTTGTAGACGCAAGTAGCGATGACAGAAATATGGCGACTTTTACCTGCCGAATACAATATTTAGATGATAGGGATCCATTTTCTAATACTAATTTTCCTGAACCGACTAGACCGCCATGTTATACCTTTTTAACGGCCCAGCTTTTAATCAACCAAGTAGCTGGAGCACATAAATTATTGAAAGCTCCACACCAGGTGAGTGGTTTTGTTTGTTTTTGACATTTTCCGATCATTTTGATCACTTCGGTGTCCTTAGAATATTCACGTATTGTCTTGTGTGTTTATTATCGATATTTTGATATTGATAATTATGTATCTATGTATTTAAGAGTCATATATCAACTGTCTGTGTAATATTGATATGGCCCTGTTATCTGGGCCGTTATTACCAATATACCACACTTGTTTCTTGTTTATACAAGACATAGAATACTTTTAATAATAGATCTTGATGCTTTAATAACATATCCAGGAAATCTCAGCTTTATCTCCTTTCATAACATTATTTAGATTTTCAATTTCTATATGGTAATTGATGTGTTTCATTAGATGTTCTTGGGTCATCTTGAATTTGTCTTTATAATGTGGGTTCTATAAAAAGGTGTAAGGGGGGGGGGGGGGGGTCTCATAGGAGAGACTTTTACAGATCTCTCCCTTTTTTAAGAATCACCACTACTTCTCAGTCTCTGTAAGACAATTTTCAAAGTCAGACTGTTAAATTTATGTTGAATTTTTGTATTATACTTATTACACTTCCATTTCGCTCTGAACTTCATTGTTATATTTTTTAGCTAGAGGATTGTGCCTTACAAATTTATCGCTATCACAGTGGAGCTGCACAAGGTGAATTCGGAACATATTTGGATTTAGAATCGAGTATAGATGAACAGGCTGAGGATCTCGAAGGTTTCCAAGCAGAGTAAGTTTCTCTTTGTCTCATCATTAAAGTGATGTCCAGTAGGATACAGGGTTTGGCCATGAATCATGAAGTATAAGGTACCTATTGGTCATCAGTTGGTCCATCCTCGAGATTTCATAGGGTCATTTGTGAATTCTTGTGGCTGGATTGACAACATTTTTTTTTAAATTGTGTTAAGATGTGGAATATATAGGCAAAGCTCCTGGAAATGGATCCATTTGTACATGTATATATATATTGTCCAATGGCACCAAATTTTCTTTACACCAAAAAAAGGGGATGACCCCTCCCCGACCCCACCCCACATGAAAAAAACAACCTCATTCAACTTCACCTGTTAAATTAACACTTGTAAGGTGGTCAATAATCAATAATTAGCCAATGTTTAATGAAGACCATTGTCTCTCTGACCATTGTAAAGATATAGTTAATATTTGATAACTACTATAGTAGTAGGTTTATAACATAAGACAATAGTATATCAGTCAACACTTGAGATTGTTTCAATCAGTATATTACTAGTGATATCAATAAAACAGTATACCAATAAAAACTCAAAATAACATTAAAAGTATGTCCTGAAGATTGTTGAGGCAACATAGTTAGATTTCTCTAGCATCAGAATTTGTCTCACCTTGAGGAGGATTCATACTCACAGCACATAATTGCATATCAGAAGACAATCTAACTTGTTATCAACTGAGCTATTCCACTAAAAACTGTAGGGTTAAAAACCTTTAAATGATAAACCTGTAAAATCATGTAGATTAATGTTAAACCGTGTAAAAAACTTGATAAATTAGTATTTTATATATAAATAAATACTGTATATGATTACTACTGTAGCCATTAGGATTTAAAGATACTTGTGCATTCTATAGGCTGTCGGGTTGAAAAAAAAGTTGGTAAACTATTAAATTATTAAATTAGTGTGAAACAGTGCAAAAAAACTTGATAAATTAGTATTTTATGTGTTAATGAATACTATAAATGATTATGTAGCCTAAATGGTTTAAAAATACCTGTGCATTTAAAGGTTGTTTTTACTTATTTCATTTCAACTTTATTGATTTTGAAAGAGAAACAGATAAATAAATAGGTCATTAAAACTGTATACTAACTGAAAAGTTTAGAAACAGTTGGTAATTTTCTGTAGAACTCAATATAACAATGGTTGTATTGATTAACTATACTGCCAGAACATTCTATATACGATCTACAAATTACATAGCCTACACCTTCTGAATAGACAATTGAATTAGATAATTATTAATTTTGTATAGGGCCACTTCATTTACCTGCAATACTGTCTTGCATTCATACGGTCTTCATCTTCAGACTCAAAAAGATACCTTAAGGGCTTGGGGTATTAAGATATATTGTGAGGAACCATCAGGGGATACCTAAAAAGGACATAGACTGGTCGCGTTGATATTTGAATCGTCCAGGATATGCATTAATATATTTGCTCAAATACAATAATGACATGATTATGTCAAAAATAGTTGTGTACATCATAACTAGTTAACTTTCCTTGTCTGTTTTTTTTTATGTAAATGTGAACCATATTATGAATTAAATTCCTTATCATTGACTCAGAAAAAGAATTGACATTAGGGTCAAGAAAATTGGCAATAAAATATGATTTTTTTTTTGTTATTCAGAAGATCAAGTGGTCTTTTATCTTTTAATACAATTTTATGACTGTATGGGACATAAAAAGGTTTTGATATTGTTGGTAGCCCTATTTTGTTAAAAGTAATGTGTGTGTTTTGATTTCAGAATGTCAATGTGACTATTGTCAATACTTATGCAAATGATTGACTCACTAACCAAACTTGAATTGATTCTATGAAAGGACCTAAAATACCAATCCTTCTTAGCAGTTGGTTTTAGCGCCAAAAATTTGTAAATCCATATTTGAGCGCAGGGCTGTTAATTCTGCTGTCTTGGCAAATGTTAAGCCCCTGCACACAGGTCTATCTCTCTTCTAATGGCTATTTTATAAAGAGCTTCTTTTGAAGATTATTAGGCATAGGTGTTCTCCAAATGAACAAAAGATTTAGGGAATTTAAAAAAGGGCAATAAAATACAAATTGAAGTTTTTATACTTCAAACTGTTTTTCTGCTTAAATGACATTTTTGTTATGTTGATTATGTAATACAGATTAAGTTGTACAATATATTGAATGTATAACCAGTAAATATAAACTATGATGTTTATTAAATCAACATAATTTATAAATAATTAACTCTATAAATAAAAACTCTAATGTAAATTAAATTGATATCATTCATAATTATAAACTTTATATTTAACTTGGTGTATATTAAGAGTGTTACTAGGGAAATGTATATTAGTAATTATTAGGCATGTTAAGATGTATTTTAAAACTATATCTTACATAATTAAGTAGTTACTTAAAAACTGATACATAAAAAGTATACTATTAATTGAATATATATCAGGCATATTATAAAGTTTTATTTATAAACTGTATCATTTCATATAAATATCAATTTTATATCTTTTCATAATGAAGTAATAAGTAATACACGTTTATAAAGATCAATTTTATATCTTTTCAAAATGAAGTAATAACTAATACACGTTTATAAAGATCAATTTTATATCTTTTCATAATGAAGTAATAACTAATACACGTTTATAAAGATCAATTTTATATCTTTTCATAATGAAGTAATAACTAATACACGTTTATAAAGATCAATTTTATATCTTTTCATAATGAAGTAATAAGTAATACACGTTTATAAAGATCAATTTTATATCTTTTCATAATGAAGTAATAACTAATACACGTTTATGAAAAGTATATATATATGTTTATTAGGCATTATAAATATTAATTTTATAAACTAATAATGTCATAACGAATTTGTAATTTGAATCAAATCTCATTTATAAATTAAAATCAACTACATGTTAAGTTGGTATATATTTAGAGTATATAAGATGAATGTATTTCCTGATGTATTTAGAAGATAACCTCCTAAGGTGAAGAGTTGTATGGTTTAGCTCAATTTTATCTTTATCTTCAAGTTCAAAAACCACATATTTATACAAACAGGTTTTAAATATTAAATTACCAACTTATAAGTGCTATACTAAACATTATATTTTAGTTAAATCAGAGTTTAGAGGTTTAAGAAGTTGAAATATGTAAATTATAATGAATATATGATAATTTTGCAAGCAATTCTAAATTGCTGATTCTCTAAAGGTCTCAAAGACTTCAGCAAACACTTTACAGCAAGTAGCATCATTTCTTATGTCTTCAACATGGCACTGCTCTGGGCTGCAATACTTCATTACTGCATTGCTTTATCTTGTGCAATGTGGTGTTTTGATGGAGGGTGTCTCATTATTTTATAATGCTCACACATCTCTTATGATTGCATTATGCTCTGATGTGAATTTATATATATGTTACATACATACAAAAATGAAGGGCAATGAATCATACTTTAACATGAACAAATTTGAAACCTGATTATTTTTTATCGTAAAACTGGTCATCCAATCATCACAATTTTTATCAAAAAAATCAGTCGACCTGAAAAGAAAGCTCAGTTATGATTTACTGATGTTAGTTTATCAATGTAAGGTGATGGGATCTTTATCACAAATACCAACCAATTTTCTTAAAATTCTACTCTACTCTACATACGTACTAATAAAAATGATAACAGAAGCAGTAACCAGGGATATTGTTATAACCCTTTGTACCAGGATTGTCTGGCATGGTAGCAATGATGACTGGCCATGACAGTACTCCTTCTATAGAAGTATAGGTCAAACATCAAATCAAGGTGTATGTCATTCTATGTCTTATGAATATGCAATAAATTTTTATTGGCGAAAAAAGCAATTTCTTTTGATAAATTATAATGAAAGGACTCCTTTACATATTTTGTAATATTCAAATTTTCACATGTCACTATTCAGTATTGAATAGACATATACGTATTAGTGATATTTTTTAATAACTGTTTAAAATAGTTGACATTCTTTCTACATGACATAATGTATAACTAATAGAAACTTCATAATAAACTTATTAGACAAGATTTGTAAAAAGAAAGAAAAAATTCTTGACGTTTGCATAATGGTTTAAAAATAGAATCATACAATAGGATAGATATAAATTCAAGGGTATGACTCTAAATTGTCTGTGGTTTTTGGTATGTTGTTTTTTTATTTGTTGAGACTTGAGACTTTATTAAAGGGACGTGCGCCACGATTTTGACCAATCATACTCTAGTCTCAGAAACGGGAATTTTATAAAGTCTTTGAATGGCATTTAGCAATTGTGAGTACGATATATAGACACAGCTTTATGGAACAACAATCACTGTGCATGTGCACAAACATGTGCCTGAGGACGACGGGGGAAACATGTCGAAACGTTGCATAAAACTTTAACCGGGAATTTTATAATTAAGTCAATCAGTAATATTAGTAGTATTTACATAAATTCAACACTCAAATCAACCCCCCAAAATGGGGCACTTGTCCCTTTAAGAACTTTGCAGTATAAAATGTAATCTATGATGAAAATTCCCTGTTTTAAATGGGATTCATGACATCATGAAACCTGAAGTAAAGTTTTTAAGCTGTAATAAATTCCCCTTTTGATGCTATAAAAATAATGTAGGTTGTATTATACATTTAGACTTTATATTCTTATCAGAACCATGTACTACAGGTAATAATAATTTGTTTGTATTAGTTGGGAAGGAAGAGAAATTTTATTTCATTTTTAAAAAACAACACAATATATATTACCTAAAATTGCCTTCATACTATAGCGATTACCAGTTGCAATTAATGAAAGTGGTCATTAATTCCAAACGCAACACACAACTCAGTTGCATGAGAGTTGCATTCAAATCTTATAACTGCTATTCTTTTTTGCAACCATATACAACTGGTGATCGCAATGGTTTGAGTGCACCTTGATATATAACAATAGATAAAGACAGTATAAAGACATTTGCATATTCAAATAAAAAATTATTGATTGACAGTCTGTTGCTAATCGTTAAATACATAATTTATCTTATTTGAATAAGTTTGATTGAATTTCCTTAGTTTCATTTTCTAACAACATTTAATAGAGGATTCGTGTAGAAGTCACAATGACCTTGAAGGTGTCAACAAGTTTGAAATTTGTATCCAAGTTTTTACTTGAACTAATCTCACTACACTAATTACATACTGTACCTAATACAATGTCATGTGAACAGAGTTTATCAAGCAACTAATAGGCGTTTTAGGATTTTGAACATTCAATTTTAAATGCACAGAGATCGTCATTTTACAATTTGCTTATTCTGCTCTTAATTATATAAACAGAAGACTTTTTTTTTTTAAATATTATCATCTGATTGGTCAATAGAATTGAATTTGAAATCAAATCAATGAAATCAATTTGAATTAACGGAAACGAAATGCCTAGATTGCTTTTTTGCTCAGATTTTGATAAGAAAGACCAACCCCTCCTCCTCGCCCCCCCTAAGCTCTTAGATAATTCTTTATAATTATTATTGTCTGAATAATAAAGGTTTTGATATTATTTTTTTCAGGAGAAAGAATACTCTTATTTTAAGAACACAGTTGACAGTGAGAGTTCATGCTATAATAGGTAGGTTCAAGATTTCACTTATTGTCATTGTCACCCTTCAACTTTATCATTTAAATTTATTTGATTGAAGATGTCATGATATTTTTGACACTTTATAACCTCTACTTGTTATATATAATGTTATTTTTGGTGTCTTCTCATGTCATACTTGTACTACATTGTATTGCAACAAACTTTTGAAACCTTCCGTTTTCATAAAGAATGTATTTATAACAATGTCGCTTTGAGTATTTGATTCACTTCAAGCTACCTATTGCACCATTCAATAACCCGTTTGACGACTGAGCGTCTGTGACTTTCATAAAAAAGTAGACCAACTATGATGTTATTATCACAACATTTCCATTTGGCTTCATTGTCATTTGTGATAGTGTGATCATGATCTCGCTATTAATTTTTTAATTCCAAATCCTCAGAATTCGAGTTTAAAATTAGATTAGTGGAAATTGGACTCTATTTATGTATTTGATACACATACAAAGATAAGAAAATATGATTACAGTTCCTTAAAGATAGACATGAAAACTGACCAGCACATCCTCTGTGTTCAACTGCAATACCTTTTTTTTACTGGATACATCACAATTTTCTTGCCACAAAATTAGAAGTCAAGTGACTGCTTGTAACAAATATTGAGAAGTATTTGGTAGATGACAATATTAAAGAGGTATGGGAACAATAAGGTGTATCAATAATGGTGGAAAATAATCTCTAAACAAATTCTACCCTCTGTATTCTTGTCCCAAGTATTGACATTGAATCTTCAACTTAAAATCACGTCTTTTCACTCTACATTAAGATAACATTGATTGTATAGAAAACTCACAAAACCTGTTTGAATATACCCCATATTGAAACACTTTCATCTCAAAAGTTAAAGTGATGTTACCTTAGTATCTTCTGCTTTTTCAACAAAATTTCCAAATTAGGAAGTTGGGAATATAAATACTTGAAACTCCACTGGTAGAGTTTTTTGTAATGAAAATACTTCATAGTAGTAATTTTCAAATAGAATAAAGATAGTAATGCATATGTACAATTTGCAGATTACTAAAATTTTGGAAACTTATGTCATAGTGATATCAGGTGTTTTTGAAGGGTGAAGAATTTACAGAAAAGGGACAGTTTTTGCTAATCAGGGTCCGATTTTTTATCTCCAGTCAGACATGGCTAGTGTGCACATTTAAATAAGTATCTCTAATAATTGCATGAAATTAGCATATTTTATAAGCCTTATGTCAGCATTAAGAAAATGGTTATTGGTTTTTACCGAGGGCTATATAAAGAGAGCGCATGCCTTATATATAGATTATATGGATAGTTACATTATAAGTTGATTAAAATCTGTGTCAGTTATAACTTATAACCTAAGGTTATAGGTGATTTATAACTTACCTGGCTTGACATGTATTAGCACATATTATTTTTATAATCTTAGCATTATAATATCTTACATACCAAGTAGCTTTGATCTTTACATTTAGAGAGAGTAATTTAAAGGGTGCTTCCCTCGTTTATTATTTAGATTCTATAGTTATAGTTGGATATATACTCTCATTGACCAAGTATGAGGAATTACATTTAATGCTAATTATAAGCGGTAGCATCCCTTTAATTCAGTGATTTGAGTTAAAATGTCAAAGCTCTAGATATAAACTTGTATCCTTTGTTACAATAAATTTGCCTGCTAGTTTCTACATATAGATCTATAATGAAAGCATGTTGAATGATGTCCTTTATCACACCCAGTCTCCAAACAAAGATTTGGCCTTCTGAAAATGTTCCGAATAATTGTCACATAGCTCAATATACATTTTCAAAACATATTTAATTTAATGATGTGAACTTAATGGCTTCCATTCTGGTGCTAGGAGACAAATATTGTACTGTCTTATATAATAAGATGTATATTGCAGACTAATATTGATACATAACTATTTCAACGAAATTGAAATTCAGAGGTCTAAAAACTGACCAACAAAATTTGTCAAATTTATCCATTAGGTCTATTATAACTTTGTGAGCTATTGAACAGTTATATTTCTGACATTTAAAGGCCATATATATAATATTAAATACTTAAAGGTATTGTTCCACTTAACCAGAAGCTGGCCAATAGAAATATTTCAAATGACAAAATATGTTACTGTAGATATGATCAATTACATTTAAAGGCAATTACAGTTTATGTATAAGCACTTAAGTAAAACACTTGCCAATAAATTGTGATATGTTATTTAGAATTTGGATGGATTCTACATGGGTGGATGCCTTTAATATTCATTGTATGATTATATGAACCACCTGTGTCAATATCATCTCCAGTTATTACACTCTTAAATAACTCTTTCTCTTAACACTTACACTAGTAGAATCAAAGTAAAATAACGGAAAGGAGAAGATTGTACTATAGGTGAAAAGTCAAGTGCAATAAACTCTTTTCTATTGACGCAAAAACTACATCTTAATCAAATTGTAACATTCGAACCAAGTTGATAAATTTGTCTCACAAGTGGTAAAATTGGTAAAAAGAAGAAAAATTCCAAAAACTATCAAGTTAAATCCAGTGGTAAATTGTTCAAATGAGAAAATCAAACTGACACATTTTCTAGCTCAGTTTCAATGTGACCTTCATGAAATTGAGTCTTTGTATATGTCATGAGTGCAGACTATGACATTTGAGATGAAGATATAATTGTGGTGAATAAATTATGATGTCTCCTGTCCTAATTTGATATGTTTAGATATTAAATTTATTCATATCAACTAAGAGTTGCAGCCGTTTCCCAATTTGAAAGATGAAAAATTCAAGAAATCACACAGGACAGTTATTACCAGTTATTGTTTATACTAATAGTTAAACTGGTAGTTAATTATCCATATTGTTGCAATATTGAAAATTAAAGATCCAAACTTGCAATTTTGATTCTTTGTAAAATGAACCATTTCAAACAGCCCAACTAGATTACATTTCTCAAGTTATTGTTTCAATCAATCATATTGATTACTGATAAATGACTTGTGTTCAAAGAATTTCATTAATTTCCATGTGTTGCACTATGTTGATTGTTTTTTTAAATGACATACGTTGCATGTTTAGGTGCATTCCATCAAAATCAATTTGTCGAGCGTGTCATACTTTACATATTTTGGTCTACGTTATTTTTTTACACGCACATTTTCAGGATATTTGAAACTCTGATCCTCACTTTTTTGTGAAATGAAAATGAGACACAATAGCTACTTGTTGCATAAATTAAGTCACCTTTGAATATTTAAAATTTTGGAGTTTTATATAGATACCCTCAATGTATGGATATTCAAGGACATTGACATACAAGTTAGAATTTTAAAGATTTAAAAAGATATGTATCACATAAAAGGACATTGAAGAATTTTAAATTTTAAAGGTTAAAAAAGATATATATATAAAGACAATCAATTTGAATTTTAAAGATTTAAATATTGAATTCGAGGTCATTGAATTACAAGTGTGAAGGATATTAATTTAAACTATAAATAACTTGATCATTTGGATATTGTATATCTATCTTACTCAATTACTATATATCAGTATGTTATATCATTGGTGATTATAATGAATACAATAGGTGGTAAATATGACCCCTGCTTAACCCCATATCCATAATTACCTTGTATCTAATAATAAAGCTAATATGATAGGCTTAATAAGGTTTATTGACTTATAATCACTAAGAAAGACCTGACCAATTTGTTTAATGTAATAAGAAGACTAGAACATTATCAAATAATTACTTTAACACTTTTATCATTGTCTTTGATGATATTAATATTTTCTTGGCAATTAATTTTGACTTTGATTGAATTTAAGGCAGTAAATTTATTTTGCTTTGACCAGTTGAAAAATTAAAGGTTTCAATACAAATTTTAATTGGAAATAGGTTGTCTACAATAGTTGACAATAGTTATTTAGAACATTTTGCCACTATCAGTGACCGCTGTGTGGAATCTCATTGCATCCAGAAAATACCAACATTTTCCTTAAAACAGGTCAACAAAAACAATAAATTTTAAGCTAATGAATTTTGCACACATTGTCAATTTTTGCTTAGAAAGTGAATAATCTTATCAATCTTTGTCTTTTTCAGAGAAATTATTAAATTCAAGTGGAAGAGATTTAAGAAGAGCCTTGTTTTCATTAAAACAGATCTTTCAGGTAAGGGAAATAACCTAACCTTTGATAGATGAATCGTACAATAAGTTCATTGAGTAAGATTTGAGTGGGAGATTGTTATATTGAGAAACTAAGGAAATGTAGGGTTTCCTTTCACACTCAATGATGTCTCTTTCGCATGGACTTCACAAACTAAGGATAGTTGTTTTGATCTTATCAATCTCCATTCTGAAGAGTCGTGCGTTGTAATGAGAGGCACTCTGTAATCCAGACTGGAAAAGCTTTCTGAAGAGCTGACAGTTGAAGAACATCAAATTCAGCTCGGTAGTTAGTTGGAGGATTGATCTGTTCAGCAAGACCTGATAGGAAAAGACATACTGAAGAACTATCAGTTGAAGAACTTATCAGCTGCCCAGTAGTATAGTTAAAGAAGTCATTTTTTCAACTAACATTGATAGGATGCATGATAACAGTTTAATGAAAATATTTCTGTTATCCAATTTACAGGAGGATAAAGATTTAGTTCATGAGTTTGTAAATAATGATGGTTTGGATTGTCTTATTAAAGTTGGGGCAGATGCTGAACAAGGCTATCAAAATTATATACTTCGAGGTAAGTCGTTGTGTTTTGAATTTAATGGTCGTGGCCTTTTTGTTACATAGCAAAACACTGAAAATTCTTGGTAAAAGACCAGCCCTAACTATTGCTTCAGGTAAAGCCCTCATCGATGCTTATTGTCCCTCTGAGGTATTGAAATCAAACCGTAGTTATAAATCACAAAGGCAGGTATCATTGATTATTTAGATGAAAAGATATGGTGTAAGTAGCTCACCTTGTTACATACCTGTGTTACGAATGAAAGAGCTACACACAAGAGCTCTTAAGTAATGTTTCAAATATAGACAGCTGGAAAGATGGAAGTTTAATATTTAAGACAAAGGACTTTTCCTGAAAAAAACTATAATTCCTATGTTTTTCAGCCTTGGGACAGGTTATGCTGTACATTGATGGAATGGAAGGGGTCATCAGACACAATGCTACCATACAGTGGTTATATTCACTTTTGGCTGCAAAGGTAAGTCACCACAAAATTATGTATGAAAGTATTAGAAAATGAAAGAATTAAAGATTAAGACAGAAATATATTGTTATGCAATGTGTCCAACTAGCAGCCGACAAAACCATATTTAAACTTAAAGTAGAAAAGTATTCAAGTAGCATAATGAAGCGATAATTTGTGTATTTTTGTGTTTTAGGGTCGGCTAGTTATTAAAACAGCATTAAAGTTATTACTAGTGTTTGTAGAATATACAGAATCTAACACTACTCAGTTATTAAAAGCTATAGCTGCTGTAGATTGTAAAAGAGGTAGGTTACAAATCATGTTACTTTATGTCATGTTCAAATGTTGATTTCTGATACTAACCCATGTTAGACAAAAAAGCCCAAAAATTTTACTTGACTCTTTTGAAAACTATGTTATTTCTGTGAAATGATTTTCTCTTAATGATGTTTTTCAGTTTTGATTAATTTTTAATTGAGGAATAAGAGGTCATGCTAAATTGTATATATCTCCATGATATTTGTCAGGCTTCTTATTTCTACATTTTCTTGTCATTCACAGGAGGTCGTCCATGGATTAATATTATCAATATTTTGGATGAAAAAGATGGAAGTGATTCGGAATTGTTGGTTTATGCCATGACTCTTGTCAATAAGGTAAAAATTTGTTTTTTTTTATATTTTTCGTGGAATATGTTAAAACTACACTTTTTAATCTATTTGACCAATATTATCAGATATTCAATACTTCTTGTCTTCAGAAAAGTATGACTTATATTAGATTTCATGGATTATGTTTGAACTGTTAATACTTATTAAAAACTTGGTTTATTTCTTCTTCATCAATCAGGTTCTAGGTGCTGTTCCTGACCAAGATACTTTCTATGACATTGCGGATGCTCTAGAAGAATTGGGTATGGAAAGAATAACACAGAAACATATGACTAAAAATGGAGCTGATTTAGATCTTCTTGCCCAGTTCCAGTTATATGATGTAAGTGAGGAAAAATATATATGAAAAATTTGTTCCTTAACTATTATACTACCAAAGGATCAACTGATAATGTAAGGATTAAATGGCATTGACTTTGACACTCTAGTTTGTATTTTAATTCCTTTTCAGTCTGCCTTGAAGTGCGAGGATGGAGAAAGTCAGAAAATTGGACCAACAGAACACCTCAGGTAAATATTGATGTTATTTTGGGGATTTGGACTGCGCTCTTTCAGTAGCAATTGATTTTGACAACATATTCAGAGTTTAAGAATAATTCGGAGCAATGCCCAATTACAACAACAAAATACAAAATGATGCTTTGAGCATAATATTTGAATTCTGAAACTTCAATATCTTTTGACTTAATAAATTGCTTTGAATTTTGAAAATATTTTTTCAGACAAGTACCAAGAATGAAAAGTGATGATGTACAGAGAAAGAGTCGAAGAAGTCTTGGATCTGGCCAACAGAAAATGTCGAAATCTCTAAGCACACCAATCTTACCTCCAACAGAGGAGAGTCCATATGATCCAGCAGAGGCTTTGAAGAAGAGAAGAATGAGAGACTCAGAGTAAGTAATGGAGATTTATTTCAATAAAAGCGAGATTCTGTTTTTTTTTTCTGGTTTTTTTTAGATATTTCTGGGAATTTCTAATCCTTTAGGCAGTAATGTTCAGTTGTTATTGGAATTCAGATTGTTTATCTGTTATGCTTTTGACAAAGGCCTTCTCAACCGTATCAGTGTGTCAGATGAAGTATGGGTACTAAAAGCTTACAGCAAAAGCTTAGTTATGTGTCAACAGTTCAACAGCTAATCCCTTTCTTCATTTGCTACAGTTTCAGAATGCCTCCTGCAGATGAAGTTGAAGAATTTCCTCCACCTCGAACTAGGAACAACAGAAGATCTTTACCAGCCGATATGCAACAACCAGAACAGTTCAATGGTGGTCAATGTAAGTTGCTTTATGATTCAACAAACTAATTCTGAATGGTTTGCTGTGTGCGTTCTGCTATGATAACAATATAGACTAAACCATGTTCAGTTTCAACAGTAGATAGTCTACGTAAACTAATTTTAATGTCTTTCTCTATTTATCCAATTGCCTTGACTTAGTAAATTACACTGTTACAAGTGATGAATTGTGAATTAATGAGACTGCCAGTAGAACTACAAAGATAATGAAGATAATCACATCCTTGAGTCATGTGTTAATGCATTCAGCCCGATTCTTCACCCGTTTTTGAAATTTATTTGATAATTTATAATTGTGCACAAACTATTTGTATGCAATATAATAAGAATAGTAATGTGAACAATTCAATATAGATTTCTAATACATGAAGTTCTAAAGAAACATAATATTATCCTCCCCTTTCTTTTTGAGTGTGAATTTGTTTTGAATTAACCAGCATGATTTGAAGTAAAGCATGTTTATTAACAGATTCTAACGTGACTAGAAGAGACAGACGTGAACGCCAACGAAATTTAATCAAAGAACAGCAACAATTTGTAGGTTTATCGGTAGAACGTGACCGGTTGTCTATAGCTAGTACATCCTCCACCAGTACTAATAGTAGCAGTGGGTCTTTCCCTCCAGAATCATCATCAGTCATTCCAAGTTCACTTAGTTCTCATAGTAGTGATCTTGAAACTTTTGGTAAGATTTCTTACAGACACATACATATTTATAGCATATTAAATTTCAATGGTTAAGCACTGTTTGAGTGTTCCATGGAAACTTTTAGCTCTACTTATATCAAAAAGAGCTGGGTTTTTTTTAATTTAGATCTGAACCATGTTGCTCTTAATTAAATCACAGTATATATTATACAGAAGAGTTTTATAGATAAAGGATATATTTGTTCAATTGCATCTTTTAAATGTATTGTATGCTGTTTTCTGCATGATAAACTAAAAAATGAATTAATGTAAATGAATTTGATAATCATTTTTATACTTGATCATATGAGTTCAGTTTACTTCACAGAGAATATATTTTTAGAACCTAAAGAAAGTTTTGACATCCATTTATAAATATGAAAATAGATGATTAATAGAACTTTTATTTAATCTGCATTTCTCCTGTTCATCAAAACATTATTGATGATTGAAATATTACAAATAATTTGTATATCTTTCAGATGATCAGCGAACTAATTACCCTAATAAACAAGAGATGGGAATGAATCAGTTAAATGAGTCTGGATATCAGAGTTTTGATCAGAATTCTCTTGATTCTCGTAACAACACCATTAATGACAGTCATAATCGTAAACTGATGGACAATAATCGATTTAATCAATCACGAGATGACCGATTTGATAATAACCGATTACGAAATCACGAGGAACAGTTCAACGGTCAGGTACCGCCCAATAAAAAACCAGGATTTAATTTACATAAAGAAGGGACAGTGTCTGATGTGAAAAATCGGTTCGCGAATAAAGGTGAGGAATTGAAAATTCCGTTAGAAACTGGCCATCCCAGGGGTGACTCTACTGGGTTGATCGGAAAAGCTAAGGATGGGTTAAACAAAAATTCTGCTCCTGGTCAAAAACAAGCAGAACCGTTAGTTCAAAAGGTACCAGAACCGAAAAAGACTGAGAGTGATATGCAATGGGAGAGAATTGCCAGACGGTTAAAAAGACCTCTGAAATTAAAAGATATGGATTTCACTGACTTGAAAGATGAAGATGATCAAGATCTGTTCGAACCCCCTAAGATGGAAATTGAAGGTATTCCCCTACCCCCTGGAGGAATGCCCCCACCACCGCCTCCAATGGGAGGAATGCCCCCTCCACCACCTCTTCCACCTGGAATGGGTCCCCCACCCCCACCACCTCCCGGGTTAGGAGTTCCCCCACCGCCTGGTTGCCCATCTCCAACTCCACAAATAACTGGTCCACCTCCCCCTGGGGCTAATCTACCAAAAAATAAGAAAACAATCAAAGTTCATTGGAAGACTGTTCCTGGAGATCCCACTATTAATGGTTCTAAAATGGATACCATCTGGAAAGAGTTGGCACCATTTAAACTGGATGTTGAAAAGTTGGAGCATTTGTTCGAAACCAGAACTACAGAGATGAAACCTAAGGTAGGACTCCTTCTGTTGTATTTCTTTATCAAATTAAAGGATAGCATTTTTCAGGGGTTGATTTGGGTCTTGCATATGTAAATAGTCTTCAGAAGTACCAGAAATGTATAAAAATTGCATAATTCCTTCACAAATATGGGAGAAAAGTATTTCAAGGCCAAGATCAAGACCATGTACAAACTGCATTTTGATATCACACTTCTGATGAATTGACAGTATCCACAAATTTCGTTCAAAATGCATTGTGAAATCTTTGCAGAATTGATATTGTGTTGTGACGATGTATTTATTTCTTTTCAATTTTTTTGTAAAGTTTATTTTGATTTTGAAAATTGGCTGAAGATATTGTGTTTATATTTGAGTTCTGATTTTCTTTTTCATACACTTGCTGCTGTGATTGATTGGTGTTGCTAACTGCATGTTTTATTGTAAACAGGACTCGGTAAGAGCTTTTGACGTTTGTATACCAGTGACTCTGAATGACTCACTGACTCTCTCTCCCTATATATAAATATATATGATGTAGATACCAGTAGCTTAGATGACCTTTGCATAGGTCGTATCTAGAATATTGTAGTCTTCTATAGAACAAATCTTTCTCTCTCTATATCTCTCTATTCTTATATCTATTGACTAAATACTGAGCTGTAATAAGAAAATTGTTAGGAATTTTCAATTTAACTGTGAAACATCAAATGTCTTTGGCTGTATGTGTCATCTATGTTATAGATTTTCTGAAAATCTCAACATCCATAATAAAATAAAAAAGACTAGGAAAATTGTTTGTCTCAAATGTTCAGGTATACTTCCCTTTTGATGTATTGTATATAGCAATAGATATGAGAATACATTATTAGCATTTATAGATATATTAGTATACATGTTGTAAATATATCAATTGATTTGTTTTGATTATATTGTGATAATATAGTGCTTAGTGATGATGATTCAGGGACAGTTTTAGTTGCTTTTCTTTAAATAAGAATCTGATTCTTGTGAGGATATTGACTTGCTTTTGCAAAATTATGAAAACTGTACCTTGTACACTGTGTGATTGATGTTTGGTATTGTGTGAAAGTTTGCATATATCTTCTATTCTTTTCTTTCTCATTTTCCTCTTCTTTTTCTCTTGCCCTTCCTCTTCTTAATGAAATAAGATGCAGGAAAGCTCCTGGAAATATCTCCTGAATTCTTTTCTTTTCTTCTATTTATTCTTCTTCATGTATGCTTCTATTTAATCTAATCTAAATCTTATTTCATTCTCTAACCTCCTTCCCACCATATCATATTACCTACCAATGACCTTTTATATTATTGTATTACCACAAGTTAAGAAATCCATTGACAATATCTCTAAATAGTTTTTATGACATTTATCATTTTCATACTTTTACTCTCGATTTTGCTATACTTTGCTATACTTTGGACGACAGAATTGTCTTGCTTGTAAGGATTTTTAGTCATAATGCAAATTACTAGCACTAATAGACAAATATCATACACCAAATGATAATGATCCAATCAAAATAGTCTTCAGCATTTTTACCCTTCATTTATAAAAGATCATTATTCATTTCATTGTTTATTTGTGTCTTTGTTTGTATGGAAAAGAAAAAAATGTCAACAGGGTATTTGGGATGGCAGTGAATTCACCACTTTCTAGTGGAGTACCATTTAGCTAAACTTTGTGTAAAAGCAAAAATGGTGAGCGATGGAGCCCTTAAGCCCATAACATTATAAAACACTGTATTTATTAGATATTTGCTAGGTGACGAAACTGGAAAGTGGTGAATTGAATTCTGAGCCCCAACATCTTTCCATGTCTATAAAAGTTTCTATGTTTGAAAGTTCCCAATGCATGTTTGTTTTATTATCATTATGTTATTATTACCTTGTAGAAAGTTGATACTTCTGGTAAAAAGGAAATCACAGTTTTAGATCCTAAACGATCCAACGCCATCAACATCAGTTTAACAGTATTACCACCTCCTAGAACCATCAAGGCAGCCATCTTGAAAATGGATAACTCTATCATGAATAAGGAGAGCATTGAGGTGAGAATTTGACATATTTTATGTGACTTATTATTGATTATCATACTCTTGGAAGCTGCAGTGACTTCAATCATGTTCCTTCAGTAGGTGTTGAAGGTTACAGATCTGCTATCATTTGATAGGCATGAGGAAAATAAATCAAATCTTTGACTTAAGTTTTTTTTCTTGATTCTGGGCCAATACTTCATCGAATTAGCAGAAGAGCATCTACTTATATGAAGACAGATTTGTGCTAGATGAAAGCTACTTATCAATAAGTCTTCAATCAAAATACTGATACTCTCTTAGTTTTCAATTAAATGTAAATTTTTGCCTTTCCAGAAAATCTTGAGTAAATTATTACCAACTGAAGAAGAGAAACAGTTAATATTAGATGCTCAGATAGCTAATCCAGATATACCACTTGGTACAGCTGAACAGTTCTTGTTGACCTTATCATCTATTAATGAACTGTACGCTAGACTTCGTCTCTGGTTATTTAAACTTGAATATGAACAGTTAGAACAGGTAAGAGGCTTTCTAAACCCTATCTTATGATTTCCAGTCAGATCATCTTTAATAACAAGTCATGTCCAGCATGACAGAGATTATTCCATATATATTTCAGGGCAAAAAGGAGAGTACATTAATCTCTTTTGATATCAATCGTGCTTGCCCCAAGGTAACTCATAAAAATTAGTCCAAGAATGACTATTCATGCAAATACCTCCTTTTTCTTTGACACTGTATAACTTATTCATTCTATACCAATAAATATTCTATTATAGGAAGTATCAGAGCCTTTGATGGATTTAAAGAAAGGAATAGAAGAATTATTGGTTAATAAAACATTTAAATATATTGTATCAGCTTTACTTGGTATTGGTAACTTTTTAAATCAAAGTCAGGTATGTTTATAGAGATAATATTCTTCACAGTTCATTCTTTAATGTTTAAACATTATCATACTTTATCTGCTCTGTGAATGTTTTGCCCCTTATGTTCATTTTGCTGGATGTGTCACCAATCTTGTACCAACAGCAATTCAAAGACCTGTTCTTATGCTTAAAAAATTAGGTCAATGAAGATTAGATCCTGATTACCCAAACATTCTTTTCCATTCTAACACCAGTGCTAAATGGATATAGCTTGTGCCCATCTTAACTATTCTGACTTGTTTTTCAGGCTAGAGGTTTCAGTTTAGAATTCTTAACCAAAGTGCCAGAAGTTAAAGACACAGTTCATAAACATTCATTATTACATCATCTATGTATTATGATATTAGAACAATTTCCAGGAACCAGTGATTTATACTCAGAGATTGGTCCTATTACCAGATGTTCTAGGGTACGTAGATTTTTATAAAAAAGATTTTTACATGATGCCACTCTGCTGGTATTATTTATTTGATATATTGAAATTTAATTCTTTTGATTGGTTTTGGTTTTGAAATTAAAGGTCTATGTTAGATATTTAAAAAGGCCATTAAATTTGCTCAGCAAGATTATGAATTAAATATTCTTGAATTCCAACTACTTAGCTATTTTCTTTAAATGGCGTGATTTTAACTTTGAATCATTTGTTTGATCAAATTTTCTTAATTTGTAGGTTGATTGGGAGGAATTGGAAGTGAAATTAACAAAAATGGAGAGAGATTGTAAAGCATCATGGGATTATTTACGTGCTATTGTAAAACATGATGGTGCTTCTTCAGAATTCAAGGGAAAGTAAGTACTGGTTTAAATTTTGCCAAATTGATAATTCAAGATGGAAAAAAATGTAACCATCTGCACTTTAAATAAGTTTGCAGGCTGTTCACTATAGATATTGAGGAGAGGAACAGTGGTGTAGGCCATGACTACCCAAGAACAGAGAATGGGGAGTGGGGGGACTTTCAAATATCTTATCCTTTAAAACATGAAAAGAATTACCTGTGAGGCCCTCTTGACATATTTATGACCTCTCTGATTCATAGAAATGCCACTGGAAAGGAGAATATCATGCAATGTGATGTTATCTGTTATTTTGGATTTTTTATGAAGATATTTAAATCGACACCATATTTTGTTCTTCAACAGCTTATACTCTACAACTCTAATAACTCAGTGGATAATTGAACATAATGAATTTTTAATTTTATATTACAGAATGTTAGTGTTTTTAGCTGATGCTGCTGAAAGAATCATGATTTTACAAATCATTTATAAACGGGTCATTAATAGGTAAATAACAATACTTTTTAAAATTAATTAGGGTAATTTAGACGTGTTGGCTCTCTAACTTGGGCTGACATGGATAAAGATTGTAGGATGTGACAATTAACCGACCCCTTGTGTGCTTAAGGCTGTTCATGTTGACATTTGGCTAATGTCACAGTCCTGCCAAATTTCCCCTCAATGCACACTGCATGATGTTGCCTGTTTCATTGGCCCAATTGGGTACAGAAGAGTAGGATATATTACTCAATTCGACAACACTTCCTGAATTGAATCCTTATTTTTTATTGGAATTATTTTCAGATACCACAAACTACTGTTGTTTATGGGGTTACCTGTGTATGCTGCTAGGGAACAGAGAATTAACTCATTCTGTAAAATAATCAGTGAATTTGCTCTAGAATATCGTACAACTAGAGATAAAGTCATACAACAACAGTTAAAGAAAGCTAATCAGAGAGAACGAAAGAAGACAAGGGGTAAAATGATCAGTGAGGTATGTATTACCAATTAATTGGAAAATTCATGTTATGGATTTCATGTTTTGATAAACGGTTAGATTGTTACAAGGCCTACTAAAGATTTTTTTTCTATGCTAGAAAGTTATATGGTAAATACTATCATATACTGAACAAAAAGTTGATTGATTATGTACCTTTTATTTACAGACTGAGAATTTCTCTAAATCAAAGGACGGTAAGAATGATGATGCATTAAAAGCAGTATTAAAGAATGGTTATGCTAGTTGTGATGAAAGAGGTTTGCCTGGTCAGAGAATACGAAGAAAACATGGTGAGAATACAGACTATTTCACATAATGTTTTAAAGGATACTCTGTAATTTTGCACCATTTCAATAATTTAACACTTTTTGTGCGGTACGATGAACATTAGAGAATGTGTCCAAAATGTTTCTTGAACTCAGGTTTGCATTTTCTGTTTCAGATGCCAAGAATTTGGGTGCCTCTAAGTCAAGTTTAACGACTGATTCAGAGATGTATGATACTGGTGAGGATGAACTATTGGAAGCTTGTGTTCGTACAGCTACTGGTCAAACAGGTCGAGCACCAAGAGAAAGACGACGATCTCGCAGTAATCGTAAATCCTGTAAGTACATCAATCATTCTTCTCATTAGCCTAATTTATTTACTTTATATTTCAGTTCTACTTTCGTTTTATTAGATTTATTCCATATTTTAGTAGTTCACGTAGCTTTGAGTTACTATTTATAGCACACCTTGATAGATTTGTCACAAATAAGCACAATCATTCATTTAATTTATTCTTTCATTCTGTCTCTCTATCATTTTATTCATGCCTGTATAAAATCATCATCAATTTGTGCTTATCTCAGGGGATGTGCTTCATGAAAACTTAGATGAATTACGAAATGTTTTAGTCCAAAAAGACAGGTGAAATTAGATTGGTAAGATTTAGATGTGAAGACCTTTATAGTTTAATCTTTTTATATTTTTACAACTTGTGTGACGGATAAATTGACCAAAAACCAAATTAAATTTTCAAAAAAATAAAATAACCTACCCCTTTTAACTTGGCCCTGAATTTTAATTTTTGCTGGTTGCCGTGGTTAGTCTCCAAGTATGACTTATCTGAATGATGAAATACCTTCATTTTAGATTCCCCCTCCCTTTCTTTTTTTATGTCATGATATTCTTGGGCTAACAATTTGGTAACATATTTTAAAAATTTTGATGTTGTTTGGGGTGGGAAAATAATTTAAAACAGGTCTTAAAACATCACAATAAAATTTCCATTCATGAGCACAATTTTTAAACTTTAACTAACATCTTCAGGTTTTTATGTTTTTCATTTATTTTTTATTTATGACCATTTTTTCAGCTTTTTGGGATAGTGATTATTAAATTAGGTAATTTTATTGACATGCCATATCATGTTGTTTGATAATACAAGTTATTTATATATGTTTGACTTGATCCGTTGCATTATCCTTATGTTCCAGTGAAATGATCTGAAATGATACATGTTTCGCATTTCCAAGAAAATTTTTTATATTATTTTTATTTCAATATTTATGTGATCAAAAAGTTACTTAAATTCTCAAATTCGGCTCAAATTTATATTTGCATTTTTGTTCATATGAGAGCAATATTTAATTGGTTATATTTGTCAGTCATATCTTATTTTTAACAATATGTGTTGTTATACTTGAATCTATATAGGAAATATGTTAAGCAGGTATCATTTATAGATCATTTTCAACAAACAAGAAATAATCCAAAATAGTCCCATTTATTGGTGTTCTTTGTGTCAACAGTAATAAAGTCATATCTCATGTTATAAGAAAACCATTTGCCTGTATCATTCATTGAAGATATATATTATAACTAATAGTTGTTGTAAAATAATATAAGTATTATTTAGTGGTAAGCATTTCTCAAGTTTGTTCACAATGTTGATAAGTCTTATTTTCTAAACTATTATATCCTTTTTTTGATAGAGAGTTCAAGATGTTCATATCAAAGTCTTCTTTATTAGAGAGTTCAGGAAGCAAGGGATGTCCATTGGCTATATTTTTTTAAATACACACGCTGGTGCATTGTGTCCAATAATCATAAGTTTTTAGAATCAGGGTATGCTCACTGCTGTATGACTTCAACTATAGGAGTCTATAAAGATATTAATGTTATAATGATATTTCGGGTTACACAAACACATTTCCATAAAGTGCTGTAATATTAAAAAAATATATAATGCCCTTTAAAGAGATTGTAAAGAGGTATTCACCATCGGAATGGTGCAAAGTGTCCTATATACACATTAGAAATTTAGGAAACCTCATTACAATCCCTTTCCAAAAAAAAAATTTAGACTTACCCTTTTGTCTCTTATCTTACAGTCACAGAGTTTATCTAAGTCAGGTTAGAGTTTTCTCACTGAATGTGTTCAATCATTTTCACAATGTCAAGATATTACAAACTTCAAACTTATACCTTGACTGTAATAGCCACTATTCTTGCATCATAGAAATGATTTGTAAATGAAGCAATTTGATTGGATTGTATGCTAGTGAATATAGCTATCCAGAGGCCTGGACAGAAAGCCATAATGTTATAAGTCAATCCAATCAAATTGCTGCTTTCTGTGATATAAGAATGGTGGCTATTGCAATCGAGATAATAGTACGAAGTTTGTATGACATTGTGAAAATGGGATGAGATGAGAAATTTGTCCCTGTTCAGCTTAAATAAATGTTGCCAGTGTTAAAATAATAAACTGTCTCAGAAGCTGATCTTTAACCATTGCTTTCTTGTCTATTGTCTCTTATTATCTTATTAAACCAAGACATTGACTCATAAAATGCATTTGACTTAATATAGAGCTATATACACAGCAACAATTACTAATTCAAGTAAAGTTGTGTCCCCTCGTTTTCCTCAGGCACATATGATATAGCGCTGCCACCAATAACAAATCGCGACACCACCAAATTTTCCCTTTTTGGCCACTTTTATTGCACAAGATTTGGATTGTATATTTTTAACTGTGATCTATCTGAAGAAATTGATGGGCCTTACTAATGCTTTATAAACAGTATACATTATACCTTCTAATCGTATAATACACCATATTACCAAACAATATTTTGGGGAGGTCTTGATTTTACGTCCTGTATTATGTCAAATAGCATTTTGTGTTTTCTAGAGTGAAATAGGTTCATATAGGAATCATGCTTGTAACATGCAAGAGCTATGCCTGTTTTAAAAAAAGCACCTAAAATATCATCTCCTTTAAAAAAAACTTGGGTTTCACCACACAGTCTATTCCAGTTTTCAATTTTTTAAATGCACAAAGAACACCTTCAGAGTCTTCAGAGTAGGCTTAGTTAGTGTCGAGTTTCATTTCAACTTATTTAGAAATACACAAGTATTTCATCAATTAGATAGTTTAAGAGCATTAGTAGTTTAGTATAGTTTATAGTAGTAAGTGACTAAGATTTCAAAATAATGAGTAGATTTAGTAAGTAGACAAAATTTGCATTTTTATTCAGCATCAGTAGTGATAATTCTGAAGAATTAAATCTAAGAATGAAATCTAACACATGATGCATTCATAAGAAAATTCTGCCTAAAGAGATTTAATGATTTAGTTGATGTATCAGAGCTTTGGGTACCTGAAACATTGCTCTGGCTTTGGGTTCTTCTCCTGATATCAGATTGTCAGTCTGCAATAGGAAACTAAAGTCAATGTCTATCAGCTTGGAATATCAAGAAATAATTAGATAACTATCTCAATGTTTGACTAAATCAATGCATGTCAATTAGTTCTGACTAGTATGCTGACCCATCTCAAGGATAGTAAGCAGTATACTATGACAAAAGGCATGAATTTGAAAGTTGATGGCATGACCATTGTGAAAACTAAACCACTAGAGCATGTATAAATTACAATTAAATTCAGGCCTTTATAAAAATAATTTCATTGCAAAGTAGTCATCAAAATTTAAAATGTTTATTGCCAAATATACTGAGATTATTATTTTGATTTTTTCTGTCTTAAGTGGTCCTCAGCACCATAGCGATCACCAGTTACTAATGGTTGCAAATAAGAACAGGGGTCATAAGTTTCAAATGCAACATTCATTCAACTGAGCTGTGAGATGCATTCAGAACTTATGGCCACTACAACCATACGTAACTGGTATTTGCTATGATGTGAGGGCACCTGTAGATGTGCTTTGTTTTAATAATGAGTATGATGTGAGGGCACCTGTAGATGTGCTTTGTTTTAATAATGAGTATTTTTTATTTCAGTACGTAGAACATTAAAAGGTGGATTGACTGTTGCTGAAGCCAGTGTGGTTGCTAGTTATTAGTTTGAAGAATGAGAGAATGGTTTTAACCCTGTTTTTAAGTCTTTCACCATATTTACCCCAAATCAAAACCTTTCTGACTATTCATTTTATTTGTCTCAAGTTATAGTTGGCATGAAGCTAGTCAGTTAAAAATAAAGGGAAATCTTCAGGGTTGTTGTTTTTGATGCATTTGCCAGTCATTTCCGATTGAGATTTTGGTGTTATTAAACTCATGAGCCAATTTGGAAGATGTCACACAATTGCACCAAATTTCCTGTAAAAATGCTAAACCAACAGCTCTGGTTGTCTCCCTTAGATGTTGTACTACATGCAGAAGTGAATTACTGCAATAGCTCTGCAGTTAACACTGTTTTATACTGCTGAAATTATTTGTGCTGTGATATTGAAGATGTTATGAAAGAGTCTGGAAACAACATGCATTGTTATTATTTTTTTTAGAAAAAATACAGATGAATTAAGTACTTTTAAATTTCTTTGTTATTTTTGACTTTAGAGTTAAATAAAATATTATTAGATACCAGTAATCCTTGCCCAATCCTGTCCCTGAAAATCTCCAGAGCGGAATATGGACCAAGGAGGAAACAAAAAATATATGAAATAAAAAGAAATAAATCTGAACCAAATTTCTGAATTGTCCATGAAATTTAGATCACAATGATCACAATTTTGGAACCAGAGAAACTCAGAAATAATCACGGGAAATTTGTTTAGAAAATTCAGAAATTTGGTTTTAAAATGAAAAGAATTGTGCAATAAAAGACTGGCTTTATATATCTCATTTAAATAAATCATGAGACAGTCATTTTAAATTCAGTTTCATCTTTGTTTACGAAATACTGTATATATTTCCTCCATTGTATATTGATATCATTCTTAGACAATTTTATATATTTTGTAGTTTTCATATCTTGTAGTTAAAAATCCTTTTCTGAAACGGCCATTTGACTGAAATTTCACTCACAATCAGATTAATATCTAGAATTTCTTATTATTGTGAATTTTCTGACAAAATGCCCTTTTCCTTATTTAATCTTGATATCTATCAAAACTTGACATTTTTCAAGAAAAATTATAAATATTCATATTAAAATCAAAGCAAATCCGAGTCCATCCAATAAAAGAAAAGTTATTCGCAGGAAGGGTTGTATGTACAAACTATCACTAACAAAAAAATCTTATTTTTATATAAAGACATTTTATATTTATAAAGAATGCAGTGCCCAGTGTTATTTTCCTTTTATTTGTTGTTTTAATATGTTAAACTGTATAACAATAATAATAATAATATTCAATGGAAAGTTTCATAGACAAAAAATAGCCTTAACAAGTTATTATATTCTGCTTGTGTAAAAAGCTTACCTTGCCTCAGTATACCCAACTCTTGTCAATGTTCAAGTATTGACTATAGAAGCAATAAACCACATTTTATATCTAGCCTATTTTATTTGATTATTTATATAAAGTGTTTTTTCTTGTTATTAATTTATATGAAATAATAAAAAAAAATAACATGGAGCCCTTCCTACTTTATATAAGTTATGATTATAAAAATGTGTTCTGTTTTCAATTGATTCTACTTATACTTATATAAAATGTCAAATTATTATTGTGAAAAACCTTATAGGAATATTTGTCCTAAGATGCCAGTTGTTTTAAACTTTGAAGCATAGATCATTGAGCAACTTTAAAGCAAGTTGTTTTATTGAACAACTTTGAATCATGTTGTTTCATTACACAGCTTGTAGCATTTTGTTTCTTTGAACAACTTTGAATCATGTTGTTTCATTAAACAGCTTTGTAGCATGTTGTTTGACTGGGAAATATCAGCATGTAAATTTCAAACCTAATCTAAGTTGTTTTTACAACATTTCTGACATCGAAGATATCCCGAAGATATCCCATGTTCTTGAATTAAATTGATATTCTTAGAATCTGTCTCATTTTGTTTTTGACAATGATGAACTAAAGGGGCATAACTGTTTTAGTTATCTCTTGCCAAGAGTATTTTTGAATGTGAATATTTTATTGATATTTTAAATAATGGTTCTTATCGCCTATCATTTGTTATATATTTATCATTATAAATTATTATTTTGTTGTAGCATTGTCTTATATTCTCATGTTGCCATTATTCTTGGTATGCAAATTTTTAAAGCAAGAATTTAAGCAAATAAAACTTGAAAAAGAAAATAGTTATCATCCTTTATAATCTAAGCATAAAATGGAGATTTACACTTCACTTTTTTGCACCTTATTGGGTAAATAAAGAAGGTTGATGCCATGCAGTGTTCAGCGAGGTAAATTTGGCCATGAAGCCTCAATAGATTACTTTATCCAAAGATCTCTAAGTGCATGTCTGACGTGCTTCTGAAAGAGGAACCATATGACCCTTATCAATAATGGTTCAGTTATGATATATGGGGATTACAGGATGAGATAACTTGCCTTAATGTTTGACAGCTAATATCTTGGTAGGCCTATTTCCAGTGAGCTCTACATGTCTAAGGTCAAGAATTGATAAACCATACTTTTTATATTTGAGGGTCCCATAAACAGTGTCCAGTCTCAATTTTATATCAAAATTTATTCAAAGATAAGATTACAAATCATGCTAATCTAATTTAAACTGTATCAGATCATTTGGTTTCTTGATCCATGTACTAAAAACTGTTTGTTTCAATATTTCAAGTCGGCTCTGATATTCACTGGCAGCTATTTTAACATCTTGATACGTTGAATTCTTCTCTGATATACAACTAGAAAAAAAAACAAATATAACAGATTAGCATATTCTGCAAAATCTCAAACAATGATAAGGTCTTCATCATATCATGTGTTAGATCTGCGTCAAATATCACAAAGAGGGACATATATACTCATCAAACCGATTTAAAATGGGTTTTTATCCAAAAAACTATCTTAAATGAATGAAAAGGAAAGAGTTCACAAAATAATCAAAACTTTCTTCTTAGTCTATTGGAATCAGTGTCTAAACTGTCAAGATATCTGATATCAATGCATCTCTCATATTTGTAGTAATTGTAGTTAGAAATAAAATTGAGAAAATTTACTGTAATGATGAAGGTAATTTCTCTATGGAATTCTTCAGTTTGAAAAATCTTCTTAACATTTCTATACAACAGACTTTACATCTGAAATTTAAAAAGTTAAAAGTGTGAACAGTAGTATACATATTCTAAGCTAGTCATATTTAATCAGAGCCCTAAAATGTAAAAACTGTTATGGATACTTTGGCCAATTTGTTACAATGAGACAGTTTTGTTGGCAACAAATAGTATGGTACAAGCTTTTATAGATATTATAAACAGCCATATAAGGACACTTTGACAAAGACTTTACACTACAAAGAATCTACACTAACAGTTCAACAATATCTTACCTAGATTGTGGTTTGTGACTATTTTTACTAGTAACACCTTGTTTTTTACCATTTATACTAACTTCAATAAAACTAGATTGACCCTCCTTGTACCATACTATTGCTGGAAAAAAAACCCAAAAAATCTTTTAAACTGAAGCTGAAAACTGCCCTTTCTTTACACCAACCTGCCAAGAGATTCTTGATATCTCGCATACTGCAGTGCATAGATGAACAACGTTTCAATCCACACATTATGGATCACATAAATTGCTGAATTAGAATTACTACCCCATCCTCTCTTATCTTCAGATTTGACACCATCACACTTTTTGGGATTGCCACAAAAGGTATGTATATTAAGCATTGTGAAAATATATCAACATAAGTCCTTACTTTGAGATGACAGTGTTTCTCAGTAACCCTTTCAATCCTAATGACTTACCTGCAGAAGTTGGAAATAGCTGCGTATTTATTGTTAGATCTTGATAAAACCGACTGTATTGGAATAGCAATGATGACTGGTATATAACTGGTTCATTAAAACTTTCTATAAAACTCACTCTATCTATTAGACTTCTTCTCATAGCTTGTTTATTATATGGACATCTGTAATATAACATCATTGATATACAATTATACAACTAATTACCTCTCCTTTCTTTAGATTCTATAAATGCACGTAAACTTCAAGTTTCAATGTAATTTTGAGCTTCCTAATTCTGATATTAAAGTAAGCAGGAAAAAGTAAAATAATCCAATCTAAACATCCAAACTAAAACTCTGAATTCAATATGGAGATGCATTTTGCTACAAACAGAAGGCTTACATCCAATATATTATCTCCTTTAAGAACTTTTCAATAAACTACTCTATTACATCATTACATGTATGCAAAAGTTTCGCTTCAGAAAACAGTTTATTTTCAGACTAAGACATGAACATACTTGCCAATGATGATGGAATCTAGATAGATAGGTTTGTCCAGAAAATGGGAAAGTAGTGCTCCTTGTATTCCTACAAAAGTTTCGCTTCAGAAAACAGTTTATTTTCAGACTAAGACATGAACATACTTGCCAATGATGATGGAATCTAGATAGATAGGTTTGTCCAGAAAATGGGAAAGTAGTGCTCCTTGTATTCCTACAACACACCATCTTGCTATTTTATCACTACACGATAAACAAATAGTTCTATCACCACGTCCTGGTTTGATTCGTAAAGCACCAACAGTATGATAGTCTACTTTGTCTCCATGACTGTCTTGAACGCCTCCAGGAACACATTTGGCACCGGTTCTATGAATATCTTCCACTATTTCTGCTCTGTATCTTTCAGAGTGGTCTTCTCCATCACCTGACATAACCTTTCCTTTCGAATCATTTTGAACAGAAGATTCACATTTGAAGTCAGAATTTGGATCGGCATTGAGATTCTCATTTGGATTTGAACAGTCACTCTTGTAAGCATTGTCAGTTTCCACGTTGAGATTTCTTTCATTGACAAGAGATTCCGAATCCTCTTTCTGAGATTCCATCAAGTCCAGCTTCTTCTTTTTATTTGGTGTTTCTGTATTATCAGACCCAGGCTGAAGTCTCTTTTGTCCACTTTTTTCCTTTTCTATAGAAGAGTTTGACTCTGACTTGGGAAATATAGATGCATCACCACCTAAAACCAGAAATCATAGTACTTGTACATGAGATGTGGAATGTCCTGATTTAACAGAGCCTATTTTTTCTGTCTCTACACTAGCCGACATCTGTCCAAATAGCTATCAGAGGCTGGAATAGAGATAGAAGTTTCGGTCTAAATTCAACAAAAACAGACAGAGGAAACTCATAGACTATAGCTCTATGAGATGTATAAGCAAATATTTGGAAGAATTTTCTCCCTTTAAGAAGAACTTATGGTAATTAAAACTTACATGGAGTGTGACTTGAAAATAGATGAAACTTTACATTTTTCTTCAGAGTACATCTATTTTCTTCATTTGGTGGATTAAAAACAAGGCTTTCTTTTCCTTTGTAGGCCTGTTCCAACTCATGGTACAAAAACCTGAAAGACAAGGCAATGTTATTAACGTCTTGAAAGTGCTATCAAGAATAATCATATTACAAAATCCCTTTCCCATGTATAGAGATCGGCTCATATATTATAGATGATGAATCTGTATCATGTATCTATAACTAATTACCTTAGAAAGCCTCTTCTGGTTATGATTTCGGAATGACTGTCATTTATTACATCACCTTGAAACCAAAAAAGATGTTATTATATTATTACCAATCATTTACAATCAACACATTGAAATAATTATTTGTCCTTGACCAGAAATCATCAGTTGAGACTTGCCACTTACCATTTTTACTGAGTTTATTTCGCCCTAAACATTTCGAACCTGTTCCCATAGATACCACTTCTAACTGAGCATTTTCCACATCTAAAATTCAATAACTTATATAAGCTTGTTGTTGTTATACAAGAAGGGTAGAGTTTCATTTACCATATTACTTGTCATATATCAATTGTCTGCGTATATGAATCTTTATCGGCTTTTTTTTATATAAATCCCTGTAGCCTGTTTAAACAAAGAATGATTTAAGTTTTGCCAATCAATTGCGTGGTTGATCACTAAAAAAAATGATTTCATTAATATTTATTTAAATCTTATCTTTGTCTAGATTAAAATTTTGATCTTTTCTTCATTTGGCTACCATTATGTGAAATAGGCTCAATTTAATACACATGTATCTTTGGGACAGAAATTACCTGATTCAACAGACATGACAATGGAAGAGAGCAGTGTCCATTCCTTATCTTTTTGTGGTTTTCCAGTCTTAGGCAATTCATTAAACTGTTTATATGTTAACTCTGCTATTCTATCAGCAAACTGACTGTTGCAGCACTTGATATCTTCACACATTTTTGGTAAAAGTTTAGTTTTGAGGGTTTATTTTCTTAGCATGAATATCAACCAATAATACAGATACTCAGACCATAGATTACTATAGAATTATATGACTCTGGGATCAAGACACTGGGCTATAACTATGGGCTATAATCTGTGGAAAGGTCCGCAGATTAGTCCCACCGTTTTACATGTATCAACTCGGCTGGCTTCTCTTCAAATAGATCGAAGCCAAATTTGTACTATCACATCAATTCAAAGTCAATTTTCTAAGTGCCTTCTTGTTTATTTGACTGTTAAGATCCACACAAACCCTGACAATATGGTAATTAAATTGTGAAACGAAAAGCCAAAGATTGGAACCCTTCGCTGTATATAAGACGGTGTATGTGATTGTCAGGCCTGCCAGGTGTCTTGAAATTTCGGATTTTATATTTTGTACAGTAACATGAAAAGAAAATATTTATCAATACTTACAATTTTTGATCATTGATAATTATGTTGTGGCCAAAATCTATTTATTTCAATAATTTGTTACTTGTTTCTGTCAAAAAGAGCTACAACAGCTATGAGTCTTCTATTTGAATCTCTCTCAGAGGGATATATGTTTTTAATTGTTCTCTTTACCAATGGATTGGAACAATCTATAAAGACCCCATATCAGTTGTCCTTAACGAATTACCATAACAGACGTTTATTGCTTACTATGGGGCGGGGCTTATTATGTTAATTTCAGAACTATCTATTGGACATCATGCTCTCTGCTGGAATCTTGGGAACCCTAATAGAAGAACTGCATAGGTAAACTCTTTGCACTTTGATTTGGATTTAATAGTCAAATTATTCAGCTGATAATTATTTTCGGCTAAACCCAGCACGAACTATGTCAGTTAACTCATAATTTCATATTCATGGTGATGGGTTTTATGAAGACTGAAGAGATGAAACTTTAAAACATTGGTTTGTATTTTATTCATTAATTCATACAATAAATTGCAATTCCTTTTTAATTTATTCAATTTATAATGATAGTTAATCTAGATTTTCAGTTTTTTCAGAGGTGGACTGTCTTCATCATTATGTGTGGGTGCTGCCGGAACACTAAAACCAGGTATCTGTAAAATATTATGGTGAGAGATATTGACAGGCAGTTTCATAGCATACATATTAATGTACACCTTGCAAACACTAACATACCCCCATACTTTTATGGTAGCAATTCACCTAAATTCATATTTGTCAGAGATCAGCAATTCTCAAATACTGGGCAATAGCTCTCTGACAAAGAAATATAAAAAATAAAATATTGTCAAAGTCATACTTGCCTGCTCCTTATCTGATCAATGAATGCCAAGGTTTACCAAGTTTCATCCAAAACAGTTCAACAATAATCTATCATGCAAGTTCATTTTTATTTTATCAAGGGAAATAACTACAAGATCACATGACAAACAACGTTCCATAGCCCACATCAGCAATCAATATCAATGTACACACTATGCCTGGGAACTGTGGTGGCTCAGTAAGACGCCTGACATTAACCTGGATATGCAGGGATTGATCCCAGTAGAGATACCTTCAGGATTTTTCAACCCGGTTTCCTCCCGTCAATGATGCAGGTTGGAGGGGGACAGTGTGCTACATGCTGCGCATTTGAAAACTTGTAAGAGTAGGCTAATTACGCTGTCATGGCAGCATTTCCCTCATTCCATTGCCCTATATTATCACTTAGGTGCAGAAAAGTAGGATGTAAAACTCCATTTAATTTTTTTATTACGCAATGCCTAGCCCTCTGACCTACTTTTTAATTTAGGTTTCATCAAAAATCATAAAATTCTGGCCTGAAATGTGCGGCAAATAGACCAGTCTTTAGAAAGGAAATATTCATAAAAATTTATCAATCCATAAGTTTCATCCAAATAGCCACTATTTCATACAAATTTGACAGTTTTTACCTCATCATGGTCTAATTCTAGCCTCTAACATGCCATTTCTAATTCTTAAGCCTTAGTTGGCTGAATTTTTTTTAGAGGAGTAAGTGTAATACAAGGTTTCTATGTGCTTTTTGACAAGGAGAGAAGAAATTTCTTTATAGACAGAAATTCAACCTATATACCAATATGAGCTCTAGCTCTAAAGTGATACGCCCACATAGCTGCAAAATTTCATGGCAAATTTTTACACTTTGAAAAGCATTTACTGCTCATACCCATTGGTGAAAATTCATATACCAAGCTCTTAGCAACTTTCTTTACAATAATTTAACTGATTGACTAATTAATCAAAACCCATTATTACTAATTTAGTGTATCAAGTTTATTCAAAATCAAAACTGTGGTATTTATTTCATTTATAAGGTAAACATGACTGACAACATGTGGGCAAATAAAAAACAATTTTCAAATCTTTTAATTCTAAAATATACACAATAACAAAGTTTAAGATCATTTGCTTTGAAGAGATACAACTCAGATCTTATTGAACTTTCATATGATACAGCAATATTCTTTAATTTATTGATAGGCCATCTCATCAATAGTTCCGAACAGCATTCATACCAGTTATTCCTCTCTAGTATCATCAGTTCATCTTAATTTCCAAAATAATTACATCTGGAAATAGACATTAAGAAGGCATTATTTCTACATTTAGCGATAGGGCCGGGGTCACATGGTTATATGAGAGCAATCATAGGGTTACAAAGGGCAAAAGGTTTGTGTTTCCCAGTTCTTTGAATTCTACACTACTGATATCTCAATTAATAATTTTAATTCAGAAGTTTTGTAATAATCAACTTTTTTTACCATGGAATGTTTTGATAAAAATCAAACAGCTAAAATCATCGATATCAGAAAAGGTTTCCAAATGACAAAATGAAATTTCGATACAATTTGACATCCAAAAGTCAAAAACGCATTAGAAAAGTCTTAAGACACTATCGAGAGTGTAAAAAAAAAAAAAAAAAAAAAAAAAAAATGGTGTCGAAAACTGAAGTAGCAAATTTAATTAATAAATTTGAAATGTTTTGATCACAAGATTGGTTACTGATTCTATATTTTAATTACATGAAAAGAGAAATTTTGATAATTTTTTTGGTGTATAAAATCTAGGAATCTATGTGTAAGTGTGTTAATGTTAGGTGTTGAGTTAATATTAGTAATGTTGAAGTATGCTGATGAGCTAAGTCATTTAATTCCTAGATTTTTACACCAAAGAAATTTTCAGACTGAAATATGTTCCTTCTTAAATCAAAATGTAACCATTCTTGATCAGGGTCTGAAAGCATTATTTCTTGATATAAACACAATCAGATCAATTTTTGGAAAATAATGTTTAAATCAAAAATGAATAATCACAGTATCAAATATTTTGAAAATAAACCAAAAGAACATAGATATAATGTAACCATTCATATTTTTAACTATAGACTAATTCTAACCATAAAAACCAATATTTGATGGCTCAATCTCACCACAGATTCAATTATTGCGGTTAACTGTAACCATCTCTGTGAGTTTTGAATACTTTCAAACATCAAGAGAATTTAGTCCTGTAATTATTTGAACCCAAACCTTGATTGTTTTCGCCAAAACGATAAAAAAAAATTAAAAACCAATATTTGATGGTTCAATTTCACCACAGATTCTATTATTGCGGTTAACTGTAACCATCATAATGAGTTTTGATCATATTTCAAATGAATCAAGCAAATTTAGTCCTAGTATTGAATGAATCCTATTGGTACAAAAAAGTTGATTATTTTTTCAGCAAACCAATACAAAAATGAAACAAATATTTGATGGTTCAATTTCACCACAGATTCTATTATTGCGGTTAACTGTAACCATCATGGTGAGTTTTGAATACTTACAAAAAAATCAAGAGAATTTAGACCTTTCATAAAATGGGAAACTTGGGGAAGGTAATAACAGGAGATATGCTCATATAACCACAGCAAAATATGGTCAATGGAATATACAGTGGGTTTTCCCACAAAAAGTGGAATAAAATGCAGCACAGTTTATGAATTGAAATCAGCGTGGTACATCATCTGGTGATGTCTATATGTGTATAGGATATGTTAACAAAAGAAGCTTGTTTGAAAACGGTTGTTCAAACTTCAATATAAAACAAGGCTCATCGGCTAAGCAAAGGGAACTTGCTGAACTGGAGCAAGTGTTTGGGATAGGAGATTAAAAATGAGGAATCAAAATAATATACATCATAAAACTAAATAAAATCACACAAAGACGCATCATGTTATGCTGCTAACAAATGCTCTAGATACATCCTCTTCAGGACAGATGGTCTTATGATATTGGGTAACATTGACAATTTTAGGAGTTAAGCTAATAAACTGAGTTATTAATTATGTTTTAATCATTTCTAACTTAAAAAATATTTTAAATCTTAAAGCAAATATGTCTTATTGCTAATAATCCTATGATGTTTTCTACCGAGTCTTGTGATGATGCCTTTATCAAAATAGAAGTCAGTAGATGTCTTATATCATAGAAACAAAATAAACAGAAAGAAGAATATTCAAATGGTTGTTACACAATGTTATCACTTTATGATCTTAATCCCACAGCTAGTCCCACCGCCAGAGTTTAGTATGCCACCCGATAGACGCAGGACCTGCCCAAGGTAGACCTCCTTTATCTGTTGAACACTTGAAAACTGAGAATAATTTAGAAAATATCTGGAACTAGTCTAGATTTGATCCCCCTGAAGCAAGGTAAAAAACATAGAATGTCATTTGATTTTGTAAAGATCTAATCGTTGCGACCGTGGGACATATGACATCACCTACTCATAATTGCAGCAAAAGGCCCCCTCATCTACTACATGCTTTACTTCGGCTGTCACGCTAGCCGCCGTCCCCTACCCAGTTTAGAAAAAAATAACATCATCAATCTTATAGCCATTCCTACAGAGGGAGAATTCCGAATATATAAGACTGAAATCTGTCCAGTTAAAGCCAATAATTAGTTTTTGACAACTCCCCTTATCCTAAAGAAGTTGTATTCATAAACAAAGCCCCTGTTGAACTTGGAAATAAAGTTGACTTCATGTTAAATGACTAAAATATTGTCCACATAAAATCAACCTTTATAAATCTGATGAGCTTTAAACATTCATTCTTTATATCTTATATGATACATAACTCATCAGATTATAGCCACAGTGGAGGATAAGACTTGAATTGAGAAGAGAAAATTTGGCCAGACTTCCCATATAGCCTAAAGAAGTCATCTTTTCTCTTCAAACAAAATAGAATTTTGAGATTGACTTGTATAAAAACAAATTCACACATTTACTGTAAAGTTCAACAGGCAGCATAAATAAAGCCAATAGATTCTCAAATTCAAGTGTTCCGTACTCTAGGAAGTTTCACGAGGAGCCCTGTTACGCTTCGGAGAGATTATGCTTTTTATCCTTCTAGTGGATAGGATCTTATCGTAACCATGGGAAGATCCCGTTAAGAATGGGAAGAAGATTTGTAATTAACAGAATGTAACAACCAATATGATTATTCTCTTACTGTTTATTCTGAAAACCTGTAGCACCTTGTTCTTTTCTCCATGCCATATAGCTTAGGAAATATATCTTGCATAAATATAGTGCCCTTAGATTTCATTCTTATATTAATTCCTATCATATATCATAACATTATCATCCCTAAAACTTCATTCCTATCATATATCATAACATTATCATCCCTAAAACTTCATTCCTATTATATATCATAACATTATCATCCCTAAAGCTTCATTCCTATTATATATCATAACATTATCATCCCTAAAACTTCATTCCTATTATATATCATATCATTATCATCCCTAAACCTTCATTCCCATTATATATCATAACATTATCATGCCTAAAACTTCATTCCTATTATATATCATAACATTATCATCCCCAAAACTTCATTCCTATTATATATTATAACATTATCATTCCTAAAACTTCATTTCTATTGTATATTATAACATTATCATCTCTAACACTTCATTTCTATTGTATATTATAACATTATCATCTCTAACACTTCATTCCTATTATATATTATAACATTATCATTCCTAAAACTTCATTACTATTATATATCATATCATTATCATTCCTAAAACTTCATTTCTATTGTATATTATAACATTATCATCTCTAACACTTCATTTCTATTGTATATTATAACATTATCATCTCTAACACTTCATTCCTATTATATATTATAACATTATCATTCCTAAAACTTCATTACTATTATATATCATATCATTATCATTCCTAAAACTTCATTTCTATTGTATATTATAACATTATCATTCCTAAAACTTCATTTCTATTATATATCATAACATTACCATCTCTAACACATCATTCCTATTATATATCATAACATTATCATCCCCAAAACTTCATTCCTATTATATATCATAACATTATCATCCCTAAAACTTCATTTCTATTATATATCATAACATTATCATCCCCAAAACTTCATTTCTATTATATATCATAACATTATCATCCCTAAAACTTCATTCTATTATATATCATATCATTATCATCCCTAAACCTTCATTACTATTATATATCATAACATTATCATCCCTAAAACTTCATTCCTATTATATATTATAACATTATCATCTCTAAAACTTCATTCCTATTATATATCATAACATTATCAACCCTAAAACTTCATTCCTATTATATATCATAACATTATCATTCCTAAAACTTCATTCCTATTATATATCATAACATTATCAACCCTAAAACTTCATTACTATTACATATCATAACATTATCATTCCTAAAACTTCATTCCTATTACATATCATAACATTATCATTCCTAAAACTTCATTCCTATTATATATCATAACATTATCATCCCTAAACCTTCATTACTATTATATATCATAACATTATCATCCCTAAAACTTCATTTCTATTATATATCACATAATTATCATCCCTAAAACATCATTTCTATTATATATCATAACATTATCATCCCTAAACCTTCATTCCTATTATATATCATATCATTATCATCCCTAAAACTTCATTACTATTATATATCATAACATTATCATCCCTAAAACTTCATTTCTATTATATATCACATAATTATCATCCCTAAAACATCATTTCTATTATATATCATAACATTATCATCCCTAAACCTTCATTTCTATTATATATCATAACATTATCATCCCTAAAACTTCATTCCTATTATATATCGTAACATTATCATCCCTAAAACTTCATTCCTATCATATATCATAACATTATCATGATAACATTATATCATAATCATTTTAAAATCAATATTTTCACCTACCTCAGATGAAAACAAAATGGATTCCTGTTGTAACTGCATCATTATATATTGTCTTCTGTCACTACCATCTAGTGGAACTACAAAAGACAATAAATCATTATCATAAACAATTTTTTCAAGTCTTAATATGTCAGGTCTATATGGTATAATAAAGATATGTCACTTTTCTATAAATTGTTAAACAAGTATGAAATCAGTATGAATTGACTATATTTAAATTGATCTAAATAAACCTGAAAAATTAATTATAAAATGGAGCTTTACATCAAACTAGTTTTTCCAACTTGCAAGTGACTGGGCTAAGGAGGGGACATTTATTGTCTAATTGGAAAGGACAGCTACATAAGCCTCCACCTTCACTCTTGCATAGGGATTTTTGATAAACACAAGCTGTAGAAAACAAGGTAAAAGACAAGAATATGCTTACCTAAATATTTCAATAGTTGATGTTCATGACTCTCAATGTAATTTTGTTGACTGGTATATGTATTTCATGCCAGTGATTGAACCTGAAGATAAGCAAATAATATGTTCAACACCCTAATGATACAGTTAAATGGATATTCAAACTTTTCAAAATGGCTAGCTGAGAAAGGGTTCCATTTAAAATTTTACTAATTCAATCAATGTTTTTGAAATCATTTACAAATGGACACTAGAAAACATAGTATTAAAAGAAGTTTACCTTTATATTGTTCACATTCTGCATCCAAAAACTTCCAAATCCCAAAATATTTGTCTGTTGTGTTGCTGACATGACAACAAGAAGAAGTGTACCCTGGGATGTCTGTTGTCACTATGAACATACAATACAGGTGCAGAGAGGTTTCTACCCTATACTGATTTCAGCTCACCCCCTGGACAATACAGGTATAGAGAGGTCTCTACCCTAAACTGATTTCAGCTCACCCCTTAAACAATACAGGAATGGAGAGGTTTCTGGCCTACACTGATTTCAGCTCACCCCTAAGTTGTGAATGTATCCTTTGTCTTTCTTGAAAATTCTATAACACACATGAACAAAATTCATCCTTTACCCTCAGACCCCTGAACAATATTAATTCTTAATCAAGGTTTCCAATGCAACACAATGGTCAAGTGTTACTGGTAATCATCCTAAATACACTTTTTATTCTGTTTAAGTTTAACATTAAGGTGGGTGTAAAATGCCCCTCTTTTTAATGACATGACCATATATGCATAAATGCATACCAAGTTTCATTGAAATCAGATGAATATTTGGACAGACTATTATTATTACTATTGATTAAAAAAATGGATAGATTGACAGACTGATGCATCAGCAAAACAATTTGCGTGCATTAAAACCCATAAACCTATTTTTCCTCCCTGAGGAAGCTCTATAATATTAGAAGAAAATGTTTGAACATAAAAGGCTTAATACAATATGATAGCGTTTCTTAATTGTACTTGACACAATTTAGGATAGACGTTTAAAATCAAATGAAGATATTATATTATTGCCAGTGTAACAAAAATATACATCAATCTGAAACAATTTTGATCTCCAGTTAACCATGTTTCAGACATACAAACCATAACTTCATTCGACCAAAAGACCAGGCCCTGTATTCTCGAAACAATCTTAGTGCTAGGATGTCCTAGGTTCTTATCTTCTAACATTGATTCTAGGACATCCTAGCGCTAAGATTGTTTTGAGAATATGGGGCCAGTATCCTTATTCTTGAAAACTTAACTTTGATTGGTCAATCACTAAAATTTATTCTATATTATGTTTTATTATCCAATTAGATTACTGTTTTTTTAAATCTGGATTTTATCTTAGTTAAGCATGTGAGAATAAGGCCTCAGATTGAAATACACACAATTATCATTACCTCTGGTTGTACTATCTGTATAGATAATTTAAGATGTTGAACATTAGATCTATCTATGCTGAGTTGTACTACAACATGATCAAAGACATGAAATACAACATTACCAGCTGTCTGAGTATCTTGCTGAAAATGAAATAATATTTATAGTCCAAAAATAAAAATAAAAATTCATTGCCTTTGCCATTGATTTGCAATCTAAATCTATTTGACTGCATATAACATATATTTCTTCATGTTGTGTCCTTGCCGAGTGTTTTTTGTATCCCTATCCATGATTCTCACATGTTAAAGTATATCTTGTTGGGCAATCTGATACATGTGATATAATTATAAGGGAAATATATTTTGCTATAGGATGCATTTGCCCATTCTGAGTTCTGTAGATGTGTATCACATACTATCCATGTGAAAATGACTACTTCATATTGGGAAACTATCACAGTATTATTCTATTTAACACAGGACATAAAATTTATACCTCTTCATTATAAATAAATTGAACTTTGGATTTTTTGTCATTGTTTAAATAAATTGTTCCTTCTAAACCATATTTTGGTATTAAAACCTGTAAAGCATTCTTTCTTACAAATAATACATAACCATCTTCATCTTGTACTCGTGATTTAAAAAATAACTGAAATCAGAGAGAGAATACATCTTCAATACATTTAATATCATGATTGGTTGAGAGTTGTGAATATCTGCCCAAAGACCAAAGAAATTAAACAAAGGAGATATATAGAACTGTTAAAATTTTAAACCTATATATTACTTACATGTGTATGAAGATTAACTGAAGCTCTACCAGCATATTGAGCCATTTTATGACGATAGTTGAGATTATTACACAGTGTCTACAAGTATAAATAAGTTTACACAAAAATATTTAATAGTAATCTACACTTAAAAACATATTCATATTCACTCAATTCAATAGGTTGCTCCAACCTTTTAAAGTTTTGAACTTCCATCAGAATTACACAATTTGCAAAGACAATTATGATAAACACAAGACCCCAAATATAGGCATATATATTACCTGTGTTTTTTTCTTCTCCAGTAAATTAGGGTAAGAAGCATCAGCTCCAATACAAACAGCTAGTAATCTGTGAGCTATTATATCAGAATATCTACAAAGATATACAAACAAATATTGTCTTTACACGTAAACACTTTGAGTAAATTTTCAAATTGTGGATCATTATCAGAAATCTTCTTCAATATATCAACTGAGACAATACAATAAAGATAAGTAATTCAGCATTATGGAACAACAATCACTCTTCAATCAATTCTTAAATCCAAGAGACAATTTCAACACCTTTTAATCAGAATTTCACTCCTACCTTCTAATGGGTGATGTAAAATGGGTGTAAATATCAGCAGCTAAACCATAATGGCCGAATTCTGATTCTGGTAGCATACCACTACAGAAATATACAGCTTGCATCATACACCTTGTTGTCATGATACGTAACATTGTGTTGAAAAATTGATTCTCTTCAAACACAGCTATATCTAAACTCTCTGCTAGTTTTTTATTACTTGAACAATCCAAAGTGAAACCCTGTGAAATTGAAACAAAAAGTTCTATCAATGTCAAGATATGTACTTTATTGATTCTATGCAGAGGTCTGTACATTTAACTTTCAACCCAATAGCCCATTTTCTTGTAACTGATGTGAAATAAGTTCCTTTAAAAAATTCATTATGATCTGTGAATGGAGAAAAAAATACTATGAAATTTCCGTCAGATTTGCATATATGATGTGTTCAAAAATTCATTAAGCCCCATAGTACATTGTGAAATCACACAAAGATGTATATCCAAATTATCATGGGATGCTTCTGAACATAAACAAGAGCTCTGTCTGTGTTGTTAGTATATTTCATCTAAAGAAGGCCATAATAAAAGATGTAAAGTACCTTAGATGAAGCTGCTTTAATGACTGGTTCAAAATTTGATGGTGGTGGGGAAGGATGGCGTCGTAATAAAGCACAATTAGGAAACTCTTCTAATATCTTTTTAGCTACAGATATATTGGCTAACAACATGAATTCTTCTACCATAGAATTTGTTTCTCTGGAAAAAACAATTGCAATTTACATAATGAAAAAACAAAACATCCTAATAATGACAAACCAACATACAAGACTACTTCTACTCAAGATATTGGCTTTTACTCTTATAATATTATCAAAAAACCCATTTTAGAACTATATCCACTCTACGGGCTATATAATCAATATAGTATTAGACTATAGCAGCAGTGAAGCAGACATTATAACATTTAAATTGTAATCTTTAAGTTATTTTAATTGGAATTCATAGTATATATGAGACTTACAATAATTGTTTGGTTTTCACATCAATAGGATCAGCTGTTTCACTATCAACTTGAAAACGTACTTCAGTTGAGGCTAAACACAGAGCACTATATAAAAAACAGCAATTAGTTAACAATAAAATTATTTTTTTAAATTGTGAGAATACTAACAAATTCAGAGATTTCAGGACAATATCAAAAATTTCCATACAAAATGTTTAGGTATATATAATAAATTATATTCTCTTTGAAATGAAATAACATAGGGTCCCTTCTACAAAAATTCTTTAAATTCAAATGATCAAAATTGCCATTTTAACCTGTAAATCTTATCACATTCATCAATTTTGAGAATGGGTCATAAGGTGAAGGTATTAATTTCATTTTAAATATACAGTTAAGTAAGATTGACTACTTACCCAGCCTCAATTCTACCTTTCTTTAATAATTTAGCTAATCTATTTAACCCACGTAAACTAATAGTTAGTTCATCATTCATTGTTTTATCATCTATTCTAGCTTGAGCTTCACTATACATTAATGATGCCTATTTGAATTTAAAACAGTTACAAATTATGGTCTAGATTTTATTGAATGATAGAACTATGATTTTTCTAGTGCACACCAAGGTTATTGCCTGTAATGTGAACCTTGGATGAACAATCACATATTAAATGCATGCCACTATCTGAATCTGGTTTTATCAGTGACATTCCAAGTTCTTTTTTTCAATTTAAAATCAATCACAAATTCATTCATGTAAACTTTCACTGTTTGAATTAAAGATAAGCTTCTAATCAATAATTTTACAGCATTTATCTATTAATTGTTCAACAGATTCACATACCTTTGAGTTGATGACACTTTTCATAAACTTTGTATTGACTATAGTAGCATCTTCTTTTATTTCCCATATCACAGTAAAGGCCAGTCTGAAATCATATGATAACATGTATGCTCTCACTACAAGATTACAACACCTAAAGAGCCTGTAATATAACAGAGACTTAAACAATGATCTAATCAAGAACCAGAAAAACTAAGATCTAAAAAGTTACTGTATTACCTTTCAACATCACAGCGTAAAGAACACAGATTGGAACTGAGTAATTCTGGTACCATATCTATCCTCTACAATAGAAATCAATAATGGATAGAATCAAAATTTAGTTAGGTGCCAGATATATTCCCATTTTTGTATTATAATCTGAATCTAGTCTAACAAAAGCAAATCCTCATATCTTCATCATTTGAATCAGCATATTATTTGAACTTTTCAAGGTGAAATCCAATCAGCACTAATAGAACAAAGTTCTCAGTGAAACCTTAAACTTAAACCTTGCCCTAATTACAATCCTTTATCTAATTATTTTACTTCATTATTATTACCTTATCAGTAAGATAGACTGTAGTTCCTCTATTAGCAGCTTCATCATCTAAAGCTGTACCTGGTCTTATAAAATGTGATACATCAGCTATATGAACACCAACCTACAAATTTCAAATGTATTTCATTTAGAAACAATTGTCAAAATTGATATTTTCTTATACTCTTGACACAAGCTTTAAAATCAAAATCAACTCAATGTCTAATGTGATAGACTCAATAAAGAGACCACAATGAGAATACAAAGCAAAATAAATTTGACACAGGCTCATACTGTGTTGTCTAATCATGATCTTTCAAGCACAGAATTTGATCTATAGCCATTAACATAGAGCTACAAGGTCCCAATAAGATTCTTTGTATCTGCACCTACCTCATAGTTACCATTATCCAGTTTTCTACAGTGTAGAGCATCATCAATATCAGTACAACCTGGAGGATCTACACTACATACAACTATATGTCTTAAATCAGTACGACGTTTCATATCCTATAATAACAATTAAAATCAGGTCTTAATAACAATCAGGCCGTCTGCAACGAAATCTGGTAATCCTGTAGTTTAAATTTGTCTATAATACTGCAACTTACCTCTTCTGTTATAGACCAAGGCATTTTGGGTAGAAAACTGAGAACTTTTTCAGAGAAAACTTGATGAGGTACATCATGTTCTAATAATAATACTTCATTCTCAGCTGCTTTATCTCCAATCGTTCCCAATTTACGTACAAAGTGACCCTGTAATTTGTGAAATAAATTTTTAAAGCCAGCTAATAATTGGCGAGTGAAAAAGGAAATAAAGGCAAATGAAGATTTAATCTTCATGCAGTGTACAATGAGGCTTTTTGTAAGAAAATTTGGCGAACATTTAAAAGGGATATACCTCCAATCCTTGTCCTATGCTTATCAGCAACTTTGATTGAAAAAAACATTATTTGGAATACACAAATTGATATCAACCAGAGAAACAGACCTGTGGATATCTAGAGGATCTAGGCCAGCTATCTATAGCTACTATGATTCTTTGATTGGCCAAATCTTCAGCCTGTCTTGTCTCTATTCTAATTCGGGGTATTCTTCTTTCAGCTGGTATAAAGATGTGTTTAGTTCCCTGCAATCAAACAAAAAATCAAATAATATGTAATATACACCTGATTATACATTTGATTAAAGTATAAATAACCAGAACAACAGAAATAAGAAGGAATACAATTAAAAGATAACAGAAGTTTTTTAAGATAATGATGAAGTTACTCTATGATACAAGTTAAATATTATACCATTAAGACAATTAATTAGTAATCTAGACCTTGCTTCATTTAAACCAACGTGAAATGGATAGCCCATGTAATTAACCCACGATTATTACAGACGACTACAGGGTTTATTTTAGACATAATCATCAGTATACTTGATTCTTTCATGAAATCTCACCTTTTTCAGTAGAGATGGTCTCAGTATACCACAATACTGCCTCCAATTTCTTTTAATAATACCAATCACCCGGCCTGTTGGTTGACGGAGGTGTTCAGGAACTTTATTCTTTAATTTCAAATCCTGTACAGAGAAAACAAATAGATCATGTGCTGTTACAGATCAATAAAACTTTCATAGCATTAAAAGAATTCTGGCTATTCTTTCTGCAGAGAGAGTAAAAACTGGTTCTAAAAAGTGAATTCAAAAGCTAGGTCAGTGTGTTATTTTAAGATATCTCAATAATCTTGACACTACATTTTGTATCTTTTCCTTTACAGGTTACCTGTATGTGTTTTCAAACGTAGTATGTATTATAGTCAGAAATAGTATATCTAAAGTGTTTTTAATTTAACAATGTTTTAAAAAATTTATAGTCCTTACATCTTCTAGAACATCATCAGTTTCAGCACTAACTGTATCTTCTAACACTAGAGAGCTGGGACAACTCCATTCTTCTTTAGGTAGCATCTCTATGGCAACAATATCATTATGAACAGCACGATTCAAATTCTGGTGACCTTGGATTAAAACCTGAAATTTAAGAATTTTTGGAAGTAATATATCTTCACAGTAATAGTCTGAATCATTATGTATTTTAGAAAAACATGTAATAAAAGCGATCTACAGAAGTTAAGATTCTGTAAAATCTTTAAAAATGTCATACAATTCCTCTTCATATCAACAATGAAACTATTTACTTACAAAGTTTTCTGAATCTGTTACGTTAACACTGGCTTCTAAATAATTCTCTCTACTGGCCATAAAACTACCTTGTAAATACTTCCCACTCTTTACACCTTTTAAAACTTCTGATGTTGGTAAGTGTTCGGGGTAGATGTATTTACCTTCTTGTTGACTCTGATAGGATATATGTAAATTATCATGCTAGTGACATTATCAATGTTCTAGAAGAGACTAAAAGGAATGCACATCATATATCTAAGTAATCAATGATACAGTCAACATATATATGGACATGGACACATTAATAAAATTTTCAGTTTGACACAGGAGATAGATAAAATTCCTATAATTCATTAGCTAAATTCTACAGGAACACCTAGCACAGATAAAGAAAATATCATTTTAACTAAGATAACTTTCTCAATAAAGTTATTAATTATATAAATATATGAACAACTTACTCCAGCAGAAGATTTCCAAGCTAATCTATCAACCAAGTTTCCTCCATTCTTTAAACTTTTAATGTAGTCATGGACTAAAGATAAAAAACATGAAAAAATTCATGCTACCTGTATAGAACCTGTATGAATTTGTTATTTGCCGAGTTCAACATAATTTCTGCACCAAACATGCTGTTATCTGTTCAGTTTCAATATCAGACAATCAACTGCATACATCATTCTACTGAATCCTACCTGTAAATGCTTTAATTCCCTCTTCTATAGCCTTTGTTCTATTGTCTTTATCATCAGTGAGTAAGATTATTTTAATATCATCTTGGTATTCAGCTAGATGTTCAGTATACCATTTAGCTGTTTTTCTTATAGCTCTATCATTTCTATCATTAGATGATTCTCCTGCTTGTCTTTCTATGTACGTTTCACTGAAATTACACAGCAATTATCAATTCTTTAAAGAAAAGCAAAAGTAATGCTTATCCATTGAAGTGTTAATTGTAATGATTTCAACAATATTTATTCATAATTTACATATTATACATAGATATAATTAGTTTTACTGGTACTCTTCCAAAATACAAGGCAAACCAGAGTGTAACTATGTTCTCTTATAATGGCATGTGAAGTTTTTCAATGATTAATATACACATATCAAGAGATTTTGGAATGGAATGATTCAAGTCAGTTTTTAAACAAAGTCTCTTACTTGTTGTATTCATTGCAGAAAGTGTAAAAATGTTTACTACAATTAGATAAAATATCTTTTAATCTTTTATTAGCTGGCAAACTTCTATGTTTCACCTGAAAAGTTAATGGAAAAATGGTTGCAATAAAGAACTTAATTAGTTCAACTAATCATACATGACTTCAACACATAACAAATCATGCTTCACTGAGAATTATATAAGTACTACATAAGTAGATAGCAATATTTCGACTGACACTCCAATATGACCTTCTTCAATCAAATAATCTATAACTTTAGTCAAAACCAAAATATATTTGAGTAAAATAAATTAATATAAGGCTCTGACTTTGAAGCAAGCCAAATTTGTGAAAAAGATATTTAACTCACCTCATCAACAACTATTTGTGGAATAATAAAATTCTGTAGAGACTCATCCTCTAATATATCAATCTACAAACACAAGGGTTTCATATTGGTAATATGAGTCCAACTGTATTGATTGATATCAAAATAGCCTATCTTATACTTTCAGAATCAATTATGAATGTGATCCTGATCATATTTTAGACTTTGATTGCTTCATCTCAAATTTGATGTGACAGTTGTAGTTGTAGATATCAATGAAGTAGGACCTACCTGATGCAAAACTACATTGGTATCAGGAATAATATAGTGAGGTTCAGGACATAATTCACTGTCACTTTTAGGAGACAAAACCAGAGGTTGATTTTTCAAGTCATCCCCATCATCTTGATCATCGTATGTCGTGTGATTTTTATTGTGATCGCATTTCGTACAGTGTTGAGATCCACAAGTTATGTCATCTCGCAGATAATGCTCTCTGACAACTTTCAAAACACCCCCTTTCTTTGTTTTCTTCACAAATACTTTAGATGTTAGCATCTTTGATTGATAAGATTGAGGGATGCTTTATCCAAATTCTTATTTTGTAAACAATACCACATGCTTCCGGTTTCTGAAGTTAGCTATTATCCATAAAATAAATTGGTATTCGAATTTAAAGAATGATTTAAATTTTATAACTTGACTGCGTTTTATAAGAGACAGTTCATACTTCAACTTTATTATGATTGAGCTATACGGTATATGAAATTATTGACAAAATGTTTCTCAACCCGTTCAAAATATTATGAATTACAGCTCGAATATGTATTATTATTTTTAGGCCACTACAGGCAAATCAATATAGTGAAAAAAGGATAACTCTTTCTGATAATATTTCACCAGACAATTACTAACTACTTCTGTTACAAACAGGGTGGTTACAAACATCGCCCTGAACAAATACTGGAAACCAATATCGTTAGATTAATGCTCATAAATAAAAAGAACTTAATGATGACAAATTCCCTTTAAAATTTCAAAATATGACTTATTGATGATGATGATAAAAACGTTGCATATCGGTCTTTGATGTTTTACCAGTTTAAAGTGTTATTTAACTTTTACCAAAAGTAGGCCTATAATTATAAATAGCCTAAGTAGTTGACCTTCTCTTCTTCAACGCTTGTTTCAGATCGAAATCTCAAAGTCAATAATAATTATGATATCAAGAGATACGTTTAGAAGCGCACCAATTGGTACTCTAATTATTGTAATTAGGACTAATTATTCATGAGAACTTAATTAGCTGCCAAGTGGTTTTTTATTCCGGAAATAATTAATAGAGAAATTAAAGAAAAGGAAATAGAAATAAGTTGAACACTTGCGGATAAAAACTGACTATCTTTAATTCAACACTCTACTATAAGTGTTATATCATTGAGAATGATGACCACAACCTTCTTATCATACTTAATATCTCTTAGTTTAGTTCAAAATTCTTTAAACTTAAAGCACTTGCGGTCAATGGCCGTTTCGGATGGAGAGGGGAGTGGAGAGGGGTGCTGGGTCTGCGCCAAAAAAGGTTATTCGCCCAAATTGTTGGATTGAAAAATTACCATATTACCGTTCTTGCTGGAGGTATTAACCGTATATAACATATATATCTCTTCAAATTTTTACTATATTTGATTATTGAGCTTGAAAGACCTTGTTGTTTCAAAGGCATGAAATAAAGGTCATTGTATAGATGTGTTTTGACATTTCATAATCTAACATAATGATGTGAATAAAATTGTTATAATATTTGGTAAAAATAGTAGGTCTACTATAAAAGGTAGGTTAAGCTGTTTTTACTTTCGGCTATCATGGGAATCCATCTGTAGACAATATCTCCACAAATCTCTCTTGTAAGCTAACTTTGTACCAGTCGGTATAGTGAAATAATTACCTAGGAGAGTCATGGAAACATCTGTAAACTGTCTTTGAAACTATCTGTAAACGTTCTTGAACCCTATTATAAGTCTTATAACTGTTTATAACACAATAGGGCCTACAAATGGTCAATAAGTAGGGCAGTAAATAATGCCGACCCAGTTTTGAAAGAAAGGAAAAACAACAACAGCCGTGATGTAAATATTATCAATAATGTCAATTAAGGTCTCCACTTAATCAAGCCTAAACGGATACAGATACTCTTGTGATAAAGGCAATAACTTCTGTTAGTTAATCGGTGCATAGTTTTGCGCAGTTTTCAAATCTGAATTATTCAATTTTTCCAATGACTGGGGATGGTGTTTGAATACTATAATTATTGCTGCCGCATCTCCTTATATACCTATACATCGCAGTTACATGCATGGTCAAAAACAGTGTGTATTGAAGATATTGTCAACCGAAATGACATATTTGCCCGGTCTCTATTGGCAGTCATCAGTCAACAGGCCATATACCCTCTTTGGTTTTATTATGGGTTTTGAAGTGATTTGGTCGTCCCATATTCCAGCCTTGGTCATTTTTCAGGACGATCTAAAATCCATATTTGGCAATTTGAAAGGTTGATATCTGTAACGCGGTCATTTTAAAGTGGACAAGAGTTAATTTCTAGGACGACTCATCTTCCGTTTGTTTATGACATAATAATGAAGAGACACATGGTTTATGAATATTTTTCAGTGATGGTCAAGAAAAGGTCATTTCCTCCGTCCATTCATTATTCATCACGTATATACTATATAGGAAAAAAGATAAGTTGATCTGAGATATTTTGGTCGAGGGGTTATATAATGCAATTAGTTGTCTGCAATTGGCACAGATACATCGACTAGCAAAACATGCGGTATGCACATGTGGTATGTACAGTAATTTTGGATCAAGAGAATCCTTAAATTTGGGGTGGGCTCATGTTAAGACATGAGATGCGATTCTGGCTGTACTTTGTACCGACAAAATCATTAATTGCACGTTATCAAGGAATGTCCAGGCAAGAATTGGTACAAGGAACGTTTCGTTCAAAAATACATGTATTATTATTTTATCAGCAAAAAACAAAGGGAACATGTGGCATTCTTTTGTGGTTAATTAGTAATCATGCAAGTTTTATTACGATTGGTATCTTCATACATTATATATAACACCTATATCACAAAAAGTGATTTCAGCTGTAAAAATATAGCAGTAGGCTTGGCATTACTATGCGAACTATGTATCTTTTTCTGGAATGCAATAGAGATTTACACATCTGTCGACATTTATCTTTACTATTATATTGCTTTGAAAATATTTCAAAACTCTTGACTTTTTATGTCTAAATATATTATTTTACATCACATCTGAAAAAGAGCAACGTAGTTGACTAAAATACAATGGACATACATAATATGATGTTATACAAACCTTCTTGAACAGGGCTGATAATGATAATGGCACCCTAATATCTTCTTGTAACGGATAATAACGATAATATCTGGTACCTTGGAACATTTCTGCCAAATATTTCTCACGATGCTTGTAGACAGAACATTTCATTAGAAAGGTGTTTATGAGATGAAGTAGATAACTTCAATTTTTTTATGATTTGGGTGTAAAATTTAGTTAATACTTCCGTCTTTTGATCGTTTTATACTTTTTGTTTTAGGTATTTGTGATGTAATAATATATTATAAACGTAAACAACATCTTGAGTAATCTTAAATAAAACGGGTGTGAAAAACTGAACGTATCTAGAAGTCATATCAAGAGCTTGCAGGAAACAATCGAAATCTAAAGAATTTAATTGGTAGCGTTCGTGACAACTTTGATCGATGTTTTCGTACATTTTTTAAGGGTGTGACTTTCTGTTTGATTTAACATTTTGAACCTGCCTCACATGATCTTAACACATGACCAATCGGAATGTTTAGTTCGTGTGAAGAAACATGATTTTGGGATGTCCTCAGTTCAATACTTTAAGATCTTAACCGAGTTGAAAATGACATGCGTTCGAGAAATGTAATGGACTCGGCCCACGTTGGTATAAAACACATGGTCGTCATCGGAATTGAGACAGAAGTAATTGACTATTGGACACCCAAGATTTTGAGACAAGGTTAAGAGTTGTTATTCATCACATATGTTATTGATAATGTTTAGTGATTGTTATTATTATTATTATTATTTTTCCTGCTAATAATTGTTGGTCACACACAGTAGTATCCTGTATTACATAATCAAGGTCAATTTCTGTATTTGTCAGTGACAGTGTGTACTTCGTTCAGATAGGACGGTAATTTCCGTTCCAAGGTAAGCTAAAGCATGCAAAACTTCATGGGAATTTTAATCAGAATTTGCTCAATAGTATGTAAAACCTTTTAGTTCTGAGTTCTGGATCCAATTAGCTTGTAGACTACATCGGCACAATTATAGTTCTCTCTGTTTAGAATGAGTCAGAGCTCTATCCAGATCGCTAAGAAGCACTGCATGTGTCGAAAATCTTGGAATTTTTCTCATTAAAAGCAGACTGATTAGCACTGCATTCAGACTGGGAAAATCGTTATACCGCGAAGATATTAAATTTGAGTATAAATTTTCGGGTTTTGTCAATCAACAGAATGCCTTAACGAATTAAAATTGTCTTACTTCTACTGGAGGATGAAGCCTCAAAACATAATCCTGATGTTTAAGGTTTTTTGTTTTATTCTCTTGAGATTACTATTCTGGAAAGCTGAAGTTATTCTGGTAGATCTATATTATTTCAAGTTGGTCAGCCAGCCAAGCTGATATTGAAATGTATTTAGAAGTTTGACTGGCCTGTTTACCCCAGTTATGATAGTCAAAACTAAATCCAATTTTCATTCGTTTTCTTAAAGTTAAAAGTTGTTCTTTTTTATGATAAAATGCCACCATGTGTGAAAATCAATTGCGTTAGAATAATAAATATGAAACCTGTAATATTATAAGTAATTGTATTTTTAAAGCAACATCTTTGAAATAGAATCTATTCAATTATGTTCTACTAAATGCACTTTGGTGCACTTAAATATCCGGTACAGACAGTCTTGTATTTTATGAAATATAAATAATTTCAAAGGATATATGTCATGTAGTTAACTTGACCTGCTTGTAAAGTAATTAAAGAATGATTCATATGAAAACCCACCCTCGCATACTGTTGACTTTTTTCTGTGAAAACCGACAATATTGTTTAGTGATCAATTAATTGGGTTAATTATCGAGTTCTATAGGCGATGTTTGACATGTCAACGATTTCCTTAAAACGGTCACAACTGTACTTCCCTTTTGTAATTGAATCCAATAGCATCCTGAACAGAAGTCAGTTTCTGAGAATAAAGTACTTTTGATGGTATTTTTTGGTGATATTTCCTTTTTACGGATGAACCAATCCTGATGTTAAAAGTAATGCTTTTACCTTTTACTGTTTATTAAGATGGGATGAAAAAAACATTTATGTCTCTGTTTAAGCAAAATATTTAACAAAGTCTTTCTTCTATCTTTCAGATATGGCCATGTTCACCAATAACGACGAAGCTTCGCTAGAACATTATATCAGAATCAATGACACTCGGGCTATTCTGATCTATCTAAATGATCAGAAAGCTCGACTCTACTTACCAATCATAATATTTCTGGCAATGCTCTCGGTATTTGGAACTTTTGGGAATATTTTAGTATGTGGTGTGTATTGGAACAAGAAATATAAAGCCTCTTCACATTATTTCATACTGACGTTAGCTGTTTTGGATCTGGTAACATGCATCATTGGTATACCAACTGAAATCATTGATCTCCGCTACCCATACATGTTCTTTTTACCAATTGTTTGTAAATTATTACGATTCGTCCACTCTTCGACAATCATATCGTCCTCATCATGCCTGATAGCTGTTGCTTTTGATAGATATTATAGAATCTGTCGTCTCGGAAAACAGTTCAGTGTTGGAAAAGCACGAGGATTGTCAATATTGTCTGTGGTGTTGGGAATATTAACGGCCGCTCCCTCAGTGATGATTTTTGGAAAGAAGACGATTGATTTAAAAATCAACGGTGTTTATGGTGTTGATTGTTCTACTGATGATTCTATAAGAGGAACCATATACCCCACTATTTACTATGCTTGTCTGTTCAATTTGTTTTTCATGACAGTGATGTTTTTCGCTGTACTCTATACAAAAATAGGTATAGAAATATGGAAACGAAAGAGAGCTAATATCAGTGATCAGTTGGTTAATTCGGATTCTGGAGGAAATAAACATACTATAGCTACCACTGTTTCAGATCCTACTAGCACAGAAATGTCATCTGATATTGATGATGGAAACCATATAGGTAAATATGATTTATTCTGTTGGTGTATAATCAACCCAATATTCCTGGTCAAAACCACAGAATCCAAAATTTTTCTCTCATTTCATTTTGGAGGCTTTGAGCCCTTTCTGCTTCAAATGGTGGATTGAAGTGACATTGTCACCTGTGCCAATATGATGGTTTTTGGTGTGTTTTCTTTTTACACTCGCCTTTTTATGGTTTTACCTTGTTTTCCCCTGAATAGCTCCTATTCAAAGCCAATCTTACATTTACAGATTTGACACGAATTCCCTTCATAATTTTTAAATACATTTTGATTTTCTTTTGCAGGCAAACATCCTAAAGCTCGACCTAAATCCAAACAAAGAATGAGAGTTGGCAGAACAACGACTGTGTTATTTGCTGTTACTTTGGCTTACATCCTGAGTTTCTTGCCATATTTAATCGTTATGGTGGTGCGAAGTGTTTTAAAAGACTTTGAAAGTAATTTAGACAGTACGGGAGAAGTTATATATAAATTTTGTGTGAAATCCTTCTTTATAAACAATGCTATCAATCCTTTAATTTATAGCTTTTTAAATTTGAGTTTTAGAAAGGATGCCAAACAACTGTTACGAAGAATGGGACGAACTTGCTGTTGTAGATCTGGTGTTAGTCGGTAGTGAAGATTGTTAGATTGGTGCTGTAAATATTATTGTTAATAAAATACATGAAATAAATTCGAGTTGTAGTATACATTCCCTTTCATTGCACCCTTTTGGGCCAGTTGTAATGTGACTAATAAAATACGAACGGAAGTTAGATCTAATTTTAATTAGGTTAACAATTATTCATAATGAATTGCCTGTTACTCTACCCATGGGTAGCTGCAGATGGACACAAAACCTTGAGCTAAAATGGTTAACACACTGCCAAATGACTGAATAACTGACGTAAAGCTGGCTGCGCCTGACTTGCAACTTGTTTTTGGCGATCCGAGGGCAAACCTTTATAATAAAAAAAAGTGTTTGTTCCCGACTGTAAACATCAATGCTAAATAGCAGCATGTTTGCGATTTAAATTTGTTACAAATAGAGGTTGAGAGTTGAGTTGCTTACCTTCAAGTTGATCTTAAAAATAAATTAATTTCATAAAATTATCTCCCTTGAACATATTGAACAATTATTCATCAGTGTCGCTTCCTTTCAAGTTGTGAAATTGATGTCTTACTATTTGCCTTTTAGTCAGATTGAAATCATACAAGAACGAAATCACAGCCAACATGACATATATTCTTTTGCAACAGTATGATATGAAAATTACAATTACGATACAAAAGATTTCGACAAAGCACCTGCCGTTGGAGAAACGTCATTTGTTACGTCATCATGAAACGTCATTTGTTACGTCATGACTATAGTTGGGAACAGAAAGGAACGTTTGTTAATGGAGTTTAGAATGAATTCACCAGAAGAGTCCCGCCAACTACCATTATCACCACCTAAACTGAAGTGTGACTCTCTAATGTTTCGGTTTCCCGCAAGATTGTGGAAAATAGTCAACGCTTGTCGATCAGGGGCGATATCTTGGGGACCGAGTGGTAAAACAATCAGGATAGTTAGATCAAAATTTGAGGCACATTACCTTACTTCTTATGACAAGCCGTTCAAAACTGACCGGTTTTCAAGCTTCGTTCGACAGTTGAACCTATATGGATTCAAAAAAGTGGCCGCTCCTATGGTTTTAGATGGAGAAATGATTGAATATGATGATTTGTATGAGTATCTAAATCCAAGATTTAAACAGGGAAGATCTGAACTACTACCATATCTCCAGAGGAATTGCAAAAAGAATAAATCGGACTGGAAACCTTCTCCTTCAGATCACAAGGTGAGTTCAAACATTGAACCCTATGAAGTTGTTATCATATTTGGTATCCAACAATATGTGGAAGTAGAATATTCGTGGATTTTTCAATGTTTTTTTTTTGGGACTTTTGGCGGCGTATTTATTTTGTATGTGGATTGTGGTGAGGTTTTTCTTGATGGTGCCCAATGTCATACATGTAGCCTACGCACGTAACTACCGATATCCGTGTATCACGTCGAAAGATTTGATTTATCGAGATAACAGAATACTAACAAGTCTAAGACAAAAGTAAAGCATTAGCATGAGTATGATTTTTCCACCGTTATTTTTATTTGTGATCCATTTTATTTTCAGGGAAAAGCTTTCGAAGAAATTCAACAAAATGTTATCTGTGAGTCAGTGAGCCACGAACAATCGAGAGAACATTCCCAGAAAGAGGAAAGGTATACGTTACGTATAATATTAATTCGAGTTGGTATAGCATATCAACATTTCGGGTCCCAGTGGTCACGACTGTTATCATCCAATAGAGTCTTAAAACTTTTGTTGCTCATGTCATCTATCCATCATTGATTCTGGTCATTACTAGTGTTATGGATCAGTTTTGGGAATATCAGAAGCAGGAAAATATCGAACAATCGTTACATGAAGTAAATGGGTAAAATCTATTTGGTATAAGTTCATTCATTTCATACATCTGTTATTTTCTTTTCAGAAAGAGGGACATAGCCAAGGTGAGATAAATTCCATCCCTCAAGAAAAAAGAATTTCACGCATCGTGATATTTCCTTTCAAATACACCATGTATGAATCAAGTTTATAGCACAATATCCTTATCACTGCCATATAGCACAACCACCATAAAGCTCGTATGGGTACTTAAATTTTGGAAAGTTAACGCCCATTTTCAATATTGGCATTGTCTTGACGGGGATTGTAAAGTGTAGAGCTCCAGTAAATTCTCCTGTGAATATTAACTATGTTTTTTAATTTGTCAGGTACAGCAACAAGCTCATTGGAATAGTGAAAGTGGCATAGAAAACCATCCATTGTTAAAACCATTAAACAGAACAGGAACTTTACTTCAACGTAGTCCCTTAATTCCTCAATTATCAGGGCAGCCGGCTACAACCATTTCTGGAATGATTGATCAATCTCGGGAGTCATGGGCTGGATCTGGATGGCTAAGACAAGCATACCACAATCGTGATCAGACTGGTCAGGAAGGAACTGACTCTGCGGATAAAGCGGATACAACTGAAACGACCATTAATGGTGGTTTCCATTCCATTGTTAATCTGAACAGCTGTAGTATTGAAAATGAACAACTAGTGTCGTATGCTAAACAAGGTCAGTTGTACAATCGTTAGAAGAATTTGTAGAAAATATTTTGGTTGAGGAATGCAAGAGTGACTTGCAACGTGTTGGTAAAAATTGTGATCTACAAACAAAGTACATGTATATGTATCCAAGAACTCTTTCTATCGTGAATCCTAATGTGATACCTCTAACTGTGATATTACAAAATATGAGAATAACATGATTTGTGTAAATGTAAATTTAGATACGAATAGGTTGCCGATCATAAATAATCTTAAATAAAACTGATGTTCATGTTTTCTTATTTTATGTAGTACCTTACTTATAAATTCTGAATTTAAGCTGAAATCATTCTCTATTAGCTATTGCCCCATCATGCAAATGCATATCGATATCCTGGCTCTTATATTGTGCTAGTCAACTCTTGTCAATATGGCATATCTGGATAATCATCATGATCTGATAATATATATTCTCCTAGAATTCGCTAGATAACCTGAAGAAAATGTGACATCGAAGTCGGTCAATAGGTCCAAATACTGGCGAATATCGATACAGAAAAATGCTATAAAGCAGATATTGTTAAAAATCAAATCAATCCGTAAAACTGCACAATTCTGGATGAGCTGGGATTCCCATTAGAAAAAAATTAATCTTTTCATCTTCTCAAATCGATATCGATATAATGAATTCATCGAAGATACCATCCACACACAATTTTAAATTTCTACAGTTTGCCGCCAAAATAGGTGCAGCTTACATGGGTTATCTGCCCTTGCCACAAAGCGTGCCATCGACGCCATCTTGAAGTTAGTGGTCCACGCCTGGATAAATCGAGCATTTTTGTTCGGTTTTTAAGCTGTTCATCTTCGATTCTTAAGTCTCAATCTGACCCACCAACTAAAGTTTGGTCTGAAGGTATAAATGATATATAATTTTATTAATTTCAAGGCGAATTCATTGAGAAATTGTTTGAAAACGTTTCAAGGACATTTATTTTTTTATCCAGCCAGCTCAATACACTGTCGAATCGCGTGACTTTCAACAAGTCGAAAGTAGGACAGCGCAACTGTGGTGAACTATGTAATACAACTCGCCACTCGACAACAAAATTGATTACAGTGTATTTATAAATTGGATGATTTCTATGTCTTTGAATTTCCTAAAGGCATATTTGCTTAGTTTTGTATCTTGCCATTGTTGAAATTGGCTTTTATTTTCTTTATAATAACCACTCGTTTACGCCGGACATGATCACGACTGAAAGACTTGACTGCAGTCTGCTGAAGGACTATTTTTCTACCAGGAAATCAAGGCTAGTGGATAGCAGTTCATCCAGACCAATTTTATTGAAAAAATTCCATAGCAACTTGAGACCTGTTGTTATGGACTATATTCTGAAACTGACCACAGTGTATCTCATTGATAATGGCACAGAATATTCTTTTGGAACAGATCTAAACTTTTAGAATAAAATGTTCAAAAGATTTTTTTAGACAATGAATAATTCAACTGTCTCATATTCTACAATTCATTATAATTTTTTCCCTCAATTTATTCAACAAAATGGTTTTATGCAAATTTATTAAATGAATTATATTATTGTATTGTAAAGTAAATCTATGAATGAATTTGAATCACTGTTTTGTAATTTAATATAACTTGGCTGGGTCATATAATTACCAATGAATGTGATATATTTTGAATTAAGCTTCATGTTTTTGATCTTATTCTATAACTGACTGTTAAACATTAATAATAGTGGAAAGTGTGAAAGCTGAATACTTATATACATGCAGTATATGAAAACAAAAGAGTGATATAATAGAGAATATCTTGAGTTTATTATATCCTAATGTCAGACGTTTTGGCTTGTTTCCTGCACAAAATATTATTTATAGTCATTTATGACAAATGAAATTTTCTGTTAAGAGAAAATATGTGTGATTACCAGTTATGTAGTTGTGCTTGTCATCTCATAGATAGACAACCAAGTGTTGTTTAAGATAGGAAATTTTTTTTTGCAAGTTGTTTCATCAAGTCAGGCTTAAAATTATAGTGGAGTAAGGTTTATTATGCAGTTTATTTATAGTCAATATTATATGAATATTGTCTATTGTATTCATTTAGTATACAGTGAAAATTCCCTGTTCAGTTATACTTCCAGTAAAAATACCAAAAAACTCCAATAATAGATTCAAACTGTAAAACAAAACCCGAAATCCAAAATAACCTATTGGCAATACAATGTTAACAGCTAATGAACTTTTTCACATGAGCAAGTACATCAATCATGAATACACAGGAAGTATTTCATAATGAAAAGTGGTATCAGGGGTGTAGAAGATGAAGCATACCCAGTCTTTTATGTTTCTTAATTACTTACCAATGATTTTTTTCCTTCTAATTTAAGGTGGCGAATCTAACCATAGAAAGGCCTCAAGATGATGCAAATGCAGTATGCAGCTCATACCCCATCTGGACTCTTCTTGTGTGCATTTTGTGACATGGGATTTATGTCCAAACCAGAATGTCTGGCACACATGCAGTGTCATTTACAAAATGATAGAAATGATAACCATCCTCAACAGCATCAACAGATGATGATTCAGGAGATACCAGAGCCTCAGATACAAGAGCAGGTTCATACTATAGTCACTAACCATCATGGTCAGCCGGTTCATCATCATCAAATACAGCAACAACAGCAGCAACAACAACATGAGCAAACTCATATGGTACAAGTCGAGGCTCAAGAACATGTTGGTACAGAACAGGTGGCTGTAGTTCGTATTTATGTATGTGGAAACTGCAAGTCAACCTTTTTCCAAGAAAGTGATTTGGCTCAACATATGACAAGCCATCAACAATATAGATGCAATATATGCTATGGTTTATTCGAGTCTGAAGGCCATTTAAATCAACATAAAATGATACATAAACAGCAAACCATAGAAAATAATGTTGTTTTGTCCAATATCCCTCCTATAGCTGGTGGACATCATCATGCTCAAATAATACAACATTCTGGCACTGGAGAAATGATGAGAACTGTTACCATACAACAAACCAGTCCAAGAAGAATGGCACCAAGACGACAAGACACAACTAAAGATCGACCTTTCAGTTGTGATGAATGTGGCAAAAGTTACGTAACCAAAGGCGTATTGGGGCAACACAAGATGACCCACAGAGGCCACAAACCTCATATTTGTGAGATCTGTAATAGAGGATTTTACAACAAAGGTCATCTCAACAAACATCTTCTAATCCATAAAGGAGAGCGCCCATTCCCTTGCAGTTTGTGCAACAAGAAATTCAGAGCCAAGGGAGATCGGGAATCCCATATGGTGACCCATACTAAAGTCAGAAATTATGAATGTACCGATTGTGGCAAGACATTTCTACAGAGCAGTCACAGAGCTCAACATTGGCGCCTACATCACTCTGGAGAAGAGGCCAGAATTTATCAATGTGACCAGTGTGAGAAGTCTTTCCGAAACCCTGGTAATTTGATTCAACACAAAATGTTCCATAAAGGTGTTCGAGCACATAAATGTACAGAATGTGACAAAGCCTTTGTTATGCGTTATGACTTGAAGAAACATATGAGAACACATACTGGAGAGAAACCATATGTATGCAATGTATGTGATAGAGCCTTTGCTAGAAAAGCCACCATGGATGTTCACGTGAAGAAAATGCACACAGACAAGAAGAATGCTGGTATGTTTGTTAAGAAGCCTTATGGTTGTGACCTCTGCCCTAAGAAGTTCCGTAAGAGGACCTTACTGGGTAAACATAAGAAGAGGATACATGGTGGAGAAGATGTGGTAATAAAATCAGAAGGGGATGACCATGAAGAGAGTAAAGAAGATTTAGATGATTCTGTAGAGTCTGAAAGTGACCATATCATCACCGAAGGAGAAATCAAACAAGTTCATATTGTAGAGACAGCAGATGGGGAATCTGTTCCAGTAATTTCAGCAGAAGATATAACAATTGTTGCTGGGGTGGTGGATGATGCTGCAGCGGAAATAATAGAGGCTTTACCAACACAACTACAACAGGAAGTGGACAATACGGAGTCTGTTCAACCCACAATATCCATGGAAGTTATCCCTGTAACTGTCCAACAAGCTGTAGCAGAAAACATTCAACAACAGCATCAGCAGCAGCAACATCAGCCACACCAACAGCAACAAACTGTTACAGAAATTGTTCAACAGTCAAATGAGCCACCAGCTATGTAGAAATAACACTGACTGTTTCTATATGGGATGTAATACACAATGCAAAACTAAACCCAATATTTATTTACAACTAAAATTTGGGATATCAGAAATATGATTGAGATTTATGACCAATTTATTTATACAAAAAAATGAAAAATAAGTTTGATAATTTTATTTCAGTGGATAAAAAAATATTGAATTTGGAATTCAGTTTAGCATTGTGTGTAATATTTCAGTTTAACAAATTTTTCCAATGTAAGGTGGCCATTATCTATTCAAATATTTGTATAGTTTAATAAAGGAATTGCAATATTTTCAACCATAATGTGGCTCTGTAATAATGTATTTTATTTTCGACAGTCAAATAGCTGTCCTAATTCATTTGATTTATTATTTTAATTTTCTGTTATCTTTTGCTAAAATATATTGTTATTTTGTTATTTGTAAATAGTCTGTCCATTATATTTTTTGAATTTAAATTCTAATCTATTGTAATATAACTCGATCATTTAACATCATTATTGCTAGTGTTTCATATTGAAACAACATCTTTACCCTTAAGTGGTGTAAAATACTGAGTCAAAATTGCTCTCTTGAGGCATTTCAAATCTTGCACCTAAATTAGAGATAGATAACTTGACATTTCATTTTTTACATTAGATCCATTGCATCTTTCCAGAAATAGAAAAAAAAGATAAACTGTAGGACTATAAATGCTTCTGACTAAAATTCAATGGATGCTTAATTTTGCTTATATCTCTGTAGATTGTAGAGCTCTACTTTGCCTATAACCATCAAGTAACATATAAGGACTTGTTACTCATTCTATTACTATAAGGTGTCGCTTACAGTTATAAGTTGTAACAAGACAGAGCAGGCCTATATTATTGTAAATATTACCTATTAATTATGTTGTGTTTCACTTGTGCCTTTCTTGTATTTGAAATTAATCTGTTATATGTTAAAATTCCATCATGTATGAATTAATGAAACTAAAGGCGCCCTCACACAATAGCGATTACCAGTTGTGTATTGTTGTGAAAAAAAATTGGGGTCAAACTCGAACGCAACTCTCATGCAAATACGTTTGGTACTCATCATACTCAACTGGTAATCACTATGCTTCGAGGGCAGCTAGAATCATTTGAAAAGGCATGTTGAGTTGATTGTCCAGATATTCAATTTTCTTTTCTAATGTTAGATTTATTCAGGTTTTGGTAAGATCATGCAAAATAATACAAGTAGAGTAAATACTGTATACTAATTTAACAATCTTAAGAGCTCATCTCATGCTACTGACATGTGCTTCATATACACTAATCATATCAGAATAGTTATTGACAAAGTTCATTTGGTGAGTGTCATTCAAAATCTTGTTTTCTAATGTAATCATAACTCTTGAGATAATTATGTAATATTTCACTGTTCTGCCTTAATTCATTTAGCTTCTAATTGTAAATGTTGATGGAAATAGATTGATATAAATGAAATCTTGAAATAAAATTATTTTCTCTTTGTCAGTTATTGGTATTGTGATAGAAAAACTCTATAGAATTGGTTACTGCATTGTGTTTTGAACTCTTAGTATCTTAAAATCCATGAGGTCTAATTTTCATGTTTGGTTTTGGAATAATTCATAAAGGTGACCTTCAAAGGCAATTTGGCACTTCTTTGATGCTAATCCTTGTGTTATCCTTGTGTTATTGAGTAGATGTGTCAAAATAATATTTATTTTATCCCTACCAGTCCCTCTTAGTATTGAATTTGTGGGATTTAGCAGAACATAAAAAATGAAAGCAAATTCTTTAACAACGTAACAATATATTTTTATTTACAACCAAATATACGAAAAACTACTATGATATACTGTTATGTAATTCAGTCATAGCCCAGCGTTTATTTTCAAGTTCACTTCGTAATTGACTATACTCATCTACTAAACTTTCAAATCCCATACCAACTGAGTCATACGCTGATAAAGCTTGAGTAATCCTTACTAGATCTTTATTGCTTTCTTCTGTTGCTTCATCTAAATGCCCTCTGAAAATAAAACGATAGCATCAAATTGAAATTTTTGTTCATGGTTTACTGTTATTGACTAGAGTTCATTTTTAGTTGTCGACACAGTTGTCAGATAAATAATCCTCATAAAAACAGCTAGTTATGGAATTGGGGGCTTTAAAGCATATGAGCAAAAATTGAATACAAAATGGTGAGTTTAACACATTCCGATGTATTTACCCCTTCAAAATATTACTTGATTTATACATATTAGATCATATCCAAGAAACCACAAGAGAAATATATAAATAACAATATTTCTGTATTAAGTGAGCTTTTACAGGAACATATTTTTGCTAAGTCAAGTGGATAGGAGTGAACTCAACTCCAATTTGTGGTCTAAGGGAGATAATTTGATGTATTTTTCAGACCAATTTTAATTTAGAGTAAAAAAATATTAAACCTACCTTATGACTTGAAGAGCTTTGACAGTTTCAGCTGAATAGGTATCACATAAAACTTGTAATTGATTTAATCTGTAATATATAGGTTTGATTCAAATTTTTCAAAATTTTGAAATTAAGTAAGCCATTTCATGATAAGTATTTGTTGAAAACCTTAAATTGTAGGACATAGTTAGAATTTTCTTTTGAATTTTAATGTTTGAAATTAACAAAATCAAATAAATTTTCTTACAATAATAACCAATTTTTACCGTGAACAAGTAACATAATAAATTCATTGCCATCTCTGAAAAAATTTTGGAAATGATAACAATACCTTATTTTTAAAGACATTGCATCACATCTTGATTTTAACCATTTAGTAGTAATAGTATCACTTTCTGTTTGGCCTTGTAATCTAAATTCTACTATTAACTTCTCTAATAATGATAGACAATCAACCAAAGACTGAAAAGTATACAAAGATATACTGATATAGGCCTGGTTGCTCTTAATCTGAAGACATTGTTGGCTTAATAAAGAGGATTTGGTGTTGTTAGCAACTTTAGGACTGACCATTCCTTTATCGAAAGCCACATCAAATATTGAATTTTTTGTGGGGTTCAGGTTTCTAATAGTATAAGATATGAATATTTTGCTTTCAAAATCTTGCTACTGTAGAATTGATAATTACTATGTGAAAAGACCAATCTGCTTATGCCTGCAATGTGCCTGGGTTCTGTTCACATTCAAATGCATTTCTAAGTATGATCATACATAAACTAAAGTAGTAATACCTGATAATAAACCCAAAACTGTTTCTCTCTCTTCACTCTATCTTGTTTCAATAATCTTTCTTCATTTTCTAACTTTTTCTTCAAAATTTCAATTTTAGCTGGGAGTTGTGAAGATTTTGCTAATGTTAAACGACTGTTATCTGTCAAAAAAGAAAAGGTATTTAACTTCAAAGTAATATTTCCTTTAAGATCCCCTGTGGCTTTTATAAGTCATCTTTTCTCATTATTCCATTCAACTCATCTGTAAATAGGTATGGATAATCTTGGAAATAACAATGCCAAGAGGTTGACAAAGGACAAGCTCGTAGAAAGGCTCCTTAGAAATGAAAATCCTACCGGGATTACTGGTGTTTGGATCTTCAAAATGAACTAAATCTTCACATTTCTTCCTTAGTCTGTCCTCTACTTCAGGGATAAGTCTTACTTGTAAAGCTGATATATGCTGTAAATAAAAGAAAATTTATCATTATTTGCCAAAAAATAATTCAAAACCAACTAATTTCCAATTGATGCTTGTTTTTGCAAAATTTTAACAATTTCAAGAAAATCCAATATCCATTTATACCTTCTTATATGGATTATGTCTTTGTATATCTTCCTCTGTTAGACCTAGTAACATCACTTTAACACTAGGGTCAGGACTAAAATCTAAATAATCACCAATTTCTTTATAATTCAAACATTTCTGAAGAATTTCTACAAACTGAAAATAGAAGTAGATAAGTTGATCTACATGTTAAGTTTCTTAGCATTTCCACAATGAATAAGTAGAATTTTTCTATTATATGCAGACACCCTATTTGAGTTCATAGTATTATCAGAATTTTTATTGAAATTAAACGTGGCATACCCACTCTGCACTTCTGTCGCTGAATCTACAGTATATATTTTTATAGAATGGTGTTTACCGATTTTAATTAATCAATTTTACAGACTGCCAAGATTGATGGCTGATGCAAAATACTGAATACCTTTTTATCATCTGAACAAAGTGATATTTCTTGTGCCTTTATCTTGTAATCTAATATCAATTCTTTGACTTCACTGTATAATAATTTATTCAATAACCAGCTATGTTTCTCATGATGTAATATTTCTTTAGCCTAAAAATGGACAAAGAAAACTATGACAATATTTAATAAAAAAGAATATATATATCAATAGAAAAGGGGTACGGTGTCATAGGCCTGATGAAAAACCAGAAATTCACACAACAACTGGCAAAATCATTTAAAACTTTAACCAATAAATAAATTAGTAAGCTACTATTATAAAATACTTTACTGAGATGAAGAAGATATATCTAAAATGTAACCTGTGTTAAATCTTTATCAGCTGCTAAACTCAATCCACTAGAACGTATTTGCTTGGTTAAACTTGTTATTAACTTCATAAACTCTGGATACTTGTCAACATCACTTGGCAAAAGATTTATCGGTAATTGTTCATTTACTGAAAAATATAAAAACTAAATAAGATCCAGGCTATCTTGAAACACATTTGCAAGTGGACCATGCGGTATGCAATGGGGGAAATTTGACAGCCAGTGATATGCATACACAAAATTAGCCTGTCTATCGAATGTATTATGAATTAATTGATAGATATGAACTTTCCTAATTTCTTACATTGCTCTGCCTTTATTCTGCATTGTGTTTCGTTTTCCCTTTTATCAGACATTGTATTGAGGGGGTTGTTTGTTTACTGTTTACAAATTGAATGCTATTCCCGCCATTAAAAATGATGTACAACATCATTTCAGTCTGCTTGAAAATAAATAATAAAAATGATTAAAGAAGCTAGTGTATTAAATGAATATTTATCGTTTCAAATAGTATGTTACTACTTTAGAAAATTTCAAACTATTTCTGAATTTCTTTTGTCAACCATGGTATGTGACATTTTTACAAATATGTTGATCATCATCATTACAGAAATTTATTATCCAATGAAATTGCACGAATAAAATAACTTCTGATAATACAAAATGTCAGCCGCCATGAAGAACTCATTATCCCCTAATTTATACAATAACGTCTCTAATTGCAAAGTTCTGGTTGTCGGTGCCGGTGGCATCGGATGCGAACTTTTAAAGAACTTGGTTTTGACTGGATTCTCTGACATTCAAGTGGTAATGCACCTTCCTCACCCTTGAACTGACTTGAACAAAATGATTCCCCATTGTTCCACTGTGTCTTTTAACTACCGACGATTTCATTTCATCTGTCATCTGCATGAAACTAGCCTTTTCTAATAATGTATGTCTTAACATGAACCATCGATGTCTACTGACTTCTGTCATAACCATAAGGCTCAGGCCCTATTCAAAATGAAAATTTTAATGCTTTCCATTTCTACTGGCTAATGGTAGTAATGGCATCGGTACCTTTGATCACTTGACATTTACACTACACTGTACAACCTAATTATGGGAAATGTTCATTTCATTTGTGTTTGTCACCCATGACGCTGTCACTTTCACTTTATCTGATATTTCTTCCAGATTGATTTAGATACGATAGACGTTAGCAATCTTAATCGTCAATTTTTGTTTAGAAAAGAACATGTTGGAAAATCAAAATCACAGGTTGGTTAACTTTTTTATTTGTCAAATTGGATAAAAAAATCATACATAGGTTTTTTATTGCCTGAGTGAAAAATTTGCTGAACCTACCTAGATTATATATTATAGAATCATTTTTGATATTTATTTCTTTTTCAGGTGGCAAAGGAAAGTGCCTTAAAATTCAACCCTAATGTTAATATTGTTGCATATCATGACAGTGTTATGAAGTAAGTTTGGAATGGTTTTTCTTTTTTCAACGCGATTTTCTGCTTCCAATTAAATATGCAAGGTCATGAATAGGCTTTTGTTTTTTCTGAAATGATTGTAAACTTGTTAAATGTGTCATTTATCATAGATGTTGATGTATTGATTTGATTCTCATTTTAGTCCAGATTATGGAGCTGATTTCTTCAAACAGTTTAAACTGGTTATGAATGCTTTAGATAATAGAGGTATCTCTCTTTAACTGTCTTATTTTTGTTTTATCTATCACTTATTATCATGCCAAAAATCAAAGATTCATCTTCTGCAGTAAATCAAAATCTTGTGCTGCTAAGAAAGAAATGTTTATCTTGATGGAAGCCCACAGCCAACATTCACTAATTTCGTTGATAAGAATAACTAAGACTTCATAATGATGTATATTTTCTATTTGAATATGATTATTGATATTTTTAGCTGCCAGAAATCATGTGAATCGTATGTGTTTAGCTGCTGATGTACCATTAGTAGAAAGTGGTACAGCTGGTTATCTTGGACAAGTCACTGTAATCAAAAAGGTTAAAATCTTCTATTTCCTTCTCATATTTTTTCCATTCAAGAATATTGAAATTTGATATTGAATTAATTTTATATTGTAAATATGCCACGCCCTAAACTCATTAAGTTAAATGCAAATCGAAGTTCCAATGGACCAAAACATGCAATTCAAGGATTCCTAATTTTTATGGCATTTTCAACAAGTTTTAATCAACTATTATTGCCCAGTGTTTTACAATGACATTTAAATTAATGTATATTTCAGGGTTTGACAGAATGTTATGAATGTAGACCTAAAGCAGCTCAAAAAACATTTCCTGGTTGTACAATACGTAATACACCATCTGAACCAATACATTGTGTAGTCTGGGCTAAACATTTATTCAAGTAAGTAGCCTTTAAAGTCATACTTTTGTACCACTTGGAATTTATTTTGATAATCTCAAGTGTTTCTGAAAAAAAGTTAATTGCTAACAAATATATAAACAGCAGATATTGATATTACTAGTTGACTCGTTTTGTTGGAAACTATGAATAATACCATTACTATTCCAGTCAGTTATTTGGTGAAGAAGATCCAGATCAAGACGTATCACCGGACACAGAAGATCCTGAATTAACAGGTAAAATATAAATTGTTTCATTAACAGAAGACCATTTTTAAGAGTAACCAGAACAGTATTGATATCATAGTCATGCTCTCCTCTTATAAATTATAAATTAGTCGGACTGAAAGTCATTTCCCTGATTGACTGTCTTCATTAATTCAATCAGGTGCAGAAAGCAAATGGAAACTGACAGAAAATATATTGTATTATTTATTATATTTTTAGCTGCAGCAGGTGAGAGTGCATTAGAAAAAGAAACAGAGGGTAAGGAAATAGAGAGAAAATCAACACGAGTGTGGGCCATGGACACTGGTTATGATGCTGAAAAAATATTCTCCAAGGTTAGATTATTTCGTGATGTATTACTTTGAATATTAATCATAAAAACCTATGGTTTGTAAATTTTAGTCTTTCTGTCCTTTTGGAGCCATATTTCACAGAATTTTCCACTTTCTATAAAGTCGTAATAAGACTTGTTATTAATCGGGACTGTATCAAATTTTAAGGCTGTCTTTTAGAGATGTATTAAATGGTTTATATTTATTAATAGTTGTTCCGAGATGACATTAAATATTTATTAACAATGGAAACTTTATGGAAGAAAAGAAGACCTCCAGAGCCATTAGATTATAATAATCTCTCAGATGGTAATCTTTTAGTATTTACATTATGTACCTTCAATAAGTAATTGTGTGTAGTTAATTGAAATCTTAGAGAAATGATGGAATGACATCAGTCAAGATAGTCTATGTTTCATCATAAGGTTCAACAACAATGTTTGGATTTATTATTGTGTTTTATCAGTGCATTATTTGCAAAAGTCTTAGCTACTTCTAGTCTTCCTCTTCTAGTAGTCCAATTATTGGTAATGAATAATGTAGAATCATACTGTTTGTTATATTCTTAAGACTGTTTTGAAGCTCAGAACTCAAAATTCATATAAATTAAATGATATAAAATGTTGTTTTCAGAAAGTCCCAGTTCAACCAATGATATGAGAGATCAGAGAATCTGGTCTATGAAAGAGTGTGCTGATGTATTTTCTAAATGTTTAGCTAAATTAAAAACAGATTTAGCAGCACAAGGTGATGGTGGAATGCTAGTCTGGGATAAGGTATGTATATTCTTGTAATATCCTCAAAGTGTTTGTTGAAAGGTTTTATGTGTTACTGGGACATGGATAGAATCAATTTGCACCTTGAAGTCTCACTCTAATTTCTTCTAAGATTCTCTTTAATTTTAAATAAGGTTCATTGAGTTGGGCACTGTCAATAGTTTGCTGTAATCTAAAGTCTATTTTTATTTCAGGATGATGATAAAGCATTAGATTTTGTTGTATCAGCAGCTAATGTTAGAGCGAATATATTTGGAATCTCACAGAAGTCACGATTTGACATCAAATGTAAGTAAATTATTTTAACCTCTATTTTATCAAGTTGTAATGAAATAAAGGTTGTGAACCTTAGTTGCATGAGAGCATAACAGTCAATTCCTAAAATTAGCAGGATGATTATCTTCATGAGCAGAATTGTATTTTACCTGTACTACTTTTGTTTGATAAAAAATGTAAGATTTTCTTCCTATGAGTTTCAAAGTTTTAAAAACAACATGTAATGATCATGAAGTATAGTCAGGTAGAATGATGAAATAAATTATTATTTGTATTTGTAGCCATGGCTGGTAATATCATTCCTGCGATAGCTACAACCAATGCTATTATAGCTGGTTTAATTGTAATGGAAGCCTTAAAAATACTCGATAATAAATTTGATAAATGTACTGCCGTAAGTAGTTTGAAAACTTTCTTAGAGTACTTTGTTGACTATTACATACTGTGTATGTTTTATATTTTTAGTAATTTCTAAATTACCACGAAACTTATAAATTAAATTGGCAGTAACACATCTGCTTGATGTATGTTTAGTCATCTTTTCCTATTTTTTTTTGTGTCATGTATAGATGGATTAGCTTACCTGGTATTCACAAAGATAATGTGAGAAAGATGAATATTCTACCTTGTACTGTTCATTAATTAATGTTGGTTGAATTAATTTGTATTGATTTCATTACAGGTGTATTTAAATCGTAAACCTAATTTCCGTAAGAAATTATTAGATGCAGGAAGATTAGATCCTCCCAATCCTAAATGTTACGTTTGTTCAGCTAAACCAGAAGTTACAGTAGTATTAAATACACAGAAAATTACCATCAAATTTCTAGAGGATAAGGTAATGTTTACTTATACTTGTCATTTGAGTTGAGTAAACCAAGGGCGTTTTTTTTCCCTTAGAATCCCTTTTGAGCGTAACCATGAGCTAAATATTAATGAGGGCAGCTAAGCTTCTTTAATGATGTTGGCCATGACAACACTAGGGCCTAGAAAGAAAGACTGTAGTTATTGATTGTATATTTACAGATTCTCAAGAGTGAATTAGGTATGGTAGCACCTGATGTAGAAATTGATAATGGATTAGGTTTGTACTTTATTATTGTGTGGAAATTGTTTTTGATTATGTATTTGTCTATGAAAGATTTGTAATATAAGTTCAATATATTTAAATCTTTGAATCATTAATAGAAATGGATGATATGAACAGAATTCTCTGATATTTCCGTAACATAAAATCCGATTTTTATACAGTTATATTAATTTATTCAGGAACTATTATAATATCTAGTGAAGAAGGTGAAACAGAACGTAAGTTAGTATTTACCTTTAACATTAAAAGGAGTTTTTTAATGAACAGTATTTTATGCAGGTGAAAAGGATTAGGGAACTGCAAGCCATTGCATATATCAACTCTTATCCATAGTTTTAACATTTAGATTGATCAACGCATATAAATCCACTATCACAAATATTGATGTGCCAAATTTTTATTATGAGCTCTATTTCTTTATCAAATATTTGCAAGAATACACATTTAATTGTACTGTGATTGTCCATGATTACGATAATTGGTAATAATTATTTTATACCTGGAAATGTTTAATTTTACAGAAAATAATGATAAATTTTTATCAAAGTTTAATATTATAAATGGAAGTCGGTTGAAGTGTGATGATTTTCTTCAGAATTATAATCTTAACATTACCATAGCTCATGTGTAAGTAGTTCTACTTTGATTGACATAATTAACAATGAAATATAAGGTATATATTGTAGTTCATGCCTTGTGTTTTAACCAACATAGAATTGGTGTGTAAAGCAAAACTGGCACAGATATATTTTAAAAATGTTACCTTTAAACATTTTCTCATCAAGTAGGTATATGAAAATTGTATCTGACCTTACATTATATATATAATGGTTCCCATTAAGTTATAATAACTGGACATCTTATATTTTATTTAAACTAACAGGGAGAAACTAGAAGATGAAAAGGAGTTTATGGTAGTGGGAGATATGGCTGAATTACAGGCTAAACTAGATGAGAATTCCAAGAAAAAAGAGGGAGAAAGTAGTGGTGCCACACCTGGTAATACATCATCAAAAGGTAGGATTGGCAGTGTAAACTATCATAGTAATTTATATACCAAACAAATATTAGTTATATTCTAAAAAGATATATGTGTCATCAATGGACATTTTATTAGAGCTTGGAATCAATCCAAGACTTAGGATTTGTACTCTAAAATTATTAGGATTGAGGTACAGTAAACACAATGAATGATCAAATTTTGTTATAGACTGGAGTTTCAAGTTAAATCCTGTCAATTTATATTTTTATTACCCATTGTAGCAGATGAGGATGATGAGTTAGAAATCCTAGAGGATGAACCAATGGACATGACAGCCAAGACAGAGGACAGTCCAAGAAAACGTAAAGCTGATGATTTGGAGGGTACACCAGCCAAAAAACAACGAAAAACAATGGATGGGGAAGGAGATGTGGTAGAAATACTCTGAGCTCATCTGCAATGGATTATTTTATTTAGGGGACCGAATGTTATTTTGTGGACAATACATCTTGAATAATGCCCGGTTATATGTTATGACCCAGGAAAAACTATTTCCAAAACTTTATCAGGATCAAAATAAAATGGTGGTATAATTAGCTCTTATTCTAATATCTCTTCTTGTCTTGAAAAAGTATCTCTTCCTTCTGGCTTTGGTTGTCTTGGTAAAAAAACAAGATATTGAAGATATATGCACAAATAAATTGCCTGCAGAAACATGACAGTGACACCAGCCTAAACTTAGTCCAACAGTGAGCTTGTGTTGAATTCAAGGACAACAGAGCACCAGATTGAAATTAATCTCTATTGAAGAGGGGTAAAGTAGATATCCATGTAAAGCCAATGCTTGATAAATGATAAAATATTTAATCAGTAGAGTTACATCTCAAAACAAATTCTTGATAAATATATAGAAATAAACAATATAAAAACATCTACTTTGTAAACCTGTATACAATTACTTACCATTTTATCTCTTCAAAATATTACACGCAGATAATAACTGAGATACTGACAGGCTCCTTACAGGTGAGATAATATAATAACACATAATGCATATAAAAAATTTTCATGAACATCAGATATCCACAAAAATTTCTACATTGTTAATTAAAGTATGATAAGAGTTTTGATCATGATTTAGAGCTCTATTCAGACATGATTGGCAAATAAAGCAACATTTACAGGCTTGAGCTTCAATCATGTTTTAATATTATATATGGTATGGGATAAATACTGACTAGGTACTAATTAAACCATTTACAAATATTAAATTACTAACTCAAGTTTATTCACTATTTGATTCGTGACTAATTAAGTAGACCGATGTTAGTTCAAATTTGAGCATAAATTCATTGTTAGCTTTGAGCTTAATTATAAATATGAAATAGACACAAATTTTCTAAATTCAAATGAAAAATATACATCTTTGTTTACACAATATTGTACTTTATTCGCTGGAATTTCATTCATTATCTGAAATCTTGAATTTGAGAAGCCTAGTCGCTGAATCCTGCATAAGCTTCAAATTTTGTCCTGAATGCCACAAATGAGTATTAACCCTGATCAGGTAAAAGTACTTTGAGCGGATTTTTGGCATAATTCTTTCTGATGTTAAGATTAAAATCTGTCTTTCATTATGTAGTTTTTCAATGTCCAACAGATATAGTTTGATTATGTAGAGTTCCAAAGTTGATGATATAATAATCATGAACATAGGCTAATATAGCCACAGGCTGTCCCATTATTAACGATAACCACATAATAACATTTCCCATAGTACCTTGTAGACATTTATATTTAGCAGTCACATAGGCTAAGGGAACCTGAAACAAAGAATATACACCCTTTAGGACCCTGTTCAGAAAATTCAAAAGCATAGCAGTAGGGGCTTTTTAACCCTCTAATTCTAACAACATAAAGATTTTGGAAGATTGAATTTAAGCTAAATTCATGACATATATAACTATACTTTCAGATAAGTTATTATACCAAGGTTTGAATAACTAGTTATTTCTGAAGAAATAAACTTACTTGACCAATCATAGCTGAGAAAGCCCAAACTTTAAACATTCTCAATGGGACGGATAGTAGGTACTGGAAAACAAAATTTACATAATTTCATTTAAATACATTTCATATCATAGTACGAAGTGTTATTGTATATAAGTGCACACCCTGTCTTTTCAGTGACATTGAAGGGAAATTGACGTGGGGTACAGTCTTCCATATTAGTACCAAACAGCTTACAATTACAAACTAACGTGCAGTCAATATTGACTGGAAACCTCTGGTGAAAGATACACAAAATTTTGGCACTCTATTTAGGTTACAGTAAGTGCAAGAATATAAATGAAATGAACTAGAGTAGTATTATGTTGACAGTTATACACAATATTTGGATAATATAATACATATTAGAGTGAAATCCTACCTCATGGAAAAAAGCTGATAAAAAGAAGACCATAATAGAACCAGTCAATTTGCTACAACCACATCTCATTAAGGGTTTATACAGATGTCTAGGAAACAAAAAAAGAAATATGTGAATCAAAAGGTCCAGTGGACAGCAGGGTTGGGACAGGGGTTAACTTTGCAATATTGAGGTATATGAATAAAATGTAAGTCATCTCACTGAATCAGAGAAATGAAATGATCAGAGTTTCACATGCTACTTTACATTGTTGATTGAGGGTAATCTTTACAGGACAACTGCAATAGGATATCTTGTGTTAGATAAGGAGCAGTATAGATAGACATACATAAATAGTTCAATTACCTAGATGCCCATCTATGAACTGGTATATTCCAATCTTGCCAGAATCGCGATACTGTTTCCGCATTCCTGGAAAGGATAAAAGCTTTATTTAATAAACCGTAAAGATATTATGAACTTTTATCAATAAGAACACTCTTTGTTTAGGAAAAGTTGACATCTATCTCTTGATGATGTAGACAACAAGGCCTTGTATATTCAGTTCATTGCTAGTTACACTACCTCAAAAATAAGTTTACCGCTCAAGTTTATATTTTGAATACACAGAAGTGGAAAAAATATCTGTGCTATGTATAAATTATGTTACCCACCACCAATCTCTGTAAAATTCTCTATCTCCAAATCTTAACACTTCAGCTACCACATTTAATGTAGAATGAAAGAACCAGTAGAAAAATATTAACCATATAAAATGATTTGGGATCTAAAATAAAGAAGTCAGTATTTTTTTTTTAAAACAAACCCCAAATATAAACTAAATTGTTTCTTCAATAATCTTCACATAGAACATCATGATTCATGACCATGTCACATCTCAAATTCTCAAAGACTTTTTATTATTCTGCAATATTTTAAAATTACTATTGCTTGTCAATTATATTAAAATAAGATGAAGATAAAAAACTTACAGCTAATTTTAGAAGTCGTTCAACAACTCTGTATATATCTAACTCAGCCAGTGGTTTCATAGCGTTATTTACTGTTGGTATCATCCACTGAAATAAGCAAGTCATCATTCCTCCATTATGTTTTATATCTTTGGCTCTAGGCTTATAATAAATAATACTTGATTTAAAGTTCCACTGACAATCCTACTGATGCTTAGTAAAATTAATAACATGCTATTTACTCATCTTTTGCATGGTAAAATGCTCTATTAAGATCCATAAATGAGACTTACCTGTTGTGTTAATGCCAACATCAATTGAGACAGAAACATCTACAATTATAAATGATTATATGCTCAGTAGAATTATTAATAATAACAATCTTCATTCAAAATGGTCCTACTTTTATCAACTCTAATATTAAGAAATGTATCAATTCAGAAAGCAAGGATGTATTTTTCCACTTCGACAAATTCAAGTGAAACCCTACTTGAAGTAACAGTCAGAATCAATCATGACACTCACCATTTCAATAAATCTTTTCACTAAAAATCGTTTTCTAATTCTAGCAGATCTTGGGAAGTTGAGTTCATAAATCAATGTTGGTGCAAACAGAAAATAATACAGATCTGAAATTCATATGTTTTGACTGGTATGAGCTGTGCAATAGTACAAATTGACAAGGCTGAGTGAAAACTGTCGTTTTTGTGGCAGTGGATAAGGTAATTCAGTAGAAGGATGTATTCTTGTCTGCTAGGTGATTAGAAACCTCGCCACGTATTCTCGGAACGATCTTAGCGCTAGGATGTCTTAGATTCTTATCTTCTAACATTGATTCCAGGACATCCTAGCGCTAAGATCATTTCGAGAATACTTGGCCTGGAGTTGGAATCAACCTCAAATAATAAAGAGTTCTTATCCTATGGCCAGTACTTTCAAAAGTCGTCCTGGATTTGACTTAAAAACTCTTTCACATGTTCCACCTCTTATGATATTCACAATTGAAAGGTATCTGATTGAGATATCCTGTAAACTGATATATCTCATCTACAGCAAATGCAATAAGTTGTGTAAAATCTTAGAAGCTAATATCTATATCAGGTGATAGAAGAAGTTGCCATTCTCAGTCCAATCAAGGTTTAATTATGAACTAGAGGACTAGAAAGTAAACCCACCATTTAAATTCAGATTATCTGGATAAGAAACAAGAGTAGATTTTATATCTCCATGTATATCTATCTTTCCATCTGCAAGAAATAAACACATATTATAATACTTAATACATATATACAGTTATGTGATTTGAAAATATAACTCAGTATAAGATTAACAGATAGGCAAAATATTCCAAAATACACATTAAAACATTCTCTCCAATATATTTGATGTAAAACTTAAATGAAAATGGATTCACCACCACTGCCACCCATAAGTGTAAACAAACTTACTTGCTTCACAAACACTGTGAGATTTTCTTCTTCTAAAATTTTTTTTGCCGTCTTCTTTAATTTCATCTCGACACCATTTATTAACACATGCATAGGAGACAAGTTTTAAAAATACTATGGTAACAACACCTAAACACGCCACAGAAAATACTGAAAAAAAAAACATTGATTTGTGAAAGAATGCATGTCTGAAAATATTTCTAGAAGGCATTTGATATAAACTGTAGAACCATTCATGGCCATCCAGCTTACGTTCCAACTGATGAATAAACCCATGTAAAGTATAAATCCAAATCCAAAATAATAGTTTGGCAAATCATTTGTAAATGAGGAAATATTTCATTATGACAAGAGGTATCAGGTGTTAGAGTAAAACAGTTAGCATTCCCTACCTGGCACCACACATAGAGCCTTAACACAAGATAAGAAAGTAGTCCTTACTTACTTGGGTTGGGGTGTAGTACATAAATGACTATAGCTGGATACAATAATAATATAGCAACATTAATAGCTTGTAATACACCTCCTAATCTTTCTGATAACAACCCCTGGAATCAAATAATATCATCTTGGTTACCAAAACAATTATTGAGACTTCCTGATAACAGTTCTACAGTTATCTCTGAGTATCTTCGTCAGATTTTTGTAAACTTTGAGACACAGTTACTACTATTAAGTTTAACATTTGAACTAAACTGTACAAAATATAAAGAACCGGTAAATGTATTTCATTTTAGGCTACATATATTAATGTTCATTGGATCAAGCGATTAAGATATCTACCCTTGAAAAACCACATTGGCCAATTACAAAAGTTTTAACACCAAGGATGAATAATATTCAAAGGAATGCATAAGCAAAATAAAACGTGTTATATTCTGTAAGACTTATCATTAGCAGTCAAAGTGACATTTAGAAAAAATAGTAATAGATTAAATATTTCCTTCAAGAACAACATCAGATCATAATGACACCATGCGATAAGGATTATTAAAAAATATCACTAATCTACTTGAGACAGTGAGGTTATTACAATACAATATCTTATGATAAGATAGTAGAAAAACATTATCAATATCACATAAACAAGTCTCATTTATGCAATATATTAAATGCTGATTCAGATATTTGTTTAATAGCATAATAAATTCAGAATAAGAAGTGGCATTATATTCACAATTATACAGTATTAAGCTAAAATTCCATATACGCGTCATGCGGATGCGTCATGCGGACATAAATGGCCCTTGCAGATATGTCATGATTCAAATATGATTCAAATAGGATTCCATATGTGCGTTAAACGTATGCATTATCTTTCTTTTGATGCACAGACTTCTAGACAGATGGATGCTTTGGTGCATAAAAAAAGACAGGGAATCCCCACAAAATACGTCACATTTGGGAGATCTCCACGCATAAAGGCGTCCGGATGCGTCAAAAATCACTTCACGCATGACGGAGACCATTTGATGGATACCGCTTCCGCATATATGGAATCATACCCTCTTAAGCCAACCATTTCGATTTTTAACGCATGACGGATCTGCATGATGCGTATATGGAATCTTAGCTTTAGGATTCAATCACTTAAAAATGTTATCAAGTAAAAATTGAAAATCAAAATTAAAAAAAGAAATTTATCACAATGTTGATTAAGCTTTTAGTTTAATTCTGTTTAAATTATGATATAAATCATTCAAAATTAATGATGTGTCTCCCCTCACTCCCATAACTGTTTCTTTTTTTTTTTACTAATGCTTTATTTCAAGAGCAGTTTTTATTATTTACTATTTATCATTCTTTTACTCCAAAGATTGTGTGGGTGACTTGAGGGGTAATTACAATAAAACTCCTTAATATGAGACATTCAGTAGTCAGTAGTTTTAGGTCATTGTGAGGTCAATGGCTTATCTCAATCTTCTGGCAAGTATTGTCATTTATTTAATAAAAACATTTATTGCCCACTTTTCTTTATTTATACATTTCTATAGCAACCCCTATTTACACTATGCATTTATTATGACCAAAATTCATTGACATTTCATCTCTCATGGTACAAAGTCAAAGTCCATTTCCTGGTATGGTACTTGAACTATAGAGCGATTATTGGTGACAATTGTATGCACAGCACTTCTAGCATGGATATTAGCCTATAAATTCAGTTAACTCTGATAATTTTCTAACATTGTCAACATGTGTCTTGAATATATATTCTTGGTTAGAAAAATTAACATGTATTTAAACTGAAATTAAGCTTAACAGGCAGTAAAAACATTTACATGAAAGTATTCCATTCCGTTAAAATTAAGCAATATAAGACGTAGTAAAGAGTTTTATAACGCAACTGAGAAGCAAAATGTGAATGAATCAGAATTTTTTTAGTTAGATATGCTGCCATATGCTGTAAGGGGATATAACATATTATTATATTATTGTGGTCTGGATTTAGGTTGATTACGGGGGCTGCATCATTTCTGGTTAACTTTTTCTGGAATTGCAGGAACCACAGGCAAGAATTGGAATGTGCCAAACAAAAATCAAAAGTGTCCATGATACACATACAAAGGCTCAAAAACCTCTTTACAATCCCTTTAAATTATTAAAAATTACTAATAGGTTATGTCATAAAAGCTATTTTACAAATTCAAAAAGGCTTTTAAATCTTTTATGTAGCAGTCTTAAGTAGAAAATCTTTTATTTATTTCACCAAACACTTAGTGAGTGACCTTGAAATTTTGTTTGAGAAATAGGACATGGTCTAAAAATATTACAACCTATTTATATAAGCTATCATGAATTGAATATACTTACCTTTGTAAAGAGTCTTTCAAAACTAAACGCAAATAGGATAAAAATATTCATGCCTGCAAAAATAAAATATCAAATCTAATTCCAAGCCAAACCCTTAGTCTTACAACCTAAAATTCCTTAGCTGAATACAATTTGATTTGGTTGTCTCATCAATTCTATGAAAAGGACTTTTACTTGCATCTGGCAGTTTCACCTCCTTTCCTCTTCATTCCTCATGTACTTTCTCTTGCATCGTGTTTAAACTACGTTCCCATTCATCATACTTCCTCGGGGCCATGGTAATACAATTACGTATTCATATCTAAGTATTGTCCAATCAAAATTGGCCCTGGAACCTTTGATAGATAATCGCAGCGAATCAACTTGTTATGAATGATACAGAATTAAGTAAGATGTTCGGTAAAGAATTGAAGTGGAAAGAATGTGGAACTTTAAGCATTTATCAATTTTGACACAAGTATCACAGTTCTGTAAGTAGTATATAAATGCCATAGTTAATGATTAGCCATGCAGTAATGTGTTCTATAAATATAGTCTCATAATTAGATAGATCAGACCATAAACTAAACCTTTACTTACATAAGATGATCAAAATATTTGGCCAACTATAAGGTTGTTCTAAAAATAAATGAATCCAATCAAAAGGATTAGCTAAAATACCATATCTGGAAAAAACAAGCGAGACCTTTTATAACTAATTAGTCTTTTTTACAAATAAAAACTAAGTTACAGGCTAAAGAGTCTAAAAGAGTTATAACTTTACTTCTTGAAAATGTTCCTGGAGACTTTCACTCAAGAGTTTTTCTATGTGAAATTTTAAAACCATCAAATTTACTTACTTTATAATATTTTCTAAAACTAATCTCATATTCGATAAAACCTAAAAATACAACATAGAGTTAGCTATATATTTAAAGAAATGGAAATATAAAAACATCCTGAATTGTCTTGCTATCTTGAGACATTGGACAATTTAAACCTGCAAGACAAGTGATGCTTGTTCTCTTGCATGTTTTTTTCAGGAATTTTGCTTCTGGTACCACATAGTAACATTCAACCGTAGGCACTGACACAGGGTTAATCAAAAACTTTGTTTTAGTGGCATTGCAGAAACAACAGACGTCTGATTGTGCAAATTGATGCTATCAGTGTCCCCAATACACATAATATTTAGAAAACCTCTTTACCCCTTCTTTTTAGCAGTGTAACTAATGCTAAGGTAGTATAGAATACTTACCAATAATATGAGACAGAGATTCAACAGACCTCTATAATTGGTGAAACCACTAGAGGTGCTGAAGAATGAATCTGCATGTCTGTGTATTCTGAAATAGACCAAGATATAAAAATAAATACCATGTCAATATTTTACTCAGTAAGAAATGGTGCTCATTTCTATTCCATTTAGGTTACAAATGTTACAATCTCATGGATATCAAGTTATATTGATTATATATCATTCAACAGAGAGTTAGAAACTGCTGTTAAGTGCAAAATTCCATGTTTTGCATGACAATTCAAATTCAATTCAATTCAAATTTTTTTTTTATTATAGAACATATTGATAAATATCTAAGAAAAAATATCATCAGTAAAGTTTAACTAGATTTCTGCAAGTATCCTATCCTCAGACACAATGAGGAATATTTTCCAGGCCTAGTACCTCTGTGGATCTTTAACTTTCTGTTCCAGTGCCCGGATCATATATTCTGGTTCATACATCCAATCATGCATTGCCCTGCTCCAAAAACTACCTCTTCTAACAGTGCTGCTTTCAACAACAAGGTTCATACTTTTGTCAATTTCATTGTCTATTTCGTCCAATATTTCACTTGTTGGTTTTAATGCTGTTAAAATATCCTCTTCTTGACTTAAAGGACGAAGACTATTCAGTCTGTTTCGCAGGCGTGGTCCTGTTTGTGTTTCAGTGACACTTCCATTGCTTCCCATCGAGGCCATGTTGTGAGTTTAACTTTATATTTCCTTTTTTGATTAATATGATATTTTCAATGCTTTGCACACAAGGTAAATCCAGACCTTTTAAATCTAATTCAATGTCAAAATGTAAGTATGAGAAATAAATCAACATTTACTTAATAATGATGAAATCCTCAATAACTACAGATGAACATGTATAATGTCACATAATCAATATCTTTATACCAAATCACCAATAGCCGAATATATATATCTATCACTTTAGTATGCACTAGTATAGGGTATAAGCTTACTGTATATACATCATGATATAATATAGGCTACTAATATAATAAGGCCTATATCATTTATCAATTTATCATTATATGATTTAGTAAAAATTTCCTTGATTCTTGCCTTCTTTGGACACAACAATTTTCAGTTTTATTTCACTTTATCAACACGAACAGTTAAATTAGTCCTATTGTATACCAAATAATGATTAAATAATGACAATCGATTATATATTATTATACTAGTCAATTGGTCAATTGATTATATACTTAGTGATTGATTTATTATGCTGAAAGTGATATAGTCACTCATTCACTGATGTGATGTCATCCACTTTCTCAATATATCTCACTTTAGGCAATGCACTATCCACTGTTTATAGCTGAAGTCAACACCAATGTATCATACAGTATTTAATAAACAACCATAAGTTCAGGTCGTGAACATGGAAAAAACCTAAAAACCGGCAGTAACCTAATCTGAAGAGAGTTGTTTACTTGACCTCGGCAAAACAGCATGTCGGATTTAGGACTAAAAATAGATTTTGATCACGTGGTCAAAACATGCAAATAGCCTCGATCATTCGGCTGTATGTAGTCTGTTTTAACCAGACGGTCAATTTAACTTCAATCACCCCCATGCAGAAATAACACATTTAAAACGGGATTGATAATTAATATAATTAACTTCTAAAATAAATAATAAAAACTAACGGTTTATCTGGACGCCAAACTCGTTCTTTTCTCTCCAGTCCTTTTCTAGCCTCTATTTTATAGACACTTTTGCTTCTGCGAAGTCTTGGTGTAGTTGTTGAAGCCATTGTGAACTTTGGACATCCCGGACGATATCCAAAATATTATCTCTACATAACAGATATCACAGTAGTGATTAATCATTATTGTCCCAAAATCAATCCAGACGAAGTTATCGCCCTTCTACTAGACAACCACAGAATTTCATCGAAACCTTCTATTTTTAACTGAATGGAATAGTTTTGTATTCTTCTAGTTCATTTTTCCTTATTTTTACAACTGTAAAATACATCTACTTGTAAATTCGGTACTAGATGCACCCTTCATTTTCAAAACATGTGCGAATTAGTTATAATTTGCATGTTAATATTCCTATATCGAAATTGCGATTCATAGAATCTCGGGTAAGATGAATGAAGTCTAATGACCTTGACTATTGGGCAAAATTCCATCTTTTACCTACATTAGAATCAGAAAGATATCAATATATTTCTCCAAATATACATATAATATAGCTGCCTGGAAACAAATTTAATTGAAATTTGCGCGTTTCTGTCGCAATTTGCATGTGCATAAGTGATGTTATTATATAACTCTATGTGTGAGACTGACATTTGATTGGCCACGAAAGCGTTGTCAGTCATTTGCGTGCTTTCAATTAAATTGATATAGTAATTAGTGTACGATATCGATTTCATATAAGTTAGATTATGTAAAATATCAACTCTTTCAATTTTTTTTTAGTATTTTTAATTATGCTGACAAGAGTGAGTCGAAATCATATATTAGGTCGACTTGTCTTGTCTTTTATGTCTGTGGGGTGACAACGGGCGATTTGGCGATCAAAATCACATGACCCGTGGGCGTTTGTTTATTTCCGGTTGGAAATGAAAGTAGAATTTGATTGTTTGACAGCTGATTAAAATCGATCATTATCAGCTAGTGGATGAACGAATAGGTGAAAATGTTGTCCACTCTGCTAACAATATCTATTGGTTTATGCAGCTTAAACAGTAATGCCGTGGCGAAACCGAATTTTGTTATTATGCTGATGGACGATGTAAGTAGAATCCAGTGAGGTGTTTTTAAATAAAAGGGGTAGGGGTCTATGTTACTCTGCTGTCTTTAGAATTTAGATACTCTACTATTTAGAAATTAAGCATGTCATTGGTAATTGGTCTTAATGCCATTTGAGAGTCTTATCACTCAATGTTTTCTATTCCATCTGAACATACTGATATAAAGATAGAAAGGAATTTCTGATGTTTAGAACCAATGTTAAGTTACATGATGCTATTACTTTTATCTTTTTACTAGATTTGTTAACTATCATCTTAAGGCTTATATAACTAGATAATGATAAAGTGATAAGACATTACCTTGAACTGATTTAACTGATTATCAAAATAACTCTTTTGACACAAACTTTTAACCTGTGTTGAGCTTTTGAAGAAGTTTTTAAAAAATTAGATAATAAAAAATCTTGAATTGAAATGACCGGCATCACTTGCTGCAAGGGCAAATCCTGGACTGCTATTTAAGCAAACAAATGAAGTGCTTATCTTGCTAAACAAATCCAACTCAAACAAAGCTGCTGATAATGATGAATTGTATTACAGATGGGATGGGGAGATTTAGGGGTTTATGGAAATCCAGAAAAAGAAACACCAAATTTAGATGCTATGGCTGCTGATGGAATGGTTTTACCAGATTTTTACTCTGCAAATCCTCTCTGTTCACCATGTTAGTAGTCTTTACAATTCACATCTATTTTACATCCCATCTTTTTGGTTGGTTTTGAATTAAATTTCTGATACAAAATGTAGGTTTTTAGCAAAGTAAATGACAAACAAATTAAAAGTATTAATGTCAAGGCTATCCACCCTAATGTTAAATAACATTTATTCTAATTTTGTATTTCTATTGAAGCCAGAGCAGCTCTATTATCAGGCAGATTACCAATAAGAAATGGTTTTTATACAGATAATGCTCATGCTAGAAATGGTGAGATTTTATATAGTTCTGAAAAGGAATGTTGATTTTCTCTTTTTTGCCAGTCATGTCTGATTGGAAATTGAAAATGGTTGATTGTCTCACTGGTTTAAATGGATTTTTTCCTCATGATGAACCAATTTTGCAGATATTTGATATATCCATGATGAATAAAAATTGGGCTCTGAAAATATGAAAGCAATAGCTTGTGGAATTATTGCTATTTAATTAATTTTCCAAATTAGATGATAGGTGAAGAAATCTGTTTTAAACACTTCTGATTTATGTGTGAAGAATTTATAACCTTATTTTGATGTTTCAGCATACACACCACAAAATATAGCAGGTGGAATTCCAGATTCTGAGATATTGTTTCCTGAACTTCTCCAGAAACAAGGCTATAGAAATAAAATTATTGGCAAATGGTAGGCTTGTGTTAAAACATTTTATTTATAGTCTTCAAATTACACCACATTATCATCAATTAATTCAAACAACAGTGGAGCACCTATTGTAGGGTTATGTTTTGTCTTGTCTCATGCTTCTAAATGATCTATTGATCTGTTGAATTCCAGGCATCTTGGACAGCAACCCCACTATCATCCTTTAAAACATGGTTTTAATGAATGGTTTGGTGCCCCTAATTGTCATTTTGGTCCATACAACAATATAAATACTCCCAATATACCTGTTTATAGAGATGCTGATATGGTGGGAAGGTATGCTCAATTATATTTTCTTATCTCGAAAGTCTTTGTTTGGTAAATATTTGATTTGATATGCTGCATCAGAATAGTTTAATCATCAAAAACTATCAAAGTTATTATCTGTTTTACTATCTTATAAATAACACTACTCAAATTAATGTTTGTCAGTGATATTTTCATCCTAAAGGCCATAGCAAAATACAAGATCTTGGTGGATTACAAATACATAATTCAAGTTTGGTTGTCATTTAAAAAATAAGACAAACCTCCATTACTCCTATTTAACTTCTTGTTCTTACAAATTTTATTTCTAGATACTATGAAGACTACATGATAACAAGAGATGGAGAATCTAATTTAACACAACTATATATTAAGGTCAGTAATGTCGTTTAGATATCTTTTGGTTAAAATTCTTCTTTTTAAAATCTACCTTCAACCACACAGAATGCTATTTTTTGGCTGTATTTTGATTATTGACAATATTGGATGATAAAATGTCTTATTGTGTTTGTTATACAGGAAGCAGTAACATTCCTGCAGAAACAAGCCTCAAGTCAGCAACCATTTTTACTGTATTGGGCTGTAGATGCTACCCATGGACCTCTGTATGCTTCTAGACAGTTTATGGATACCAGTAGAAGAGGAAGGTATGCTGTTCTAGATGTTTCTATATTCATCAAGCTCTAGAAGCTTTTTGTTTCATTTATATTCTTTGTGTCGTTTCATTAGTTCTAGTTCTGACATTGTTGTTCATTTGAATGTGTGAGAGACTGGTGGATAGAACTGATAATCTAGGAAAGATAAGTAACTGGTAGACAGGATCTTTGAGAACATTAGTTATTATCTTCCTGTTTCTTACAAGTACAAGTCAGTAAGCATTGTCAAATAAAAGATCTGTTTAAAATTTCTGTTCCATGACCATTGTATTCTAGGATTAAGGTATAAGAGGTTAAATACGTATCCAATATATTCTAGATATGGTGATGCTGTACGTGAATTAGACTATGGTGTTGGTATAATATTAAACCAGCTGAAATCTCTAGGTTTAGATAATAATACTCTGGTTATATTCTCATCCGACAATGGTGCTGCTACTTACGCCAAACAAAAGGGTTAGTGTCCTTTTAATTTTCAGATCATAAGAAGTATATTTCTGTTGGCTTTTATTTGTGATACTCAATAAAAGATGTCATGAACAATACTCAAATGAGCTGGCCAACCTTTCGAAAGCATGGCATCAGAAGTTCCAGAAACGTAAGCATGTCTAAGAGTAAAATAATAGCTTTAGATCGAAATTAGTTAAAATATATTTTAAATTCGAAATTTAGGAGGAAGTAATGGTCCATTTTTATGTGGTAAAGAAACAACATTTGAAGGTGGAATGAGAGAACCTACTATTGCTTGGTGGCCAGGAAAAATAAAAGCTGGACAAGTATGTAATAGTTATTATTTTATGTGTGGAATTAATAATCATTTAAATTCTGGTTAAATTATATCAATATCATTTATTGTAATTTTGCATTCAGCTTTGAGCTAGTTGAACAAAAATTACATCAAAATACGCTTCTTTTTATTCTCTGAAAGGTATCTCATCAGCTGGGTTCCCTAATGGATTTATATACAACTATAATTAGTCTAGCTGGTATAGAGAAACCTACAGATAGAATTATAGATGGTATAGATTTATCAGCCACATTATTTCAAAACAATATAGAGGATAGGTAGGCCAATAAATTTTAATGACCAATTCGATGCATGGCTGTGATAGCTATGTTTCAGATCTATCATGGTATATGACCAGAACAACAGTTCACTACATGCAAATACATGATTAAATGTAGCAATAATGTGAACATAGATCAGAACATTTATCCTGGATATGGAAAATGGTTTAGACATTTCTTAGATGATCACATTAATCCTAAATGAGAACCTAAAACTTTTTTCATCCAATCAGCATTGACTTAATTTTCAATAAAATGGCTCACTTAATTGTTAAGAATTTCACTATCACATGATATTTTGACTGAAAGCCAGTGCTTTGCTCCCTCTGTCCACTTTTTAACCACTAAAATTGTACCACTAATAATTTACCTATTGTACATTGTAGAGAAATATTTTATTACCGCGGTGATGAATTAATGGCAGTTAGAATGGGGATATATAAAGCTCATCTCTGGACCTGGAGTAATTCTATTCAAGAATTCCATGCAGTACGTTATAAAATTTTATTTTGAATTTTTAAAATTTCGATGATTTCTTTGTCAATATTGCCACGTCCAAAATGCCCAGTTATGATTTTACATTATAAGATATTTGTTGAAAACTTCTAAGCAGTAAGTCTTGTCACACATAATTCTTATTTTTCAGAAATTTTTTCCCAAGATGTTACTTTAATCTTAGCCATGCGTAATTAACTTTCTAATATTTCTAAACTTTTGCACCTTATTTTAACATGAGTCTATACTTTGTGACCTAGGCCAGTGCTTTTATGAGACTACGTTCTCATCACAACTTATAATGTATTTTCCAGGGAACTGATTTCTGTCCAGGACAAATAATAGAGGGAGTAACAACTCATGATCAGACTAACTATACAGCCCAGCCATTGTTATTTAATCTTGGTACAGATCCTGGAGAAAAATATAAGATAAAGTAAATTAAAGTATTAATTATTACTTCTAAGTCTGGTAGTTCAGAGCATAAATTTCATATTTGAGTACTGGATCCACAAACAACACCATCTTCACCATGAACCTGGGCTACTAGTAGTCCATGAGGTTCTTAACTTCCAAGAGTACATGAGAAGTCTCTTGAGGGAAGGATGTAGCTTGGTTGTGTTATAGAGTTGGAATCATGAACACACTACATGATTACATTGGTAATGAATAGGACCATTGGTGCCATAAAATAGTCATCTTTCCTCATTTCTCTAGTCAACCGAGCTTTTATTGCTTATAGATAATCTGGGAAAGGTCAGTGAAATGAAGTCTGGCCAAGGAAGAGCTGGTAAACAAGGGCTTCCGCAATCCAAAAAAAAAACCACCACAGAGTATTGAGAATATGTGAAGAGCAACAAGGCATGTAAGGAATTAGGTGAAGTTGTATGCCAATCAGATTATACTGTTAATATTTTGGTATTTCAGGCCTGAATCAGCAGAATATAAACAAGTCATGCCAAATATAATTGCAGCTGTTAATAAACATAAGTCAGAATTAGTGAAAGGAGATCCACAATTAAATTATTGTGACAGTCATCTAATGGTAAGATGGTTATGTAATGTGCACTCATTGAAATAAGAAATTTAATAAATTTAGCAGTCACCCAATCAATACCTCACCAATAATAACTATACATTATTACAATGCAAAATCTAAGAAATATAGCTTCCATTTCTTTCACACAAGCAAAAGACAATTATATGTCAGAACATAGGCATTGACAATTTAGAAATAAATCATGCTTCTTTGTGCATGAATTGATGAATAGTCTTCAGTTAATTGTTACTATTTCCTTTCAGAACTGGGCTCCACCTGGATGTGAAAAGTTAGGAAGATGTTTAAAAGCAGTTCCATCCGATAGAAATTTATGTACATGGCCTCACTGATGTGATGATGTAATATTACAGATTGCCATACAGTTTTATTTTTGTTACTTTTTTACTGATTTTAACTTTTGTTTTGTTCCATGACTTTTCATTGTGAAGAGTTGACCTCTTTATTGATACATTGTACATTCCCTTTCTTCCAAAGTTTTGTATAAAATGTAGAACATCTGTAATTAGTGTGTTTTGAATATTGATATAAGTAGATTGTTTCTAATATTAGTTATGACATGGTGCACTAAAAATGCTCTTATCATAGCAGAAAACATTCACTGTCTTTGTATTGGTCAGACATTTCATTGTTTCTTGCTGTTATGGATGCAATATTGATATGTTATTAATATACACGAATGATGTCTATGCTTATGGGGTTAATGAAATAAAAGTTATATATTTTCTATTAAAATGTGTTACTGCTCTTCTCTCTAAATAGATCTATATTCTGAAGACATAATTTTCTGTCTTAAGAATAGTCCAAGATTGGAAAATATTGCTTTACTGAATCCCATCAGATCCCCCTTCCTCTTTCTATATATTCTATTTTTTAATTCAAAGTACAAGATTATATGTCATTTGAGAATATGATCAAGAGAGTTCTTATCAAGATGAAATAAATGTTACTGTCTAAAATGTGCAATCAAGGTTTGACAAGCCCTATTTAAGGTAAAAAACTGTTCACTTTGCATGCAAATATACAGTAACTGAAACATGTGACCACCTGTGGGATAAAATGGTTAAAACATTTGAGTTGATTCATCTAAATTTCATTCTTACTCAGTCAATTCCTACACAACAAAGAAAGAAAGAATCAGACCACTTTGTTTAACATTGATATGTTAAGTCATTATTTCTCAGTACAATAACAGACAGACTAAAACAATATCAGATTAAAAAATATCAAGTATAATAACAAAAACAATACATAATGTGATAATTAAAACAACAAATAGAACTTTACAGGCTTCACAAGAAAATGGCATAAATTTAAAAGCGAATGTCTATCGAAAATTGGAAAATAGAATAAAAGTATCTTCATGAAAAAATAGACAATGCATGATCAGGCAATTTAGTAACATTTTGCGTAGTTATTAGTTACTAAATTTCATTTTATGTTCTTTCATAATTTCAAGAAGCACAAAAAGGATACAGTCACATTGTTCATAATTCATTGTGACACAAATTGGTCATTTCTTAACCCTTCATGAGAATTGCAAGAAATTTTTTACAGGAAAATCTTAGGTACATTGAGACCAATATCTACTGTTGTTACATGTTTTAGCAGGAATTTTTAAGGAGTTTAAATAGATTAACTATATTTTACAGTACAATATGCAGTGATAAAGATATATAATATAGATATAGATAGAATATATAAACAATACTTCATGCAATAAAACCCTGAAACAAAACATCACAATAATAAATAGATGACATGTATGATAATATAAAATACCATGTTTCTAATTTTTAACTACAGGTTTAAAAATATGGGAATATGGCCAAAATGGGCCAAAATGTACCAAAATGCCAATTTCTAGCAAGATTGTTTGACTTAAGTGCATGAACTTAATCACATTGTTAAAATCATCATAACAGGATCTAAATTATGTAGGAATTAAAATTTTGCAATATTGTTTGCTCTTTTAACCATGTTGTACATGTACATTGGAATTGCAACAATTTTTAATATTATATTTTATATATATATTGAATATTTCTAAAATTAAGATGTTGAAGGTTAAAATTGAGCAGAATAAACAATAAATATATCATACAAGGTAAAATAATGTTTACTTTTGAAATAAAATTTTTCCTCAATTTGCACAAAACAATAGGTATTGTAATTTCAAGAAGACCTTTGTCAGATCTGTGAGGAATGAAATCATTGAAAATAATATTGACTTGAAAATTCTTTGAAAAACACATTGAATTTGATCGCAGTCTCATTCAGATCTGTAGACTATTTAGCACTAAAATGTAAAATATCATAGATTTTGTCAAATCAAGCAGTGAGATTCTGGTTGCAAATATCTAGTAAAAGATAACAAGAAATTTTGTGATATAAACACATTTGACTGTGACAGTCAATTAATCAATGAAGTGAGAAAGTACTCTTTCTCATTGCTGCAGTTAAAAATGGGTTTGGTTCTTCCTTCATCATGACAACTTTTTCCCATTCTTTACTTTTACTAGAAGTTCTGATGGCATCAATGACGGTTTGAGTGTAGAGAGAATCTTCAAATGTGGCTGCTGCAACAAGAGGCTCAGAACACCAACTCTGTCTGACTTCTTCTTTACCAAAAGCTACTCGTACAGCCTCAATACTTCGTATCATACCTTTAAGATACGGATTGGGTATTTCTCTTCTGACTTTCTGAGAGATTCCCAATCTTTCTTCTTCTGAATAATGCACAGGTTCGAATTGTAGAAGGTCTTCTTTGATTTTGTCGTGCGCTTGCCCATATAAATCAGCACCCCTTACCGTCAGACGTGCCTTGCTCCCTGATATAATAATTTCTTGCACAAAAGGTCCAGGCATGTGAGAGTTTAAAGTTACTGTGGCACATGCCCCCTTTTCCAGTTCCATTTGAAATGAACAATAATCATCACTGGTTATTTCACGTATTCCTTTGATTTTGTCAGTTTGTTTATGATATGTTTTTAGCATGCCATGGACGCGGATGGCTTTTTGAGATGTTAGATAAGTGATAATATCAATAATATTGCAACCAATTGTATTTAAAACCCCTCCTCCCATCAGTTCGTCACAAGTCCAATCAAAGTTTTCTTTTACAATGGACTGATAATGAACTCGCACTTCGCAAATATTGATGTCACCAACAAAACCATTTTGTATCAGATTTTTCATTTTGGTAACTGTGGGTAAAAATCGCAGACTGTGACACATGAGTGACATCAACCTTGGATAATAGCGAGCTGCATTCACCATGCGTAAAACTTCTACTTGTCCTGGACCAGATGGAGTTCCACAGAGTACATGTTTACCAATATTCAGAGCTTTCACAGCAATTTGTGATTGTAAATGTGGTGAACAGCTGATGATGACAAAATCAACATCTTTATAAAGTAGGACTTCATCAACTTTCTGTGTGGTAAAGGTAACACCAAGTTCTTTACCTAGCTCATCCGCCTGCTCCTTAGTTCTACCCCATAAAGCCACAACAAGAAAGCCATTGGACTTCAAAATTGGAACCAAACTTTTGATTATTGTAGTAGTTCCGAATACTCCAACTCTTGGCAGCATTCTTTTCATTTCGGTGTCAAAATTGGAAACATTTGACCAAACATATATTCTGAAGTAAGTTTGTGAAATTAATTGATCTTGACATTGACAATTTATTCATTTTAAACACTTATTTTGGTAAAACTTCATAAAATTGAATTACTTCCGGAAGTAATTTCATCAATGGTTGTCGTAATATAACAAATAATTGAGTCGTTCTAATGATCAATAAAACTTAAATCTAAAGGTAAAAAAGTGATATTGCTGCGTTTTGATTACATAGATAGGTTGAAAATATACAACCTGCTTGCTCCCATAACGAAGTACGACATCCATTGATCAATCTAAGGTCATGGTCATTTTATCCGGCGGCTTCTGAAAAAAGAAGAATGGCTTCAGAAAAGTAGGCCTATGCTAGATCCCTAACATGCTTGCTCAAGGCTTGATTTGCTACACATAGGACATTCTATCCTATAATCAAAGACACCATCATCCATGTCTCCTCACCTCACATTCTCAGGCTCAGTCATTGAACCATCCATGTAACACAATGTCGATGATACTCAAACTGAGTGATGGAATAGAATGGTGATGAGTTGTAAAGTCTGTGCTATCAGCATCTGCTGGAAGCGGATGTTAACTTGTCATTTAATAACCAAGAACGTGATAAGTTGTAATATACAGCATTGGCAGCCATTCAAATCAGTCCTATTCCTTGTTGAGCTTGGACCATGTTAGGTTTGATAAACCTGCACTTTAGAACATATTTCTCCCATATACATTTATAGACATTTGCTCTATTCCACATAGCTTTTAGTGATAGCTTTAGATTTTATCAATTGTAAAAACACAGTAGACTCAAGCTATAGGCTGAAAACAATAATTATATCCATAATAATTTTCATGGTCACTTATCAGTGCAGCTTAGTGCTTGTATGAGGTATGTTCAGGATACTACATTGGTTGATTTATTGACCAAATTCAATTAAATTAATTTTATGCATAGAGTATTCTTAATATTTCAGGTCAAAAATGAGTGAACAGAATGCTGAAGAGACTGGAGGAGACTACCAAGACACTCCCAGTCTCCCAGCAATAACTTCACAACAGAGTGAACTGATGAAACAAGCTTCTCAAGACTTTGAGAAGAAAAACTATGCAGCATGTGTGAGCAATATGTCAAAATTAGCATCTCAAAGATCAACTGATCCTAAAGTAGTCCATAACAAAGGTGTGGCTGAATTCTACAATAGTCAAATGAAAAATAAAGATGATTTTCAAAAAAGTTTGCAAAATGTCTGTCGCATGGTAAGTACTTTAACTACTACTCACTCATATCAGTACCATAGCAGGTACTTGTATAACTACATGTATATTAAAAAAAACCGCATTCAGGAAAGGTAGGTTAAGTCTGTCATTATAAGCAGAGAAATTTTATCTACAATGCATTTGTTTTTGTAGAATATTTTTACTGTGAAATTCTTCAGATAGTTATCTATGAACTATGTGCATATACACATATTGCCAAGCCCCATCTCCAGCTGTAAGAAAGAATGAATTGATCAGATACCAGCTTCTTATTTTATGTTGTATATGATATTTCTAACAATCATTAGGCAAAATTTGATATGATTTGAATTGATTTAAATAAAATTACATTTTTGTTCACTTCTTTTTTGTAGACAAGAAAGATGTCTAGTGATGTTAATGACACATTAGAAGATGTAGATCAAGCTGTTATATTCTATAACCAAGCTGTACTACTATACCACCTTAGACAATATAAAGCTGCTCTCAATATCATGGATAAGATAGCTCCAGTCTTAGAACATTTAGGTAATAATTTTTAAAAGTTGACAGACTGGTTGACCGTGTCTGCATGTTTTTTTTTTATTGGTTGTCAAGAATTTCCATATCACCATAGACTCATCTAACTTGAAACAAGTCATAGTGGATATATATCATATATAGATATTTCTCTCCTGATGACAAAAAATGCTACCTTCTTTCAAGAAGACTATTGGTTTTGTCTACATTTGCATTAAACATATGTTTCTGACCTCAGTTTTATGCTTAGAAGTTCCACTAGTTCAAATTTCTCTAATTTCTCTTTGGGAGCCGCGGTGGCTCAGTGAGTTAGACGCTTGCTCGCTAACCTGAAGGTCCAGGGTTCAATCCCGGCATAGGTCGAGATAATACCTTCCGATTTTTCAACCCGGTTTCCCCCTGTCAGTGATGCAGGTACGAGGGGCTGACATGGCAAAAGCGTCTAGTCGTTCGGATGGGACAATAAACCGAGGCCCCGTGTGCTACAGGCTGTGCACGTTAAAGATCCCTTGACAGTTGGAAGTCGAAAAAGAGCAGGCTAATGCCGCTGTCCTGGCAAAATTTCCCTCATTGCACCCTGCATGGTGTTGCCCGTCTTCATTAGCCCACATGGTGCAGAAAAGTAGGACGTAAAACTCCATTCATTTCCTTTCATTTCTAATTTCTCTTTATCCTACAGAAGAAAATTTATCAAAGAAGAGTATCCTATTGATGGTTGAGCTGTATCTGTCTACATATCAGGTTGGTAATTAAATTTTATTGAATTTCTTTTGAAATATGAAGTGGGACATCATTTGATAATAACATATCACAGAACTTTCTTGTATTTGTACATCATGTAATTTTGTTACCACTTGAGACTAAGCTTAAAGTCTTGAGATCCTAAAGTTTTCAGCCTGAAGGATTTAGTGTCCTAAATTTGAACTCTTAAATATGGTTTGATTTGAGCAGCTTGTGGGTTTCCAAATTTAGAAGGTCCCATAAAAGGCTCTTGCTCAATGCTTTATGCCATAAATGCAAAAGCTTTAATAATGTACAAATGTTAACTTGCAGCCAGAGAAAGCTATGAACAGAGTTTCATATTTTGAGAAAACATACTGTAATAAATCAAACCAAGCACAAGGAGGATCTGAGAAGGGAAATAACTCTGATAAACCAGACCCTAACCTAGATTCACTTAGAAATAAAATAAGTGTGGTAAGTTATATTAATATTAAAGCAGTTATCATAATGAAATGGCTCTCAAATATTATTTAGTTTTAATTCAATATGAATAGCTCATTTGCTGCTACCAAGGTATGCCTGGTTTCATTGAACACTTTGATTAAAACAAAAAAGAATGGGCCTGTGGCTCACTTTATTTCTAAATTAAATTATATCATTACTTCTCGTTACATGCAAATCAATTAATTCTCCACAAGCATTAGATTGGTGATAGTTGTAGTAATATTTCTTACCTTGAGGATTCAAACTCATGGTATCTAATTGCCTGACTCTCTGAGCTATTCCACTGCCACCACTTGTGTATATTATGCATGTTGTTATAATTTATATTTCAGTATAAAACTAGGTGCTTATTGATGTTAAAATCATTAAAAAACAGTAAAAAAGAACTGAAATCATTACCAGCAAGTGTAAGCATTTTGACAACATTTTCTAATTATATTCTTTATTGTTGTGTCTGTGTGACTTGTCCCTTGCTTTTTGTTAAAGCATTAACAACATCATTGTGATTCTTAAAAATTGTGTTGTTCTGAACTCTTTAACCATATAGTTGCAATGGATGCTCCTTAACCTCTTAACATTTTAATCATCTATTTTTTTTATTTATATTTCAGCATCAGCCTCTATCAGGTTTATATTTAAAATGTTATCAAGATTATTTAAGTGGTTATTATAAGAGAACTCTGAAAACATTAAGTTTGAGTCCACAAACATCAGCTGTCAATGATCGCGGTGACTGTATAAGCGTGATGTACAATAATAATCTGGCTTGTTTACATTTCCATCTTCGTAAACATCATCTTGGTGCCTTTCATCTACGTAAAGCTTTACAGGAAAATGAAAATGCCATTAAAGACCCTAAGATTTCTGATAAAGGTAACAGTTTTTATAAAGTTTGATATTTGTGAGAAGGAAAAGGCCATATTCAAAGCATAATCTTTTTAAAGCAGAGACTATCTCCATTGTTGTTGGAAAATATTTTCTTACTGAATTTAAAGTAATTCAAATGCAAAATTTGGTTTTGAAAAAAACTTGTTATTCTTCAATATTCAGTATGACATTTTTATGTCTGAAATGATTAAAATAAATTCCAACCAGGAATCTTTTGGAAACCTAAATTTATATTTTCGCGTTTCAGATCGTCCATTATACCTGATGGGTATGAGTCGACATTATGAGTTACTATATAATATGGGTATTCAGTTATTACACTGTGGTCAGTCACAACCAGCGTTTGATTGTTTATTACAAGCTGTACAAGTTTATCAAACTAACCCTAGATTATGGTTACGTTTAGCAGAATGTTGTATTCAATTTAACAGAGAGGTAGGTCATAATTGTTATTCTTTAAGACTGGAAAGAATATCATCTTGGAGATTCATGGAGATTTTTGAAAATTAAAAGCTATGTGTACAAAATCAGAGACATGTTCGTTCTCAGAAATATATTCATATTTTGGCTTCTTTCTGTACTAAAAGACTAGTTTGTGTTCTATCCTCAGAACAATGAAGACGATAGGAAACTTGAAAAGAGATTAGAGGTTATACAGAATTCTGTTGGAATGGGAATACATAGAAAACTTATACTAGGTCCTGGATTAAAACACAATATTACAAGGTTGGTTAAACTTTTTCATAACTATTTAATTTTGAATAGCTTCCATGGTAGGTATTTTTAGCAAGATAGGACATGTTCACATTATCCTACTGTTGAGTGGTATCATGTCTTCTAGAAGGATGATGAATGTATTTCTCAAGATGTTTCCAAATTACGTAGCATCTCATAAGTGACACTAACAAAAAATGATATGCAATCTTTTCACAGCACAATATTGAATCTGTTTGAATTTTTTGTAGGATTCAAGTTTTTTTGTGATTTTTTTTAATTAAAAACCTTATGAATTGATTAATGTCATTGCGTTGTATCCATTGCTTTCCAGTTCAGGAAATTCAGCCATCCCAGCACCAACAATTGAATTTGCATCGTTGTGTATTCGTAATGCATTGTTTTTATTACCGGATGATCCATTAGATAAAGATCCTCTACCAACTTCTGACCAATCTGATCCTAGGTAATTATTTCTTAATCTTTTATCTATGTAAATTCTGTTGCATCATTATACGTGTGATTTTTGAACATTTTATAAGGGTTTCATAAAACTTTTCGCTCTACAATGCCAGAATTATTCTTGTTTTAGCAAAGTTCAAGTTGATCAGATGATGGTACCAGCACCACCTGGTAATCCTATGAGACCTCTAGATGTCGCTTATTTAAGGTAAGCTGCGATATCTTCACTTGAAAGATCAGGGCGTCAATGCTGTCAATATCTTATAAACATACTTCATCGCAGAATTTTGAATTTGGTTTTATCCAAAAAAGGACAATTTAACTCTCATCTTCTTACACACCTCTATATATCACCACCTATACATCTCTCTATGTGGATGTATTTTAACTCCATTACATTTCCTTGTAACTTGTCTAGAATCTACAGGTTTTACCTAATTTTTGAATAGAGATATTTGTTTTTTAACAGATTTTCAAGAAACTTGGAAGCCACCCTTGTGCAAAAAGTGCTTTTGAGTATTGTTTTTTAATGATATTTTATTATAAGATAGATGAATTTAATTATAATTAATTAAGGATGTTATTAACTTTATAATATACACCAGACAGAATCTTAAAAAACTAATTTGTTGTGATAATAATTAATATTAATCACATCTTCTCACGTTCAGTCCACATAAATTTGAAAAAAAGAAATAAAAGTGCAGTTTTTTTCAAGTTTGCAAGATTTCTCTACCATGTTCCAAAACAATCAAAGATGCTACACTTGACAAGAACTGTCGTGAATTTTATATAGTAGAATAAAAAATACATTGCTATATCAAATGTAAAATGTGTATTTTGGAATGAAATTCTATAGTGGGGCAAAAATGTTGAACTTTTAAAGCACATCATGCTTTTCAAAATATATATTTTCTCTGTTTTTATTATCATTTTCTATTGTCTAGATGCAGTATACTGTGTTCAGCTGCCTATATTTCATTATGTTTAAATGATCATTTAATGGCTTTAAATCACGCTAAAAACTTGTTACGCCAAACCAAAATTTCAGGTGCTCAGAGGTGAGTTTAAAACTATACAAAGTAACATGATAACAGCATTAATCTTAATACTCTTCATGACAATGTAGATGTAACACCCAGAGTATTGTACTTGTACACAAAAATTCAAAATTCCATACAAGCCTCATCTTGTCTTTCGAAATAAGAATTTACCGTAAAAGGTCTTGCCATACTGGGGTTGTCATTATTAACATATACATATAAATATATAATATATATTGAAGTATAGATAGATCTGTTCTTAAAATATATCTGAATTAATTCACATTGTCCTGTTTTGAAGATATTTAGGAATTTGATATATGGCTATTATTTGTATAGTATGTAAATGTTATTATGTTCCAGATATTTAGGTAATTTATATATGGCTGAAGCTCTAGTTGTGTTAGATCGTATCTCTGATGCTGTGAACCATCTCCAACCTGATCTGATCAAATCTGACATTAATATTCTACCTCCAGAAGGTATGTTTACTCATTGACAAACATTTTGACTTTTGTAATCAAGAAACCATATAGCTTGCTTTGTATACGAACTAAACAATTCATAAGATGTGTATTTAGATAGTTTTGAAATTAAGTAAATAAGCAAGTTTCAACTTTTATCAATGACGGATGAAATATATGTTTCCCAATTTCTTTACAAGCAACTTTTTGTCTCAGATCTTAGATAAAGTGGAAACATTCTGCAAAATTAGATTGAGTTATTGTCTTAATATGCTTCTATTCAAATTTGCAGAAAAAGTTGAAAAGACTGATAAAGAGAAGGACAAAGAAGAACCAGCCGATGAAAAAGGGCCTTTATACCAATGGAATCCAAAAGAATTAAGTCAAGCTAAAGGAATAATGAACTATAATCTAGCTGCTGTTTATGCTATAAGAGGAGATTTTAATAAAGCACATAGTCATTTATCAGATGTAATTTGAATTACTTCTCTCTTTTGACAATTTTGGATAAAGATTGATATAGATATTAGGTTGAAATATCAAAACAGAACCTAAAAAAATGTTGTTACGCTTTGCGATCTTTGCGAAAACTTCTGTTTTAATATTTCTTTATAGCTCTACTATTGATGTATTGATCATTATTTTAACACTGGTATTTCTTTATCGCTCTACAATCTATGTATTGAACACTATTTTAACATTGAGTTCTGTTTTAATATTTTTATATCGCTCTACAATCTATGTATTGAACACTATTTAAACATTTAAAATATTTGATTATTGTAGATATTACGTTGATAATAGTAATGATCCTGAATGAGTTCATTGAATGAAATTCTTATATGGCTGTTGGTTCAACTAATTTAATGTAATGTTCACATGTGGAATTCATCATTTTTCTTCTCTTTTTAGAGTGTTGCATTAATAGGAACACCATTACCAGCCCAGATGTTCTTTTTAAAACTTTACCTTGATTTAATGGAAGGTATGTATATTATATTAATACCATTTGATACTTAAATACTGATACTTGTTTTAAATTCAAAGAATGGGAGCTAGTTCTAAAAATAGAGAGTCTAAAATGGGATTACAAAACTAGTAGGCGAACTAATAGATGTACACACTAATCTTGGAGAATTATTGTATGAAATGAAATGAGGTTCTACATCCTACTTTCTTTGCACTTGATGTTCTAATAAAGACAGGCAACGCAGTGCAGACAGCGACATCAGCTTGCTCTTTTCCAACTTCCAACCTGTCAAGGGATCTTTAATGTACGAAGCCGTAGCATGAAGCAAGCAGGGCTTATTGACCCATCCAAACAACTTTATCCATGTCAGCCCCTCCGACCTGCATCACTAATAGGGAGAATGTTAAGTTGTATACATAGCAGAATAATTACTAGATAATTTAATTAGTTATAGTGCGTAATCATTTTGAATTTTGACTATTTTTAGGTAGAAGAAAGATGGCTCAAACAGTTATTAAAGATCATTTTGGACATATGACACCTAACAGAGTAGATGCTAAAGCTATCAGTAAACCTGTTAGTGTATGGAATGAAAGTTAAATTAACTGACTCTTTCACATTAAAGTGCTTTTTCTGACATAATATTTACTGACTGTTCAACACGAAATAACTTAAAATAAAGTATGTGTACTCATCTATGTAAATCATGTTCATTGTTTGATACTTCAGTCATTGATCAAAATCATTTGTTAGTTTATTGTATTTTTTATTCAGAAAAATGAAAATAGAACCTGAGAAGTCAGTTGTCTATGTTCTGCAGCATGAAACTGAGCATTTCAGGTTTTGGTCACTGTGAATTTTTTTTTTGTGTAATATGTTTTATGTATGTATTATTATGTACAATGATGTCAACTGAAAATGAGTCGTGGTTTAATGTAATTGTGTATGGATAGAATCATACAGAATTGCTATGTCGTCTTTTCCATTTCATTCATTATGCTGTCAAGTCTGTTATATGGGCATGATTTGTACACAATATAAAAAAAAAGATTTTTTTAGAAAATCTCTTGGGAGGTGTTAATGTTGACACACTTGTTGTTTTTGAATAGTTGGGAATTATGACAATATTTTGAACTTTTGAAGGGCATTTACAATTTTGCATATTTATCCTTTAAGCCAAAACTTGAACAAAAGATTGCAATTCTTTGACATAAACTTTATCAAACTAGAAAGTGCAGAAATCATTAGACTGCTGTTTGCATTTAATCAAATTATTTGTGTGGTCAAGTATTTCTATGAAATATATACACTATAAATGAATAAGTTTTGTCCACAAGATTGTGTGATTGTTGAACTTTATCAATGTCTAATATGAGAATTATCACACTATGAAGATGAATATTTTAATATCTGTTATCTAGAGATACTATAGATATGATAAAAATTAGATCTATGAGTCTAGACTATCATTATTCAGTGTAAATGTTATGTAAATGCTTATTGCATATTAAACGTCATTTTTATTCTTCAATCTGTATTGTTTTTAATGTTCTTTCTGTATTTTGTTGAATACTATGGTTTTGTAATGCCCAACTGAAGAATAGTGTCTTTTAAAAAAAAATGGCTTGTAAAATTGGTAGTTAGAAATATCAACTCAAAACACTACTGTGAATATTTGACCCTGTTTAGCAAGAACTGGATGTAAAGTTCTTGTAGCAATGGAACATAATCAAATCATTAAGGATGGGCTCCCTTATTTTCATTTATGACAATGAAAATAGTAATATTGGTTACTCATATGAATAGACAATAGAGGTGTTCTAATGACTTGGAAAAATACCAGTTTGTCTCACGTGTCAATAATTAATTCATAATTAGCTAAATTAGAAGAGAATTACCAACTGAATTCCAATATGTGGCCGATCAAGAAAGGTCAAAAAGTCTTTTTTTGATTATCCAGACTGTAGATGCACAGACATTTATGATTGGTTAAAATTCTATGCAAAAAGAACATAATGATATGATTAAGAGTACTTGATAATTCATTAGAAACACCAGTTAATCAAATAGTTTGCCTAATTATACACTAAAAAATAAGGACACCCATCTTTAAATTAGAAATTTGACATCATCCACAAGAACTAAAAATATTTGAACATAAACTTCATAAAATATTGAATGCTCTTACTTTCCATCAAATAGCAATACATTACATTGACTAATTGATTTGTATTATATATTAAAAAGTAGGTCTCCTACTGATAAAGTGATAAAAGGTTGCTTTGTCACTTCTCAATAAGAATATGATATCAAATTAAAGGAGCCAAAGTAAACTGATAAATGTTTATCACCGATTAGCATCGCCAATTTAAAATTACATATTTAAACTAATATTTAATTGATATTGAGTTCTATCAGATTACAAAAATTTTTAAAGCCTTTGGTCTTCTGAACTCAGAACACTTTACAAAATTCTATTTAAATATACTCTAGCAGTAACTTTATTTTCTGCTTTAAGGCAATTACACGAATGTACAAACAATAAAAGCTAGCATATATCCTTTATTTAAGAACAATACATTTCATTATTATCTATTTTACAAAATGTTTTATTGATATATCCATGTATAAACAAATACAAAACACCAAGAACTGTAATTATTTCAAACTGATAGTACATTATTCTTCCATTCAATTCTAGTCAAGAATTCATGTCATTAATTTTAAAACGTCAATTTAAAGTCAAATATTAAAATTCATGAAATTATTATTATACTGTATACATTTCAAAAGTATCATTTCAATGTTAGTCATGAGCCGTATGAGCAAGGTGCGCGTTATTTGATTGGTTGTTCAGATGATTGACATAACTAAGGAATTGGGTTAGCCACTCCCTTAATGTGTTTTAAGATGGCGCCTCGGACCACGAAAGAGAAAATGAACATCACGATAGTAAGTTGATAGTCCACCTACAAAGACTTTTATTAACCGATCTACCTCGCAATTTGCTATGTATACTAGGAACATTGTCAGTGAAACATATTTAACGAGCTCAAAGCCACAGAACATACAGTGTGACAGCCTTCGTTTTGCGGAGCTGCCTGCATTTCGAAGGACGACTCATTGACTTGAGAATCATGTAAAAGAAGTAAGGTGATTTGTGACCGGGATTAGACGGGTACCTTTCTACCTCATGTACCAACGCGCTAAATGGCTGCATTTTCCGACTCGCTCGGGGAACAACTTTCTTGTCCTTTGTGTTTAAACCGATTCGACGACCCTCGTGTACTGCCCTGCCTTCATACATTTTGCAGAAAATGCCTCGAGTCGGAAGTAAGAACTGTCGGACCAAATATGAACTTGAACTGCCCAACATGCCATCAAGCAGCTCCCTTGAATTCTCGAGGAATAGATCATTTTCCTTCAAATTTCTTCATCAACAACATCATCGATGTTATGGTTACTACAGAAGAAGAATTTGAAAATGGGGAGTTGTCAAGCAATCGAGAAAATCATTTTGGAAGATGGTGTAATTCATGTGATGAGGGCAGCTCAGCTTCCTCAATATGCAAAAATTGTAATGAATACTTGTGTAATAATTGTGTGAAGGCTCATCAGAGAGTAAGATTGACTAAAGATCATTATATTGAGACATTGAGTAATGGAAAATATCATTCACCCAGCATACCCGCCCCACCCTCCCCTATTTTACATTATGCATCAGATCGACCGGTTAACTATTGTGAACGTCATGAAATCGAAGTGTTGAGATTATACTGTGATACGTGCTCACAACCCATTTGTCGAGAATGTACTATGACAGAACACGTCGGACATAGTTTTATCTACCTCCAAGATGCATTAGAAAACTCCAAAACCATCACATTGAAACTTGTTGCAGATGCCAAAGCTGGCATTAAAGCAATTGAAGATAGCATTCATTTAACTCAGGGTATGGGAGAAAGAATTGAAGGCAGGGCTCAGGCTGTAACTCAGGAAGTACGATCAACTACTAGAAGATATATGGCAGCTCTTGAAGAACGTGAACGAGACTTATTACGACGAATTGAAAAAATTCGACAAGTTAAAGCCAAATCCTTACATTCTCAAGTCGATGATCTCAAACTAGGCCTCTCATCTATTTGTCAAACAGTGGATGAGGTAGAGAAAATGTTAAATACGGGTAATGACATAGACATTCTCAAGACCAAAGACAAAATGGTGGCAGAAATGCAGAACATGAGAAAATTACGTGGTTATTTAGAGCCCCATGAAGATGATAACTTAGTTTTCACTCCGCCTGATACAGCTCTGTATAATGCTATTGGTAAATTAGGCTTCATTACCAGTAGTGCTTGTGCAACCAATTGTATCGCAACAGGAGATGGGTTAAAAAGATCTTTGAAAGGCAAGCTTGCTTTCTTCATGGTACATTCTAAAGATCATCATGGTGAGGCTAGAGTGGTAGGAGATGACCCAATCGATGTTCTTATTCAGAGTCCAGAGGGTGCCATTTACAGAACAGAGGTGATAGATCGTCATAATGGTACATATACAGTAACTTACAGACCTCAAACAGAAGGTCAACATATAATATCGGTCACTATTAGAGGCAAACACATTAAAGATAGTCCGTTTACAGTGACAGTAAGAAATGGTAGAAACTATATTACAGTTGGTCAGATGATTCACCAGTTTGGATCTGAAGGAGATGGACCAGGGCAGCTGTGTAGACCTTGGGGGGTTTGTTGTGATAAAGATGGAAATATCATCATAGCTGATCGAAGTAATAACCGTGTACAAATATTCAATCCAGATGGAACTTTCAAGTTCAAATTTGGATCTGCAGGTTCCAGGAATGGTCAATTTGATCGGCCAGCTGGAGTAGCCTGCGATTCTCAGGGAAGAATTGTTGTAACAGACAAAGACAATCATAGGGTCCAAGTCTTCACATCTACAGGCAATTTTCTATTTAAGTTTGGTGAGAAAGGCAATAAAAATGGCCAGTTCAATTACCCATGGGATGTGGCTATAGGATCCGATGGACGAATGATAGTTTCTGACACTAGAAATCATAGAGTACAACTCTTTAATTCAGAAGGCCAGTTTATGAATAAATATGGATTTGAAGGTCCATTGTGGAAGCATTTTGATTCCCCGCGTGGTGTGGCGTTTAATAATGAAGGTCATATTGTGGTTACAGATTTCAACAACCATCGATTACTTGTTATTCATTCTGATTTCCAATCAGCCAGATTTTTGGGAACAGAAGGTAGTGGAAACGGTCAATTTTTGCGCCCTCAGGGTGTGACAGTTGATCAAGAAGGCAATATTATTGTTGCAGATTCAAGAAATCATCGAATTCAGGTATTTCAACCCAATGGCAATTTCTTGTGTAAGTTTGGCAGTGCAGGTTCAGGGCCTGGTATGATGGATAGACCGTCTGGTTTGTGCGTCAATCCAGATGGTTTGTTAATAGTCATTGATTTTGGCAACAATAGAATCCAGGTTTACTGAAATAACTCTGGGAATTCATTCATTAGGACTTATTGCATAACATAAGGTAGCAGAAACATTAATGTGGTATACATAATTATTATGGATGCTTCGAAATATTTAAAAAAAATTTCTTGTTCAGTTAATTATTGCTGTTGATGTTACCTTCACCCATTATGCTCAGGCTTAACAAGCAGAATTCAGGTTCTCAGGTTCTTTAGTTTGTGACGCCAAAGGCACCTTAACTGCTCAGGGATTTTTAATACTAGTTGATTTAGTTCCTGTGTCTCCAAGAGCCACTGTATTGATTTTTCAACAGTTATTTTTGTTCTAGCTTCAAAATGCTAACCTTTATTTTTTACTTATTAATGCTTTAACAAGTGTTTCAATATGGCTACTATTTTGTCATGCTTTTGTTAAACTATAAGAGATGCATAGTATTTGTAAAAATTGTTATTGATACTGTGATCACTACACACATATTTTGAGAAAAGATAAAATATGTGGATAATAATAAATGTTTAAGAGTGCTATTATCTGCCGATTTGTGTCCAAGACTTATATTAATATTGGGATTAGCTATTATATTTTATTCTGTTATACTATCATGGGATTATTTATCTTACATTTGTCCACCATATTTATATATAAAACTGTAAGGTCATTCTCATTCCCTTGATCACAACTAGGTCAATCATTCCTAAGGTAAAGGTGACTAACCCAATTTCTAGCTACTGGGCTATATAATGCTGTAGTATATTCATATACTACCTCAGGAATTTCAAATATTAGTTCAACCAAAATTATCAATTTCATCATAGATGGCTTCTATTCATATCAGTAGAAACTTAAATTGATAAAGCTCATGAAAATTTATCTTATAAAATAGGTTTCATATTTCATATAGCAATATCCCTCATATTATTTTCAATAACTAATCTCAAGTTTTTTATTTGATCATAACCTTAAAAACACTGGAAGCTGTAGAAAAACTGAAAATATCTTAAAAAGAAGTTAAATATAGCAGCGGATAAATATGAAATGGCAGCTACCTTTTAGGTTTTTAAAACTAAGAACATCAGATGTTTTAAATTTCTGAATGCATGTATGTAAATGGACAATAAAATACACCAATGGATAAAAATTCATTTATGGTCAGAAAATAAAATATTTGAAAACTAAATATACTCAATTGAGAGTATAACATATTTCTCTGAAGCTTTATCTTTAAATTTATAATATATAATGGATTCTAGCGAAATTAAATTGTCCTCAATGACTGGTAAAATTCAATGAATAAACAGGTCATTTGAATATCTTCATGAATGAAAATGTAAAATTAATTTGATCACTGAATTTGAATATAGAATAAGTAGTATCCTTAATGAATTTTTCAATTAAGTTATTTTAATTTTTGCTATGCGATTGAAGATTTGATTTAGACATTTGTGGCACTAGAGAAAATGTATTGATTTTTTTTTAATATTATTTAGATGATGCATTCAGTTAACCTCAGAAGAATTCTGCATTTTCTATGATAAAGTTACAAACTTATGAGTGTTTTTCCCTTTGTACAGTTAATGTGTACCATTATATACATTAAAAATTAAATTTGTCAAAAGACAAATCTTGTTTGTAATTATGAATTTTATTTATGTATATGTAATATGCGGGTATGGCTTACAGCTGAGCTTTGTTATTAGTTAGCGAATAATGTATAGATTACAAAAGTAATATGTACACAAAAAAAATTATAAAAAAAATGGTTTGTAGCTTTTGATAATTGCTTTGTCAATGTTGATTCTTATGGCTTTTGCCTTGCTAATGTTTGTATTCTACCTCAATAATTAAATAACTGAATGTTAGACATTCATTAGTTATTAGATTATTATGATTATTACACTATAAATAAATAACCTGATTTTCTCTACTAATTACTGTACATTATTCATTATGTACCTCAAAATAAACCAACTTATCGTTTAGGGCCTAATAATAAAATTTGCAAGCAAAGAAGATGTTGTAATGGATATTAATAGGAAAGTTAATTAGTGCCTCATTTAAAATGAAATAAAAATATTTAGAAATAACACAAATATTTTAATTTTATGTATTTTTTTTTTTTTTTTTTGAAATTAAAACTATTTGATTGTTGAATTGATGTGGCACATCTTGTGTAAAAAATATGGTAAAAATACTTGGGTATTGTTTTAAAAATCAATTGAAAAAATGTAACAAAATAACAATGTACATCAGGATTATCGGGTTGGTTTTCTTGTAATGTACTTATTTGTATGTTTTTTGAAATTTGTGTTTGACTAATCAGGGCATTGGGTAGGACATGCGCTTTTTTAAAGACTAAAATATTTGGACTAAATGAACATTTGAAATATTAAATTGAGATAGAATAATGAGAAAATATAATCTGATCAGCTTGCCTATTAATTAATACACTTTAAAATACCATCACATTTCTAATCCAATGGGAATTATTATGTGGTGGTAATGATATATTGCTATACATTATCAAATGATTTGGAGATAAATTTTATAGCAATGTCTTCTATATTATCAGTTATAGAAAATAGTCTGTTATAGAAAATAGGCTATAATGATCTCAAATTTTTTTTTAAAAAGGACACAAAATTTTGAATTTGCTGTTTTGTAAATATTTGTGTCTTTTCCAAGATAATTCTAAAATTTTTGTTCAGGTAATAATGTTAAAGCTCAGTAATTTTCCCTATACCTCATAATCAAATTAACCTTACTAAAATCTAATACCTCGAAAAATAACTAACATTTGTCCTCAAATGCATTATGTCATTGTCAATTTTTCTATAATCAATTTTATTAGCCTTTGATATAAATGTTTTTGTCTCAAATAGAATAAAACATTAAACCAATTGTCTTCAAATATTAAACATTTTAAATTGAAATATTTGAAATTTGAATAAATTTTGATCTTTAGGATGTCATAATTATTTGGTGTTCTTTTAAAATGTATGGCAGCACATTAGTGTCATTGTCTGTATAAAATAAAATAATGGAATGTTTTCCATTTCAATTATTGAAAAATGGATGCGTGTGAAATAAAACCATATTATTTTAGCTATTATCATATATTATGGTTTAACCAGTGATTGAGGTTTCTTTAGTCTAAGACTTATGGATATCTCAACCATGTACTCGTATATAAATAATATTCTAAATGTATTTGTAACTACTGAGTTGCGCCGTAAAACGGAGAAGAAATATACCTTGGCGTATAACGCATATTTACATGTTCATCTAATTGTACATTTTTTCCTCTTTGTTGATTTTTTTCTTAAAATTTTTTTTTTTTTGCCAATTCAATTGTCATTGTTATTGTATTTTATAACTAATTGTATATATTTTGTCTTTGTGTACTTTGACTTCACACTAAATCTAAATTTAACCAAAAAAAAATTATTTCAAATTTCATTCAACAAAACCAAATAACCTTTGTGTTATTCAACTTGCATTTACAATTATTAATTAAGTAAAAAATATTAATTACTAAATGCAATGAATTTTTAGCATTCAATATTCTTATCAAAATTATTGAATCATTTCTTGAGAAATTTTGGACAAGACACGGAAGAAATAAGGTGCTTGAAGCGTGAGGTTAATTAATTTTCTCGGTGATAAATTTTCATAATGAAGGAGAATGATTAGATAGAAAAAGGAGAATGATAATAGAGAGGAGAGAATTATAAAATTGAGAAAAGGAGAGAAATATAAAATTTAAAAAGGAGAATTATAATAGAGCAGGAAAATAATGATTTATAGAAGGAGAATTACATGTTGTAGGCGTTTGAATTATAACTGATGATAAAATACAATTTTTATTAGGCCACTCAATTAACATTGTTTTAATTTAGAATATTCTGATGTTTTAAATCATCATGTGACTAGTTTATTATGAATATCTTAAATATTTCCATATTTAAACTATTCATTTTTAATTCAGAATATGTCACCAGTCTTCATTCCAAAAGATTGATAAAGAGCGGCTCAGATTTAATTTGAATCAGTGTTGGTGAATTAGTCAGTCAGAAAGGGTAAATAATAGAATTAAAATTGCCACTGAAAATATACTCTTTTCCATCTCAAAATTCATTTTGATTCATTCTGCCAAATTGATATGAATAAATGAATGAACTTTGAACCCAAACGAGATCTTTTGAAGGTTTTAAAACCAAAAGGGTTAATAATCCTGTAGAATTACTATCAAAAACTCTTCAAAGAGACCATATTCAATGCCTAAGGATTAATTTTGATTGAAAATTATTTTTGAAGGGTTAATTCTTGTCATTGTTGGACACATATTTCAAATTATTCTAGAATAAAACAATGCATATTTAGGCTGAGAAAGTTCAGAAATATGTTTTAAATGATAAATTGATTGATAGAAATGAGAAACTAAAATGATGATTATGTAAAAAGTAATTTTTTCAATAACACTAGACTGTATTATTTAAAAAGTAAATCGATTGAAAGAACATTTAACATGATAATTAGAAAATGAACTAGAGCAAACATTAAAAAACAGTTAAAAACAACAACATCAACATTATCTACATTTTACATTTGTTTTGAATTAAAAAATCTTACTATTATGTAGATGCATTCAATGCACTTTTTATTCTTGAATTTGTTCTTTCTTCTGTTGATATAGAGACTGGCTAAGCCACAAAATTATTATGGAAAGAAAAATTTCAGATATTTTATTTCACAAAATTCCATCTTGTTGGTGAAATTGTAGAGTTAAAACTGCCAAGCAGAAATTTTCTCTCTAAAAACCTAGAGTGCTGTGAATGTGATTGTAGCCTGGTTTTTCCAGAGCGTTACACCGTGAAAAATAATAAGTTAAAAACTTTTGTATAAAAACCGCTCAATACCTCAGATGACTACTTCATAAACGATATTTGTCAGGGCTTTGCAAAACATACATTATTTAGTTGATTGCTATGGCATAAATATTATATTTAGATAATTTA